TTCCAAAGCTAAACAGGAGAAGCGATATTATCGAGGGGATATATCGAAGTGGTCAGCCTTCCACACGTCTGGACTAAGCTATCTCTTCAGGGAACATAGTCCCTGCGCCAACGGCTCTGGCCAGACGGGGTGTAGGTGAGGGTAACGTAGGGAGGACACCATCCGAGTCGACACTGAGGTAGCAGTAGAGAGACAATAGACAGGGATCACCAGTAGAGTAAAACCACGCGTTGACGAAGCTCCGACGCCGCCGCCACGACGACGACGACGACGACGTCGGTTGAAAGACGCGTCCACGCCTTGTGCACTGCCCGATGAATGTGACAATGTGACAAGAACCGCCGACGTCGCCCGCTGTCACACGTGCCACAGTGGCCCCAGTCCCGTTCACGAGTCGCTCCTCACACAAATGATAACCCATCGACAAACTTATGTATTCGGGTACATGGTACAGGAAATATCTGCCACGAAAACCTTCAAGCCGTCTGAGATTGTTTTAGAGAGGATCTTGAAGTGGCGGTTCCATAAAAGTAGCGACGTGTCTACAGACAATTTAACGCTAGCTAGTCTGCTTAAATGATACTACAATGTTCAGTGTAATCATTCAAAGAGATAGGGCATCGTTCCAATAAGAAACTGCACATCATACATCAAGCACACCGACTAATTAAAACTAAATAAAGCCCAAGTCCAAGTACATCACCGCCTACTACGCCAAGATCAATTCGACCAAAGCTTTCACGGCCTGCGGGACAGGAACTTCGTAAAAAAACAAGAGCATATAAGCTATAGCCGCGAGACCGGCGATGCCAGCGGCCGTCTGCATGAGACTAAGGACCACGAAGTAAACCATGTTCCGTATCTTGCGAAGACCGTCTGCCAGCCATCCAAGGAGCAGGAAGATAAGACCCTATATATCATCATCAGTATCCGCGGCAGATTTTACGAGGAGAAAAAGTCACACCTTGAATACCAGAGCGCTCATCCTCCCCAATGAATGTGAATCTTTTGACTCGTCACAAGCAGTGCAACCGGGACCATCAGAGGCGTGCATCTACATAAATTATAAGCAATGATGTCCACGTCGAAGACAACGCCAAACTGCCTACAGAGACGATCGTCACCTGCTCAGTGAGGATGACGCACTGGTCCCTGATGTCTGCAGCATCGCATCAGTACTTCATACTCTCGTTTTGATGATGTTGACCAAAAATACTCACTTGGAACGTCGCCAACGTGAGCTTGACCGTGCGCGTGCTGACGAATGGGGAGTGTGGACATAATAGTTCGAGTAAGGTATGACGAAGGGGGCAGAACAGGGATCCGGTCGATGAGCTACAACAATACGGATAATGAACACCTGGAAGAGTCTCCGGTGATGCTTTTATAGTGCGATCGCCACCGTTTAACTATGCGAGCGACGTCACAGTACGACAAAGGAATGCACTGACCTTGAGTAGCAGTGCGCCGGAGATCGTTAGAACAAAAGAGCTGAGCCGTTCGAGCCCCTTATATGGTTTTTTATAATTTGATGGATCAAAGGGGTTCCTCGTTGAAGCGGACCTGACGTTGAGAAAGGAAAGTTTCTCAACAAAGCTCACAAACACAAATCCGTTGTTGTGCACTATAAGGCGTATGTCGGTGGTGAAGCGTACAATGAAAGCGTCATGGAGAATATCTCATGACGAGATTTGGTGGGCTACGTATGCAACCAAAACAGAGGAACAGAAGCGGCACCAAAAACGAAACCAAAATTGAAGCGATGCCCGCCCCGATCGACACCCAACTCAATGTCGGAACTGCCCAGAACTGCCCGCTGACCTTGAGGACTCTCTCTTACTATACCCTGCCCATCCCAGTGCAGGTCCCTCACATCGAGTCGGGGACTCCTGATATCGTGAAGGCACTGATGAAAGCGGTTGAGGGCTTTGCGAAGACTTGGCTTCAGCAGCAAATAAATGCCTCGGACGGTCTCTATGCGTGCTTCATGGCCGCCAGGAGCCCGTGACAGACTGCTCAAGCCGGTCGTTGTGTATCTTAGGCACTATCTTCGCGAAATGCCAGCCGCGGAGCATGGGCGAGCACTGACCTGCCTCCTCATCAGCGATCATAACCTGAGGGCTCAAAGCAACTGACGTGAATGAGACGTACCTTCTTCTGTCAAGTACGAAGCGTTCTGCCGAGCCTAGAGCAGGAGGTCCATGAGCACACTATTGCGGTGCAGCAGCTAAAGTGCGTGGCGTTCCGCAATGATACTGTGAAACTGGTGGCGAAATGCGTGGCCGATGTTCGGAGGTAAATTGAGAGCGTACCACTTGTGTGGCCCGATGACGAGACACTGGCTAGAGGTATAGATGATACCGATAGCGTGACGGGTGGCGGCTCGACGGACGATGACTCTAATGAACAAGTAGATAGTTAGGAGGAGCGCCGAAAGGTTTTGGGAACCCTAATCGACATCACGGCAAACAGACAGAACAGGACAAGAAAGCAATACGATAGTATGGACATGGAAACAGCGGATGGATGCGACGTGATAAGAGAGTAAGACGAAAGGGATGAGAGACGATGTTCAACATGAAACGTTAAGAGACATAAAAGTCGTGCAGTACATATCTACAGGATGTAGAACAGACATGAAGCGATGACCACGAATGGGGCCATGCGATGCAAGACAGCGGGGGAGAAATATAACATATCAAGATGAACGACCAGAAGAACAATCAAGACATGTACAGCGGGAAAAAGTGCTGTGCACGCAGGTGGAGAGTTCATCGTACCACGACCCTTTTCGTATGCTTACCCGATCTCCTTCGACTTTCGCGCGGGGGAGCCGTCCCAGGGGCGGGCGCTCTCCACTCTTCGACGCTGATTCCCACGTCGATCTAGCTCGACGGAACATGATCAGGCCTGTCCAGTTGGCGGTTAGAAAGGGAAGAAAACATACGAGTGTAGGCGGCGTCTGATCTTGTTGTTGCTGTTGAGGGCGTTGCGAATGCCCGTAATGCAGCGTCGAAGGCGAACCCATCGAATCAGACATCCTCGACGGTGGTGGCGGCGGGCCTTGTTGCAATTGCTGCTGCTGAAGCTGTTGCCGTTGTTGACGTGGTGACGTGTCAGGGTGACCGTAGCCAGAGTACGGAGGATGCTGCATCGGCGGGGCGTGTGCGTGCATCGGTTGATGTTGCGTATGTTGCTGATGCTGGAGAAGTCGTGGGTATTGAGGGTGTTGCGGTTGAGCATGCGGAGACAGATGCGGATACTGTGGATGCATATCGTGGTGCTGCGTCTGAGGCCCTGGAGGGGGCGGTAACGATGCCGAACTCGATTCCGACCGCTTCGCTGGCTGCTGCTGACCATGTGGAGAAAGAGCCAGCGCCATCGTGGCCGCCGCCGTCCATGGTTCCCCCCTCTTCATACCCTCCATTCCTCCTTTGCTCAAGGTAGCCGATGGTTGGAAATCGCTCTCGACCCTCACTCTGACGATCTCCTTGCCCGCCTGGGAAAAGAAGGCGCGTTCTTGTTGGTGGAAGTAAATCGAGGTGGGACCGGGTTTGAGAATCGAGAATTGGTCGGGAGGGGGTGGAGGGAAGAGGCGCATAAGTTCGTGGCCGGTGGGTGGAGGTGGGTAATTACGAGGCCTTGGCGCTTGATCTTGAGGGTGGAGATCGACGTCTATTAGGAGGTGAAAACCACAGGGTGAAGTGGAGTGAAGTGAAGTGAAGTGTGTAGCATCAGTAGGTGTGTGTGGCAGGTAGAAGGAACAATGTCATGCGTGAATATTAATGAAAGTGTGTACGTACGAGGCAGATTGCTCGGAGAGATCGGTCTCCTGATCTGGCCAGAACCAGAGTGACCAGGAGCATGATGATGAATCGGAGGCAGTTGAGCCTCAGGACTGAGGCTATGAGTATGACCATGGTGCATCGGAGGCGTCATGGACGCTGAAGACGGCGAACGGGAGAGCTCGGCTACAGGGAGCAAGCTAAACTGGTGCCGCTGCATGGGGGAAGCGAGAGACGCGGAACGGTAGGGCTTTGCTTATATGGTAGCGTAACATCGGTTGACCCTGATGGACCGCGCCACATTTGGTCGCCACATATCCTGCTTGATGAAGCCATACCTAAATATGCGTTGCACATTCGGCGGAGATTTGAAGGCGTCAAAGCCTACCATATGTGAAGGACACACAATTTCCGCAGGCGCGGCGTGGTGTTTGGACGTTGTTTGGTCCCCGCGAGACGCGTTGAACTCGTGGTAGGCAGATATATATACATTCTTGCACGACCGTATGCTCACCGGTGCGTAAAATCTGGCACGTGAGCTGTAGAGGTGATAATGCATTTCTCTAAGAAGTTAAGAGAGAAACGGAGCAAGTGCACCTAGGGTTGTACACACGTCAACTTTGTCCAGAGTCCCAAACATGAGACGCTCCGCCGGAAACAGACGGACCGAGTGTGAAGTGGCGCACATTTTGGGACTACATGTCCTCAGTCGAGCACGAATTGCACGTCATACACTTGATTTGTCACAAAACTTTTGCATACAGTCGAAAGATATAGTACATGTGGATGTTTGGTTGGAACAGATTCCAGAGATCGTGTCCTCAAAATATTCTGTGAATTTGTTCCGGCCGTTTTGGCCCTGTTTCGTGCATTTTCCCCACAGGATATTCTTACAAAAGAATTGGACAATTCAGCTTGAGAACAGCGTGCATATACATACCATCTATTATTCCTATGCAAAAGTTTTCCGTAATTCTTATTCTACCTTGTGTAAACGTTGCCCGACTAGAGGGTGTATTCGAGACCACGCCACCACTGACCCGCGCGCGAACCAAACAGACCACGCCGCGGCTGCATTAATATTGCGCGTCACCACATGAAGTGCTCACCACGTCGAAGAGCCATTTGTACATGTAAAATTAATATCATTATGACCCATACAAATACTATTCAACCGCAGTACCATAGGAAGGCCATAAATGAGAGCAAGATGGAGACTGCGCATACTAAAAAGCAATACGTGGATCCTTTCGAGTCAGGGGTATACACCTCCTCCTCGCCATCACCGCCGTCCCTTGTCAGAACAACCCCATCACCACTACACACACCACGGAAGATACTATCGTCGGAGTCTGGTCCAAGCGAATTCTCATCCTCAGCCTCCCGCCCAGCAGATCTGCCCAAGCCCTCGCTATTCGGGTTGGGTTCGTCCACGATATCCGAAGACACCGTACTACCGTCATTGGGCAACATCGCATTATTGCTAACCTCTTCATCTATTAGACCCCCATCGCGATGTTCACTCACGTTGCTCCCCTCCAGATCAAGTTCGTCGTCATCGTATTCTCTGAAGAGACGCGGGGATGAATAACGTGTCCAAGGATTAACGTCATCTTCATCTATAGCTCCTATGTCTCGAAAAAAACGGGGCACAGCATCAAGGTAAGCCCAGGTATCCGGAAGGTCTCTTGTATCTGAGTCTAGGGCGGAAAAAGGCTGTCCTTCCATTCCGTCGGTCCAGCATGTGACCAAAAAGGAGTAACATTCGGGGGTGTACTCTCGCATTGCATAGAGGCAGTCATGGTCGAGACTGAAGCACTCTAGGCGATTGACTGCATAATATGCGGCGGATGCAGATTGTCTCCGCCTGAACGCAACAATTTGCTGCAGGACCTGCATCCCAGACCTGAACATGAATCTCCAGCAAAAACGTCCGTCGGTGACAAGTGGCTCTTTCGAAGGATGTTGTTCACGTAACCAAGCCCATCTGTGTTCGATAGCGACGGCCCTGTGATTAGTCTGAAGACACAATCGCTGAAGATTAGGGTACGCGGCTAATGTGCTGGTGGCTTCAGCCTCTGGGTGCTCTATTACGAGTGTCTCTAGCCACTCAAAAAATGGCGCATTCCAGTAAATATCTACGATCGTCATTGATCGCAGACTGGGTATGTTGCGAGTAAGAGCGTCAAGTGGTTCATGCTTCAGAAAATGAGAGGAAAGACCGATATGTCGCAGCGATGTGGAGCAAGGTTCGTAGAGTGACAGAATGGGGTCCAATTCGTGAGGGTCGCAGGGATACTCGGTGGCGATGGTCAGAGACGTGATGTTGGGGAATGAGAACACGGAAGCGATGCTAGCTATCCAGTCCGACGTGGCGAACTTGAGTGATAGGGACGTCATGAGAGGTAGAGGTAGAGGTTCGACAGATTGCGGGAGGTCGAATAGATCATCTGACTCAAGGGCGGGAAACCACAACTCGAGGGAGGTCAACTGCGTAAAATCAAGGTCTCCGATGTGAACGTTGACCAGATTAAAGGGTTCGATAGAACCGGAAGCAGAAAAATGGGAGACGTGCGGTAATTCGAGAAGCAAGGGGTGCAAAAACCTCTCGTCTGGACAACCGAAATCATGCACCTCAGCACTCGTCAATCTCGGTGCTGATCGCAAAAGATCAGTACATTCCTGGGGATAATGAAGTGGCGGGCTCCGGCCGATAACACCGATGTGCTCCAACAAAGTGAGCGAGCCCAACGGTATATGTTCGGGAAATATATAATTAGGCAGGATAGCGAGGACGGAGCTGTCCATATATGCCGCCTTCCAACGACGGGACTCATTGCAGAGGAGTTCCAAGCAGTATAGTGCGAGGTCTTGGTGAGCGGAACCGATGCTGTCAACAATGCTGATGGAGAAGGTGAGGGGAAGGGACCGCGATGATCGTAGGGATAGAGCGAAGACCTCTCGGAAGCTCGAGATATTCTTTATGTGCTTGGAATCGAAGGGAGGCAGCTTGAGCGAAGTCCATAGGATATGAGTTCCGAGGACAATACTGCGTAAATATCGACAGATATGCGAGAAAGACACGCGCTTGTTTGACGGGTGGAAAGTGGTCTGGATGTCTTCAGGGTGGAGCTTGAATATGGTCGTCCAAATTTCGGGCGGGACACTAAGCGCCTTTAGGCAAAACGAGATCAGTAAATACCTATCAAGTAATCAGGTAAGCAACGTAACTTACTTTGCATGGCTTCTGGACCGGTGCATCAGGCTGAGCGTCACGATGCGCCACACAAAGCATATGAGCCTGATCAGGCCTATATATATATAGTGGAAGTCAGTGAAGAGAAGAGAAGCATAAATCATTTCCCCAACACACTGTATTGCTGCTTCCATACTTAGATCAAGAGAATCGAGTAGAGACGGATCTTGGGACGGAGGGACGGAATCACGTCGCTCATGAACATGATGGGGGAACATGGGTCTATGCTGAGCCCAGGGTGCAAAAGCCGGAATTATACTGCCCAGAGAACAAAACCCTCTTCCTGCCCCTATGATAGATAAGTAAGAGAGTCGAGTCTTTTGTTCACTTTGTCCAGTCTTGAAACAATGAAACAACAAGCGGAATAGGACATATTATTCATCCCCGGCACTCGCCGGAGACACACTGTGGCCCACATGGAAGCTGGACAAAGAGCGAAGATGGCCAGGACTTAGATGGGCAGTATTTAGAAGTGGTCTGTTTGGGACCCAAAAACGAATCAACCCAAATGTCTATCCATACAATTGATAGACAGAAAAGGTGTCGGTAGACAAGGGAAACGCGTATTACGGTAACAGGATGCGACGACTCGAAGATGCCCAGCGAAGACCGAAAACCCAAGAAAGAGATGATGTTATATGGGATGAACAGAATACTGCACGGGGCCGAGACGAATTCGGGGCATAAGACGTGTAGAAAGGGCTTAGGTCATGTGCTCGTCTACAGCTGATCCGATCCAAAGTGCAGTACGAGCGAGAGGTGCGGATGGTCTTGATAGTATCGTCCTGCAACTGTCAGGCGGTCCCACACTTTGGTATAGAATTCGGTGTCGTCGAATACTTTGACCAGTTTTCTCCGTACTTGCTTATCCCAAGGGCGATCGACCGCATGCGAATGCGAGGTAATTCTGACACGAATACGGCATGAGAGCAGCTCACGACGAAAGAGACAAAATATACACACATATGATCCAGTAAACCATCTCTGCTGTGTAACGCGGCACATTGAACTCTCCCAGACACGTTCTTCACCTTGTGAGGCACTAAGGAAGGGCAGCGAAATCGCTTCTGATCATCAGCCCTTGCGGTCAAATAGATCTTCTTCTCGTGCCGTTGACGTCGCTTTCCCATCTTCCGTAGTTTCCTTTCGTCTGCATCCAATACGGGTTTCGGGACTGCGCACCCAGAGCCTCCAGCGGGTGCGTCGTTCGGTACTGAAGGCGGGCTGCTACTATGACTCATAGCGATCAATGGGTGTGAGTGTCGGATTTGATCATCCGGGGAGGCTGTAGAATCGGGAAGGGGAGGCATGAGCGAGGTAATACCGGAGTGGGCGTCCTCGGAGAGTACGTCGGAGATGCTGAGGGTAGGTGATTCACTGGCCCAAGGGTTAGTGTTAGCCGAAGTGAAGGAAAGGCGTTTGAGCCGATCTGAAAGTGAGACCCAGCTGAACCACAGCGTCTGATGAAACTGAAGAACATCCGCGCCATCATGCAGGATTCTGTGTTCGCGTAGTTCCTCTTGGACATCGCGTACTTCGGCTAGCTGGGTCGCGCATAGAAAGTCTCGAGCATATTTTATGCAGTCGCTTGCATTTGAAACCTATAGCGAGAAGTGAGCAGGAGAAGGCGAACAAATTGTTTTTGGCATTACCTGGTGTGGGCAGCCGGGAGGTATAAAAACAGCATCTCCCTTTCGCTGACGGATCACAAAAGGCTTAACTTCGTATCTCGTACTGAAGGCCTCAATTTGTGATTCCGTCAGGTACACGCTCTGTGTATGTATCGGGTTTCCATCGTTCGGGGATACCAATTTTTGCTCAACCATGAACTCCTCAAGCATCGGCGAAGCCCATGATGGCCAGAGATGCCAGAGAGCATGACCCGGTTCACCCGTTGGCGACTCTGCCACGTCGAGAGCAATGTTGTACGCCGAAGTTACATCCTTGTGCAGGAATGTTGATCCAATATGTTTACCGACTCTTTGACTCGCATAAGCAAGGTACATCTTCGGCCCTATAAGCAGATCGGAATCAGACTTGTCGGTCAAGGATGTGCACAATGAGATAGACCCACCTAGATCAGCCTTATTGGCATTCGTAGCGAAGTAAGAAGGAAAGTTGTGGACCCCGTCGGCTCTTGTCATGTCGGGAACAGGAACAGTAAGCTCCATCTGGTCATGAAGTTCACCTAGGACTGTCTGCAGGTCTTCTGACGGGGGCCAGTCCTGACGATAACAACACACTGATTAGCCGTGTTGCGTATCATTGGAAGGAAATACTAGATTCATACTTTGAGCTTCCAGATTGTATCATTTGGAGAACGTGGCCGGCCAAAGTCGGACAAAAACTCCGCGAGCGACACTTTCTTATCCTGCTTTTCACCACAACAATCCACCAGACGAACTCGATGGAACCCATAGCAGCGTATAAAGAACTCTTTGCCAACGTCGGTCAACGTTATCTTATTCAGACACTTGGATACGACGACGGGAATTCCTTGGGACCAAAAAGACTGAAAATCTGATAGAAATTTTGGATGATTTTGGTCCAGGATCGGAGCGTCATGGATAATTCGAACTTGCTCCTTGCACAAGGGAACCAGCCTGTATTAGATGTAAATAGTCTGTATTCATGAGGTCAGGTTCGAAGGACTGACGCTTGGGGGTTAGGAACAAGATCGGCCATTTGGGCGGTGACAACCTCCAGCTCATGTCCGTCAAAATAAGTCATCGCCTGAAGTGCAGCTGCTGGATGATAACGTAAAGAGCATGGAGCATCGCCGACGGAGGATGAGGAGCTGGGCTGTAAGACAGACCTAGCGCAGACAGCGCACAGGTCACGACCACAACAGCCGCACACGAAGGATTCAGAGAATAGTTGAGTATGGCAGATGTCTGGATGATGCGTTCAGGTATATAGCTCAAAGCCCGCGTCGTGTAAGCAGCGTACCGCAGGTATCCGTCTGATCCTTAGTTCGGTACCTCCTTACTACGCCTGACAATCGCTGATGATTCATTTCGCGGTGTAGGACTGGAAGAAGAACTTCCGCGATGGTAGTCTAGAAACGGAAGGTATCGTGAAAGAAACAGAGACAGACTAGAATGACACAAACAAACCATCATAGACTTGATTTCCTCTCTAGTGATGATCCGATTCAAGCCTTCCTTGAATTGCAGTGTCCACGGTCGATCGTTGGTGAAGAAAAGACGGCCGTAGGGGCTATGCGCCCTGTCCAGGATGCGATGGTCTAGGAATATGTCTCACCTCATACTCAATGAGCTCAGTAGCTTACAATGCCCACCTTTAAACACGCATCCCTTTCCTTTTCTGCCCGACCGGTTATCGCAACGCCAACACCTAGACCATCCAGATAACCGGGTGCATGCGATGGTTTGCAAGGGAAGATTTGATGCAATGTTCATCACCTCTTGAGATTTTCGTTTAGAAGACATTCTGCTGGGACCGTTGAGCGATGTGTGTAGGAAAGTGAGCGGTGCAGTGTACAGGGTCGAAGTGTGAAAATCGACATGCGCCACCACTTGCGAAACAACTTGGTGAACGCGGTCATGTGATCGCGACGATCCGTCAAGAATCGCGCGGCGGCTCGCGTGGTTCAACGACGCTCAGGCTGACGATGACTCTGATCTTCGAACCATAGCAGTCTAAATATTAGGGTATGTTTCTGAAACTTTCGGGCCGCTAGAGCTCGCTTCCTGCGGACGGATTGAATGTGCATCGATAAATACACGCCCCATCATTAATCCAAAAAAGAAAAGAAAAGAAAACAGCGAGGATCTTCACGAGGAAGACAATATGGTTCGAAGGAGGAACCCCGGGGGTGAGCTATTCATCAAGCAGCGATCTTCTGAGACATGTGAAGAGAAATGGGCTCGACGGGCGTGTTCGTCACGACACTGAGAAAGGTGAACATGGGATATACAAGTCCGACCAATACTCACGGAAGACGCTAGGTATATAAGAGAAGCCCCAACTCTGAACTCTACATCACAAGCTGGCACAACGATCTGGGCAGTCCTTTCCACGACTCCGAATAGTCGCCTCCTCTGATTTCCTCATCGGAGAGGGAGTTCCACCTCCACCCTTTCTTGAACCTTACCAACTTGCCCATTGTTCCATTGTGCTCCATATGACCACGCCGCACTTTATCCTTCAGATGCTCCAACCATAAACGCCCTATATCTTCCAATGATACTGATCTTCTGGATCCAGGTGGTGGAGAGCTCACAAGCGCGCTCATCGCTCGAATAAGGAGTGGCGATGGATCCATGAAAGTGGTCATATGGGTCATCAAGAGCGAGTCGAGCGATATTGTGTTTGGTGAGTTAGGGGTGATGGAATGGAGCATGGGAAGTTCGATGAGTATGATGATACGTCGCATTGAAGGGTCGTTAGGATCGGAGTTGGGTGTGTTGCGGATTAGAGCGGCCATATCCGGGTCAAGATCGCTCCATGAGTCCAGCGTGCGGATGGCGGCATCGGTGATGGAGTAGGCCTTGGACGGAGGGCGTACAATGGCTGCAGACGGTCGCGGCTTCAGGACGATGTGCAAGAAGTGATCTTTGAGGCCCATGGGGAGTCTTCTCAGTGCCGTGCACAGTCGAATGACTTCCAGAGACCGCCGAATATTAACGCTGTGACACACGGCAAATGCGTCGAGTAACTTCCCAGAAGTTTTGGTGTCATCGTCGAACGGTTGGCGGGCAAGGCACTCTTGTCTAAGACCGGCTGCATGAGATGGGATGAAGAAACAAGTAGATGTGAAACCGACGAACTTGTGTACACTCCAATGCTGACGTTGGCAGCCGACAGAGCAGTAGGTTAATGCTGAACAGCCTCCACATCGTGACATGTTCCTGGAGATGACATGGCAGGATGCGCATTCAGCGTCTAAGTCGTACAACTTGGAGCTCATCTGTAGCGTTGATGCTCGTGGAATAGGACAATATAACAGACGGTTGGTGAGCACAGAAGGTGGGCAATGATGGCCTTCAAATAAGGTAGACTGTCGACAAAGAAAGCTTTAGAAGCCATCATCGAAAAATGGCAAACATCACGGTTTAGGAGCGGCTCATTATCATCTCTTTCATCGTCAACCGGGCGTTGAGACGGCTTGCTTTGACTGGCCTGACGCTTTCCTCGTGGCAACCTGAAAGGCGCAGTAGGAGCTGATGATCGAATGTGACATGAATGGAGGCAAATGAAGTTTCAAAGAGAGGAAGAAAAGAACAGTCATACCACTCTGATCATATACATGAGATCGCCTCAAGTTCGCAACGTGGCCAACGGACCTTCAAAAGGCATTTTGCGTTTGTGCTCACTTGCGGAAAAGAAAGGTAGAGGGAATCGAAAGATGCGTACGACAGCCATCTTTCGCAGTATAACTAGGATCAGATCGCTTCGAGATCACAAAGCTGCACGCCGGGCTTGCTCCAGCATTGTTGCAGTTTTTTCCCCTCGCTCGCTGTAGTCGGGGTATGCGATGTCCTCGGGAAGATATCTGAATACAATACGTGGATTGCTTCTCTGGCTCAATGGTGAACTTGCACGAGATACGTCAACAAACAAAAGGACCACATAATCGAATTCATCCTAGCCCCCCCAGCCCGTTACCGTGATCGTATCCTCTGACTGCGTGAACATGATCTTGTCTCGAGCCTCATGCATTAATGTATGGCTCTCGTTCCATGGCCCTTCACGATGCCGCTGCCAGCCCTCCACACAAGTCCCCCTGTCACAATCGACGCGCAGTAAAAAAGTATCCCAGTGTGGCGCTGCCAAGCATCGTTGCCATGCCGACCTGATAGTCCTCGTTATCGTCTGAGTCACTTCTCGGAAGACAGGTTGCTCTCCAGAGCGGGCGAGCACGGCGTTCCACCTATACGTGAGGTTATGCCACTCGAGATCGAATGTGTACCAGTCGTCGAAGACGTGCAGCCATACACGCCGCAGACTTTGCAGAGTCTCCAGCGTCTCGAAAGAGGGAGCATCCTATCAACACTCCGGTATCAATATAAGTAGATTGCAGTAAACATGAGAGGCTAGCTCACCGAGCCGATGGACGACACGTAGTTTCTATACGGCAACGTCAATGATAAAGACTCGGCCTCTGGAGCTGCACTTGCGAGCTCATGCCAGAAGAGCGGTCTGAGACCAATGGCTCCGTCAATATCGATGCCGATTGAGATGGTTTTAGGCCGCACACGGCGTAACGCCATGAGGACCTCAGACAGAGTGTCGTTGGTTGAGATCCAAGACGGCTGGCCAGCGTCGAACTGGTGTTCACGGAGAGATATGTGTTCTAGGGCGTGGTTGAGGGAAAGGGAAACGAATATCGCTATGGGCCCAGCGAAAGATCGCAGATTGGGAAAGACGATGGTGCTGCTTAGCTCAGTCGCGAGAGCTGGAGATATAGCCTCAACAGAAAGGTGCCAGACGCTCTGGGCTTGTGGGGGTACAGGGCTGCACAAGATATTCAATTCGACGTGGCGAAGTATCGAACACTCCGCGTTTCTGGTCGATGGCTGTAAGGCTTCTGGGAAATCGACGAGACGTAGAACGGATAGCCCCGTCAAAGTACGAAGCATGCGGGCGAGTAAGTCTGAAAGAACGGCAGAGCGATCAGAGCTCGCCCGTGCGAATTTATGCGCGTTGGGGTGGACAATCAGCTGTCGGATGCACTGAGCAAACTGGCGGCCCGGACCGAAGACCATGAAACGACAAAAAGATAGCGTGGTTTCGCCAGAACGACGGAGTACGACAGAGCGAACTAAGATCGGGATCGCGACGCGATTCAGCTGGCGACATACAAGTCGGATGTTGGGGATGGTGGTAAGATCTGCGGATTCGAGGATGAGAGCTAACACATCGAGGTTGAGAAGACTGTGAAGCTGAATGTGGCGTCGACGAGTGCTTTGTGTTAACGTCTGGACGCTCATCGTGGAGCGGAGAGAGTGAGAGATCGTAAGGTGGGCGAAGCGTGCTGGTGATAGGGTATTTAAAAGGGAAAGTTCGTGGTGAAGGCCATTGTCCCGCATTTCAATGTCGCACCAAAGAGGGAGGCCTTTGTCCTGCATTTCAATGTCGCACCAAAGAGGCAGCTAAACAGGAGGAGATTGGCGAAGCGATCGTTGACAAAGATGCCAGAAACGGATATGATTTGACGCTCGATCAGGAACAATTAGGCACGGAAGGCAGTGGCTCTCAGTTATGAAAGACGGGCGACAAAACAGATAAAGACGCATTTCTCCGGCAATTGGGCTAAGGATTCGGGCGACGCGAGGCGAACCTCCGCTCAAAAGAGATGGATAATCCGGAAGCTGCTTCGCGGATTTTGTCGAATGGATATTAAGCCAAAGGACTGTGGGGCAGGGGATGAAGCGATTCTGTCGCGGGGAGGATGAGATAACACGTGTAATCAGCAGACTGTCGCACAACCAGGACAAGCAAATGGACGGCGACAGAACAGCCGGCTGTACCGGACGTGGAGCACGCCGACGACTGTGCCTTGTGGTCGACCGAACGACGTGACGCTCAACACCATGTCATTTACTTCGAGGGTTAAGCTAGTCGGAAGGGCTTGACAGCCAGTGTGCCGAAGTCTGCAGCGATGGTGTTCGGGGCAATCCCGGCAGGAGAGAACCTCACCGAGGATCCGTTCGTCATGTACGGCGACCCTATCCAATGGGTTGACAGATATAAGTACGTTGGAACAACTTTCTGCAGTACCCTCCGCGACATCTTCACCATCCACTATGACCTGAAAGCCTTGGCCGCTCAACGGATCGCGAACGTAACTCTTGCTGCGGAGTCCATGACAGGGGCTCTCCCTCCGAAAGAGCGTAGTATCGTTTACCTCGCACGGATCGACGTCACTATCATATCGGAATACGACGTCGCCGTCGACGTCTCTGAGGCCAACCTCAAGAAGGTGTGTCCAGGTGTGATACTTTCGCCGCCTGCTCCGTCTTCAACGACGGTGTTTGTGCCAGATTCCCTACTCCGAATCCGGTATCATGTCTATCCGTCATCGGCGCTTCCTCCTCGCTCTACGCACCCTACGCCACTTTGTGGCCCTCCCTGATACACGACTCGTTCACTCCGCGTACCTTGACTCGTTAGATCTAGCGAGAGTAGCTCTTCATCCTAGCTAGGTTGGGGATCTGGTGCCAATTGCTTTGCGACGTCTGGATCCACCAGTTCTGTTTGATGTTCGCAGGCCGGTCGCCGTGGAATAAAACGTCGACGAACTGCAAACGATAGTCGTCGACTCATGCAACTCCTAGGTGAAGACTAGAATAGAAGCCTCTCCCAAGACTTGGATGCTCCACGGTCGTGTTGAAATCTTCCGTAACAACAAAACGGACGCCTCGCCGATGCCATTCCGTGGGTATCTCCGCATCACCATTCCCTCCCACCGTTTCGCATTCACGCGCTTTCTACTCTCCAACCAGTCTCGCCATCAAACGTTTACGTTGGCAGAACCACGAACGTCGCTATTACATTCCCAGACAGTGGCGGCTATGCTGTTTTTGGGCACCAAAGGGGCTGTATAATGTCGAGGACGAGATCCACGCCCTCTTCTACTGTGAATCTCACCCGCGATTGGTAGAGCTTCAGGCGGAGTGATGGGAACAAAGCGAGATGGTTTCCGTGAGGGGGAAATACTTGTTGGGGATTGAGGACGATCAGGAGAGAGTGCGAGAACTGATGCGGCGTCCCGAGTCGTACGGTCATATGGGATGGTAGATTTTAACTTTATGAAGGTTTTTGAGGGGGTGGCGACGTACGAGCCGCCGGAGTACGTGCTCATTGCGGAAGACAGGGCAGAGGACGACGGTGACTCAGATTGTGAGGAAGACCGTGTCTAGGCTTTATCGGCAGAGTGCAGAGATTTTTTCATCAGGTCTTCGATGTTGGAGTCCGTGAGATGCGTGTACGTTTCAAAGCGGTAACGATATCGGTCCTTGAGGGCCCGTTTTGTACCCTGAATGGATTTGCTTTCCGACACTTGGGCAAAGTACTCGGGCGACGCGAGGCGAACCTCCGCTCAAAAGAGATGGATAACCCGGAAGCTGCTTCGCGGATTTTATCGAATGGATATTAAACCAACGGACTGTGGGGCAGGGGATAGGATGAGATAACACGTGTAATCAGCAGACTGTCGTACAGCCAGGACAACGAGCAGGGCATAGCAATCGAGCTGAAGTCATATTGGAGAGATAGACGGTGACAACCACAGATATCAGAGTGGGAGTTTATGGAAGTGGCGAATGATAATGCAGTCTATGCAGGGGTGTATTAAGAGGAAAAGAGGAAGAACTCACCTCGGTCACACACTGAACGATCCTCGTCAACGCCAAAGTTTTCCGTATCTCCTTCCATCTCAGCGGAGCCTCATTCAATTCCACCGTCTGTACCTGAGCCATCCTGTCACTGATGCCCATGACATGGGTCCACGGGGCAGAGGGATATGTCCTACTCAAGTGGTGGGGCAGGCGACGAAGTCGTCCGTAAAGTCCGACGACTGTATCACACTTTTGCATGGGGGAAAGTGGTGGATTCAAGAGTGCGGGGGTGAATCAGTAAGCATTCTGATAGATGAGAGAAGAAATTGTAAACTCTCACTACATTGGTGCATGAGGGCGTCGACGTACAGGCACAGATCACGAGGCATGAAACCTCCTACTGAAAGTCTTCAAGTCATTGCTTGTTACGACCTTTCCAAAATGATGAGGAAGGAACTTGAATGGTGGAAACGTGCGATCGAGCTCGTCGAGGTCTGTTTGCTGCTCGTCGTCGATAGACATTGGGCATGAAGCTAGGCGAAGGTTCAAAAGAGGCGATGGTGCGCGTAGTGCTTAGTCAGCCGTTTCCACCAGTACATAATTATAAGTTATATGTATACGGACGCGAGAACGCCCGATCATTGCTCGCTGGTCTTCCCACCCACCAGGCAGTATAAGACTCGAACATGAACATAAATAGGCCAAGCTCGCATAAAGTATCTTCACAATAACTACTCGCACCTAGTTTGCGGAAGATCAGTTCCGGCTGGCACCCGCTGCTTCCTGCAACCCATGCTTGCTTGGATCGGTATCTTAGCACGTTTTGCCTGCAGTAGCATCCCGGGATTCTTGTCTTGGTCTCCATCCAAGTTTTTACCTGTGCTGTTATTGTCTCTTGTGCTTTGTATCGAGTTCGTGGACTGATGCCTTCGTCGCGCTTGCCTCGGAATTGCTTCTCACCGAACGTCCTCGTTCTTCATCTTACTCTTTGTGTGTGGCCATACTGGTCCGGAAGTGCGCAGATACCTGAGTATTGAATGGGGACACACCACTGGGATGCCTGTTCTATGTTGCCCTTTTTCTCGGCTTCATCTTTCAATCCAGTTCGTCCTCTGTAGTCCATCACTCAGCTTTTTGTACCGGTAGGCTCAGCGGGCGTCTCGCGCAGCTTTGGCAGACCTTTTATCACGCATAGATCTGAATACGAGCTCTGTACGTGTGCCCTATCCCGAAACTGCTCTACTCTCACCTGCAGCTATGGAGACAGACAAAAAACGAGGGAGCCGCTCTTGCGAGGACGAAGACTCTGTAGAGGGGATTCCGGAGTGCGAAAAGCTTACGAAGCCGCGCAAAGGGGAGGTAAGTTCTAACCTCGTTTAGGTATTCGCAAGTATGCTATTCATTCATTCAAGGTTATCTTCATGCACCCGAGAGTGCTGACCGTAAAAATCAGGTCTTACGCCATCAACTTCCAGTCGTGGTCGAGGTCGTCTGCGACTTGTGACCTTGTAAGCCTTGGCTATTCCATAAGAGCAGGCATTCTCGCCGAGCAAGAATAGTGCGCTCTTCTCCGCAATAAACTTTCGAATACAGCACTCGAGCGACTGACATTCACAACGGGCTCAGTACCTATGTAGCAGGTGCTCATTAATCTGCAGGTTCGTGATGAGGGATTCAGGAGACTTGATCATCCTCTTCCCTTGTACTCTGGACACTTCTTCTGTTACCCACTCCCGTTCTCTCGACTGCGAAGTTTTTCAGTGTAAAGGGCTTCAACCACCACGTGCACGATACACACTATACCACTTCTTCTCGCGGGTGCGGGTGGCACACGATTGAGCTTGGACGCCACAAGAGAATAAGGGCTGTGTGCCAGTCTTCATTCGTCTTGTCTTCGGGCAGGACTATAGCTAGTTCTTGCTCTCGTCAGGCTATACCCCCTTGCGAGGGTCTCTCGGGTGATAATCACTCAGGCTCGCCGGGTCGCTGGCGCCGTGTGTGACTGAAGGAAATAGCAAATTAAGGCGGTTGTGCTCCGGCGGGCACACCTGCTGTCGAGAGCGCTGAATCATATGAGGAGTAAATTCCGCCATATCAAGCATGAAATTACAGTAACACCAGTGGTAAATGACGGGACAAAGACAGGGCTATGCTGTCATGCAGGAGTTGCCCTCATTCATGAATCGAATCAACGTCTGTAACGTGTGAATGTATGTACAAGGGTTCTGCGTCTGGATCAACCAATGAAAAGAAGAACAGATTGCAAACTTCCTCTCAGCCAGTATGCAAGACCTAAAACTGCCGAGAGAAGCTGATGGGCGAAAAGAATCAGATTTAGTGGCAGTATGATTATAATAGGATACTCGAGGGAGACTTTACCAAAGACGAATTCTGAACGACGAACGCAACAGCCGCAAGTATCATTACCCAACGCAAAATACCGTCTCCAACAGCGGGAGATTCCGTGGAGGGTTCAGAGCTAATATGAGCTGCGGCCTCCCCATGATGACTCCACAGGCAGATCGTACTTCTTCTGCCTACGTTAGAACTGGCCACGACAATCCAAGATCGGCCGTTGGTCCAATGAGACTGTACACAGATTTAGAGTTAAATGTATACTTTCAGATCGGAGTGCTTACCGTGACTGTCTGTATCATTCCCGGTCGATTCTGATGAAGCACATCCAGGAGGGATCCTTCGGCAGTAGTGTATACGTGAAAGTTGCCTTCGTCATCACCCCCAACAACGACATCTCCACATTCAGCAAAAGTGACCTGTTTTGAAGATTGCAATGGAGAATCCTTCGTACGGAAACTCCGCGTCCAACGACAAGTCGACATTGAGAAAAGGTCGAAACCATCCCAGGTATTGTCCATCAAGAACATATCCTTGCTATGGTCCACGGCAACACCTGCACTACTCCATAGACGTCAGCACTATTTAAACACCAGCGTGAAGAAAACACACGAACATGGCAGCTCGCCTTGTCGTCTGCCGAGATATAAGAGCTCCTGAGACGCCATCTAGGGTCAGACTGCATGAATGTGTAGTCAGTCGTAGCTTAATTGTGAAATAGGTGATACTTACACGGTCCCGCAGCGCGAACCAAAGACTACGAGCCGGTCTCGGGTGCTGCTGAAGCTCACTGTCTTCGGGACGATGTCCAATTGTTTCGAGAAGAGGGAGGTCATATGAGCTGCGGCATCCACAACCCAAAGCTGAAGGATTCCGCCCAAGGTACAGAGAGCAACAATACATCCACCGGTAGCGTCCTTTACTGTTGTCAGACCGGTAATCTCCTCCCCCTGTCCGATCTTCATGATAACTACTTCCTCGACAACGTCTACGGCGCCACGCTAGGGTGGTATATTGAATAAAAGAGGAAACTTCAAGTGATGTAAAACACTCACACCATCCGTTCTAAGCCAGATCCCCACAAACCCGGATGTCGTCCCAAATATCAAGAGGTCATTGTCGCTTTCGCCCAAAGTGACCCAAGTCAGAGCGGAGATGGCGCCACGCGTGGCCGGACCCAGATGAGGGATGGGAATCGTTGTTCCTTCAGGCAACGACCAGAGCCTTATGCCATCAAGAGCTTTTCATACTTATGAGAGACTATCGGCGTTTCATGAGTAGATATACTTACCACCACTAGCAAGCACACCGTGCTCTGAGATAGCTAACACCGTCACTGCGTCATGGTGGCCTTTCATCTTGCAGACCAGCTTATACCTCGACGAGCGCAATCTTAGGCTGAGATTCATGAAGGGAAGGATAGAGCGAAGGTACGACAACATATGGAGCGGCGCAACAAGGATGAGGAACGTAGAACAGGAGAGGAGAGGGTGGGCGCCCGTAGTCGTCGTGAAAGACCGAGTTTCCTTTGTTCTTGCTTTGTTCACCGTAAGGAGTAGGAGGGGAATGGCAATGACCTCAACAATTTGAATGAAGAGCAGCAAAACCATTTCCTTCGGTGTTTCTTAGTAGTACTACAGCTCCGCTGAGCGTGGCAGACCATTATTCGACGTTGACGCGACCAAGCCAGTAATGCAGCGGTGTCAGAGAGGTGTGCGCGCGCCTGTGGCAATATAATCGTGGACCATGTGATGACAAAGAATCGCGTCGAAGGTTGGAACTCCGTACGCTCCCGACTAATGGGATGCTAATTAACGCTAATTCTCGCTCACGAGCTCTGATGTTTTCGCCCTCCTCACCCTATTGCGACCTATTCCTGCGGTAGCCCCGTCATGCGTGCACACATATCATATGGGGCTCAAAGTAATTCTATTGACAATGAAAATTCTAAATACATGATACAGTCAAGGGCATGGGCAAGGCCTACTACTACTACAGTCATAAAGTAGCTAGGCACATCGCCAGACGACCGACGTCATCGTTCGTGCACGGCAGACACCTACAGAACGATTGGCAAGCAAGTTAGTGATGGAAATATACACATAATGAAGCTAGCGAAAGAAACACAACTCATTGACAAGGACCACGCCGCATGCAAAGGGTCTACGAGCATCCACACCGACGGCGGGGCCATGACCGTGCGTCGGCAAAGGGACCATGGTCGCGAGAGGGTAGTGGTGGTGCGAGTTTTGCGGGTCCGTATGACAGATGGTGCGTAAGGGGCAAAGGGTCACGGTAGAATGAATCGAGTGGGGCTACGATGTTTCTGTGTCAAGTTAGATGCGGTAGAGCAGTAAGACGAAGCAAAGAGCTTACAACGATACACGATACTGACCGAAATCATATCAGTGGGACTAGTGAGTGGCGAAGGTCGGATCTGCGGCACCTGGCGCTCAGCACTTCTCAAGAAAGAAAGAAGGAAGAGTTTATGCACAACACGACTCACCTCGGATGCCTATAATTCTCTGCGATTGTACCGCGCTATCCTTTGCTCGCTATATTGTGTCTATACGTGCGTCATGCACATTGTCATACAATCTGCAAACAATACTGATCCAAAACATGTGAGGCTGACAATGCAAGTACGTACCTTTGAGACAATTTGTGCAGGACGGCGTATAGGGCTCATGTGAGGGCGTCGACGAAGTAGGCGATCCAAAGGTGATCGCGTTGGACGGCGAGCATCGTCAGCCAGACATCTTCGGGATAGTCGATGTTGAAGGACGAGGCCACGGATTCATCAAGTCAGTGAAGAATCAATAATAATAACACATACCTAGTTGTACCTACAGTCTGCTCGACATACGCTGAACGATGGCCAGGGAATGTTCACGGCGCTGGCGCTGTGAAAGCCATACGAACGGCTGTCGCAATGAGGAGAGAGTGCGGAGGGCGAGGCTGGAATACACATCGCCATTAACAATGGCGGACAAGGATGCTGCAGTTCGGGGCTGAGCGCTGAGGGCGCACACTCAACGTCGTGGGCGAGAGAAATGTGTTGGGAGGAACGATGGTACGGCAACGAAAGGCGACGCGTTATCAACTGTGAACAAACAAGAACAAATAGAACTGTGCGCCACGCCGTAAGCATCGTGCCACACAGCGTCCACTTCGCGCTCACTTTGTCGGTAGCCCCGCTTGTCAAAACTTTCAGGAGATATGGAGGAGAGTAAGGCATATGGGCTTTGAGAGATGGCTAGAGGACGGTCCAGGCTTTGCATATAGTATTGTATTGCTCCAGACGTTCTCGGTGGTGCTCACAGACCGCCAGAGAAGTAGTAAAATGTTACACATTGCTTTGCGAACAACCTCCAGGCTTCTTCAACCAGTCCGGAGGAGAGCACCGAGCCAGAGAGCTGCCCACGGAACACTGCGTCTGCGGACAGCAACGGCAGCAGACAGCAGCAGACATCCTCAATCGCGACGGAGTAGTCCTTGCAGAACTTGGCAACCCGCCCACATCTTCTGAAGTGCCTCTACGATGGTACGAGGATGGCGACACGAAGGACGTCGTCTCACATTGGGTCTATAGTGACTGCCTACCTCTCGCAATTTGGTCGGGCTAACGACATTCTTTACGCCCAGCCGTTGCTCTCGTCGGCAGCCCTCAGTTTCCTTAAGCTTTTATTACCGATCTGGTCCTCTCTCTCCGAAAAGCCGGTCGAAGCTAATATTATTCAAACCTGAAGAATGTGTCTATGGACAGGCAAAATAGGCATGGTTGCCCCATGATGAATTCAGGTCCACGGAAGACGCTGGCTATGAGAAAATCGGCGACCGAGACTGCTGAGCGATTCTGACTCAGAGGACTAGTCCTGCCCGCGTGGTATCGCCTAGCCTTCCTCAGACAGTTTATAGGGTCGTTCCAGAGGAAATCTTTGCCAATCGCGTGCTCATTATAAATTATCTTCGCAGATTCGGATGATCTTGCAATTCGGGGAGAGGGTGATCCCTGCTGATTTTAACTTCGAGCAGTTCCATTGGATTATGACAAGTACTGTGCCATATATGTTTACCCTGCGGAGTTGGGGAGCATCTTGCTGGAGGCCAGCAAGGAGATACGAAGGCCCAAAAGAATCAGTTCAAAGATTGTACGTCGCTCATACCGTCGATATTAGGGAGAAAGTGCGGACGTTCATCATATCACAGAAGTGGCTCCGCTCACCTTCTATTCTTCACCAGCTTCGAAGGCCAACAAAGGAACTCTCTGCCGTCATATCGGTCTTTGGCCTCTTGGTCTAATTTAACTTGTTCATCGCTATCATCTTTTTCCTCGACGACCTCGCTTGCTTCGTCCTTGTCGCTGTCTGCCTTCGCATCTTTGACTCCGTCCTCGTCTACCTAGGCGTTACTGTCTTTGTCCCCTACGGTTGTTTCGTCGTCTTCAGCACGAAACAGGATGACGTGTCGTGAGCGATTCACCACTGTGTAAATTGTCGCGCCCATTGACACGCCTCATATTACCACGAATGTCCATCGGTCACACTCGCGAACACGGTACTCCGGACGCTAGGTACAAGTACTTTCCAGTATTGGGAATACCGTCGACATGGGAGTTGAGGAAGGAGGGGAGGACTAGTATGGAAGGGGATGGAGGACAAATAGGGAACACAACTGTCGAGGTCTTTTGAATCCTGACTCAGCTCGACATCCACTCGCACAGGTCAACTTCGCGGGATCCCAATGGGTACGACACGAACGAACGATAACCGCAGGGATCAGATATACCTTCGAATCTGGCAACAGAACGTCGACAAGGCGAGCGTGGCCTAGTAAGTCTTACTTCAATCCATACACAAGTATCATTCTGACATCGTATGCATCCATGCCAGGAATCCGTCGTGGAAGAGGGTCGGAATGGGCCAAATTGTATTGTTGCGAGCTCTCGCTCAACAAATCGCTCCGGAGACGAACGCAGTCCACAGGACGCAGAAGAACTGTACCCAGACCACGATTACCGCGACCGGTGATAGAGCTGGTGACGGTACACACATACCGTCGTCATCATCACACAAATTCCTCGAGGTCCGGCTCGACCAATAGCTACGTACATGGTCGACGTTGAGGGTGCCGTCGAATACAGCATTACTGGCCCTTCGTTCGGACAAAACTGTCATTCGGATAGTGCGGGGACGCCCGATTCCCCATCGTTACTCCCCTTCGAGCTCTCATATATCATGGCCAATCTCCCCTATATAATTTGCGAAGTTATTTGGGCATACCGTTAATAGCAGCGGGAGGTCGAATGAGGAGGGGGCGTTTCGGGCACTTTGGCGGCGGCTGTCCTATAGTGAAGAGGAACGATTGTCTTCCTCGATCTTTGAGTCTGGATTTCGAGACTAGGCCAAGGCCAATGACTCGGTTCCCGCTCATGGTCCGACACGATTACACTTCCTGTTCTTACTTACTTTCCCGATTCGTTCTCTCCTCCGCTGCCTCATCGTCTATCCGCTCCTATACGTCTCTTAGTTCCGGTTTCTTTTCGTCTCTTTTATAGCCCACATCGTCGACCCACATCTGGTCGCCTTCCGACTCGTTCCGCGTCTCCCATACTTACTCAGCTTCGACTCGCGTTCGTCTATAAAAGCTCGACGCTCGCCTCGCTTGTATCTTTGTCGTTCAACGCCCGTTTCGGTCTCTTACCTTAGCTCTTGTTAATTCACTCGTGCTTATCTGGTTCTATCTCATTCGTGCCTTGCCCGTTACATCACCCCTTTCATTCTGAAGACTTTGTTTGTTCCATTGTCAATGTCCATCTTTTGCCGCATGATCATCACAAGAAATGAGCTATTTATTTTCAGCATTACCATGGTGCCCTATTATGCTTCATGCTTGTTAATAAATTGTGGATGTCTGTCTGGGCAGGAGGGTACTCACCATATGTCTAGATCAAGAGCATCAGGAAGACCACATTCCCCTAGCATGCCTCTTGTGCTCTAAATCTGTCTAAGAGGTCTTGCCACTCTTCCGGCTTAGACTATACAAGTTTTCGGAGACCCGCTAGACACAGTAGACCCACTTGCAGATGGGTTTCTTTTAGACTAAGGGTTTCGGACACTTTAGAGACCAGCCTGAAACTCCGACTTTTCCTCCTGGGGTATTATTATCTATTACATGGGGGTATTACAAAATATGGGTACTCAAGGTTGACTCAAGGTGATGTTCAAACATTGACACGGTTCTTTCGGTTCAACGGTCTCTAATGATACTGAATGCTCACTTACTGCATAGCCATTGCCTGCAAGGGGGTTCCGGAAAGTTAAAAAATGACTGGGGGTCGGTTTTTCTTGGAAAGCCAGCAAGGCATGGATGACGAAGTCCATGGGAGCCTTGAAGTCCGCAGTCCGAACGGTCTTGAATGCCCCTGCTGGTTATCCACGACGGCACAGACCGTATCGACGTCCTTCGCAGAGATCTTGACCTCAGGGCCCGTGAAAGTATAGCAAACGTTGATTTAGGGGAGCTTCTCATAGTCGCCGAACAAGAGGTGCCAGTAGAAGTCTTTGATGTGAGTTGTATGACGGACGGCGACTTCGTGGATGGGAGTGAAGGGCTGGGAAGGGACGTACTGGAACTGAAGGTGGAGGGGAATGGAGGACTCTTGGCGGTATTCGAAGAGGGTAAGGTCCATGACCTTGGACTCGGTGTTGAACGAGACCTCGACGGCCTTGTGGTTGTCCTTCTGCTTCTGCGGGCCGAAGGAACGAGCAGCACCGAAGAAGGAAGCCTTGATGGGGAGACCGTCCACGAGCTCAAGGACAATCTTCTGGTTCGGGCCAGGGGCGAAAAGATGATGAATAAGGTTGTCAATGTAGGAAGTTCCCTGGATGACATTGGCAGACGAAACGAGTGTGTTCCACCAGTTCAGGTTTGAACCGGAGAGGAATGTAAGGAATTCGGAGGTAGGGGGAGGCCGAAGTGGAAAAAGTGACGACGTTGTCTTCGGCGGTGACGTTGAAGCCACGAGCAACGGAGACGAGAGAGGGGAAGGCGCCGAGGTAGTCGACAGTCGGGACGTTGGCAGCGTCTCCACCGTACGTACGCTCAAGGAGGTTCTCGACGAGGATGTTGGTGACGTTGTTGAGCATCTCCTTGATGGGCTCGTCCTTCACCGTGGAGTGCTTGACGGCGACGGGACCCTGGAGAATGCAGACACGCTGAGGGTCCTGGTCGAAGACGGCATCGATATCCTCAGCGGGCCAGAGCGAGTCCTAGAAACGCGTATGAAATGTTAGTCAATTCCAGAGACAAAGAAAGCAAGAATGGCGCAGTATAAAAACGCACCTTCTTGAACCAAACCTCGAAAGTCGAATCCAAGATCGGAATAAACGGCACTGGCTTCTACCCCGGCCTCTGCGCAATCGTCAAGAAATACGCTTTATCCTCCGCCGCTAACAGCTGCTCTTTGCCTAACGGATACTTCTCAAAGAACTCTATCACAAACGGCGCCGGCGTATCCAACGACGTATAGTTCTGCAACAAACTCGCCTTCAACCCTCCCCCATTCACACCCGCGAACCTCTCCTCGACCCTCCTCAACCAATCGCCCGTCCAATTCCTCAAGGAGATATCGACCCAGCGCTCCTTGTGGTCGACGTACATGAGACGAACCAAGCGAAGGACGGTCTCCTCGTACGTCATATCGCCGAGGTCATCGACGACAGACCCGTCCTTCTTCCATCCAAACCACGGCTTCGCGAAATCGGCATTCAACTTTTGATCACCTCCGCCCTCCTCTCCTTCAACCACGCCTCCCTCTTCTCCCCCGGTAACTTGAACACCGTATCGTCGAACTCCTTCCACAACTTCACAGCCCGAGTGGCGATCTTGTGGATCGGCTCGCCGAGCTCCGAACGCACCGTCAAGATCCCACCGGTCTCCTTCGCGTACGTGCCTTCCCATTTCGAATCGTCGACGCCGGAGGCTTTGACAATGAGGTCCTTGACGGACGATGAGGTGTGCGCCTCCTTCGCGACCATGACGCGGGACGCGAAGAGGAAACCGTCGAAGGGCATGGGCTGGACGTCGTACTCGGCGGACCAGTCGCCCGTAAGGCAAGGCCACAAATCGTCCGCGCCACCGAACCCAGATCCACCGACGAGGATGACGTTCGAGTGTTGACGAATCGACCGGTAGGTCGAAAGGATGGTTTGATGGAAATCTTCGCAAGAATGGTGACCACCGGAATGCCAACCAGTCCACTGAAGCAGGATGGGGAAGTCGGGGATGGCAGCGTCGATATTGACGACTTGGCGAATGCCGTCAACGGATCCAGGCTTGAACGCGATGTGCCTAATCCCCGCCGCCTTCAACCCCCCGATGATCTCCGCCGCCTTCTCCGTGGATGGAATTCCCGCAGCGACACAGAAACCCTCGATCGGCAACCCTTCCTTCCACATCTCCTGCCACAACGGCCACTGGAATCCAAACTGACGGTGGATGATGTAGAGCGCGTTAAGCGTGAGACCGACACCGGCGGGGATGTTGGCTTAGATCTCGGCGACTTTGGAACGAAGAGCGGCGGCGTTGTAGTGGCCACCACCGGCGAGTTCGACGTTGTAGCTAGTAGAAAAAATAGCAGAAATGAAGCCGGCCTTGACGGTGGTAGGGGTCATGCCGGCGAGGTGACGAGGAATATGAGGCCGCTGATTACGCGATCTGCAATTGCGCCGGCGTAGGAGGAGGCGGAGTCGGAAAGGGCGACGATTGCGGCTGAGGTGGAGAGTAAGAGAGCTGGAGGTGAGCGGGTGCGGAGGATGCGGCGCAGGATGGAGGATGAGGTCAGGCGGGAGTGGCGCAGGCCTTGACGTTGAAGCCTGATGTTCGCCGATACGTGTGAGGAATACGCGTGGTCTCATGGAAGGGAGGAGGGGGAAGGAAAGGGAAAGAGAAAGGAAGTGGAGGAAAGGGAAGGGAGAGGGACGAGAGGCAAGGAAAGGTCAGTACACGAAAGCACTTAGGGTCGCGTCACGCACCTATTCGCCTTTCACCCTCCCTGAAGACCTCTTCCTGCATCCATCTACCTCTCTAATACACCGCACTTCAGACTCAAATTTCGCCGGGGGCAATTTCGTTGAAAGAAGCGATGCTCCGCCGTCCGTGCTTCGGGTTGTTGCCACTGAGACCATGAATACACTAGTGTCGATGTAAATGTATTGTGGTCAGCGTCGGTAAACGCCGCATGGCTCATCTGAACCCAGCTCAAATTTCGTGATGGAATAGAGCACGGTCCATAGGAACGCTAGAGTAAACACCATTACAACATTGCATCCCATAAATGACATTAGCCGTCTATATATCAACGTAGATATCGTTACCCCGAGTCTCCGACCCTCACGGCCGTTGTGGGTTGCGAAGAGGTTTGCGATGGGAAGGGAGCAGGGCGGTGCCGCTCCTGATACCTCGAAGGGGCTGGAATACCTAAAGGTCTGAAAGACACGCCATCCATTGCAACTTCCGGGGGTGTCCGCCTTCGAAACGCTCATTGCAGCGGCTGAACGGAGGGTATCGCGTCTGAGAGAGAACGAGAACGCTGGTGAGGGACCGGCGGAGGTGAACGAGGAACGAATGCTTCGAGGATGAAAGAGGAAGCTTTTCGGAGGTCAGGAGCAAGACGGTTGGGACATGAGGGGACCATGAGCATCGTCATACCTGGGGCAGAAGACTGAGCAGGAGGACTCGAAGGTGATAGAACGTCGATGTCGATATCGACGGCGACGTTCTCCGTGGAAGCAGCGGGAACGACGTATCGAGGATCGAGATCGGAGTCCTGCGTCGACACACTCCCTCTCCTTTCCTCATCCGCATCGTCCGCCGCACCCGTAGGACTAACTTCACCACTCCCACCAAGTCCGACCCACTCCCTCGACACACGCTCCTCCACCCATGAATTGCGTGAGAGCGACATCGCGCTGGAGGGAAGCGCCACCGTCCGTGTACTCGTCTCAAACCGGTAAGGAGCCAGGAGAAGAGAGACCAAGTATAAAAGACTAATGAGCTGGATGCCTAAGCACTCACCCCTCCAGGGTGCCTCTGAGAGGGTGAATGACGCCTTCCGTGTACATAGTAACATGTGCATAACCAACGTGTCCAGCTCCTCAGTTTTCAAAGAGAGTTGACATGCAAGACTAAGACTGAAGGGTGCAGGGCGGGTGCCGCTCCTGCTACATGCTCCTTTAAGTCCAGACCTTTGAAGAGCTGGAATACCTTGTAAGGTTCAAGTGGAACCTTATACAGTACACGAGTATGTCGCTAATACGGGCACTCAAACAGACAGGAGAACGAGAAGAGTGACATATCCAAGAAGTTGCCTGTGTTTCTGCTCACAGACATGGGAGATTAAGGTGAGCTCAATGTGAGCGCACTCAGTACTCAAGTACTCACCGCTCGAGGGCGCGATCGGTGAGTGACTAAACGGGCTTGATATCCTCGGACAAAACCGGCCCGGGCCAGACCAAGTAGGGCCTGTTTGGGCTCGTTTCACTAGTTTGGCCGAGCTTCGACCCATTTCATTCCAACTTGAGATTTGCACGTTCTGCAGATGGCGCAAAACAGATATAAACTTAAGACGTCTTCAATGTTCTGGCTGCTGTGCACAACATTCAATTAGACCTTGAACACTGTTTACTGACTACCTCAGTAGACAGCCTGCCCAGATAATGTTACACAATAGATTATAATGAAGGAATAAGGATAGACATCTATTTAAAACACACTGCAACCAAATCAGTAAGGGCCCGGGGAAGATAAGCGAAGAGTCAGAGACAAGACGAGACACAAGTCAAAGAGCGTGTAACTGTGTTGGTTCATAAAGTTTATGACCCGACACGCATAGCACATGAGCATAGAGGAAGGAGACAGATGGGGCCGTACTACAATCTCCCACGAAAAAGGAAAAGGGAACGACCGCTGCTTTTTGACCAATGTCCACTCCGAACGCACAGACACATCATATTGTCGTCGTCGCCACCTAATCACTTCGGAACTCGCCCTGCAATCCCTGCGCTGCGAGACGCGGCTCGAGATTCTTCAGCGGCTCTTCTTTCGCAAGCAGCTCGTGCTTCTTCTTGCCGATCTCCTATTGCACTTTGAGCTCGATCTAGTCTATGTTACAAGCCCCTCGGGAGAATCAATGAGTCACTGCAAATCACGGTGACAAAGTGAATAAATAAAAGGTCTTCTGCAAGGCGCAGATGGAAAGAACGCACTGGGTGTCGGTGTTCACCATCCTTGAGAGATCCTTGGGAGGGTACATCTTGCACAAGACATCGTGAGGGACTTAAGATCAGCAAGATGGGAGCTGTATAGACAAATCACGTCAACCACCAACAAGGAAGTGTTTATAAGGGGACAAGACGACAAAGTTATAGTGTTTGAAGATAGAGTGGGGATGGGCAATATATGGCGGTGGACAGGGCGCGCGAAGCAGGGAAGAAATAAAGACGTACCGACGTTGAGGGCTTAATCCTGATGCCTTCCTCAAGGTGCGCAAACTCATGGCTGTCAGACATATTGTGGTTGGATTGAGGGCCTCCACTCGCAGAGCTTGTTGACAAACAGGTGGCCGTAGATGAGAGGAGGGCGAGATAGTTGAGAAAGGAGAACGAAAAGCGGATTTCGGAGGGGATGACGCAAGTGTAGGCAAGAATCTGTGATGACAGATGGGTCAGCTGTTGAAGAAAAGCGATAGGTGAGAATAAGAACTTACGAAGAAGATAGAAGAAAAGAAGGAAAGCGAACTCAAGAAAGAAGAAGAAGAAAAGGACCGGCCAATCAAGGCAGCGGTGAGGGCGGTAAAGATAGACGAGTTTGTGCCAGACCACCCGCTCGTGGTGAGTGCGCATCATTGGCGAGAAGGTCTGGCTGGGGGGAAATAGCAGCGCGGGCGGGTAAGGCGTTTTATATGGTACGGGTAGAGGGGATAGTCAACGAGGTCACGCCCCAATGGTGGGACAGTCAACAAGGTCATGCACACGACGCGTTCCAAACGCGTCCCGGCGTGGCGTGGGGATGACTAAGTTCTACCATTACTGCGCCACCCGCCACTTAGAAATCCACCACAGGGGGCTTCAAGCCCAGTGAAAACCGCATCGACGTGTATCTATGGAATCGCACTTGCCGTTTATTCCATAGATACACGTCGCAACTTGGACCATTCCGAGATGTGTATCTATGAATGACTATGGGGCCGTGGAGCTCTCATCTCGGCGACATGGGGCAACTAGTAGTATCTATGAGATTCTATGAGATTCCATGTGTTCCAATTTACAGTCTATCGGGATGTTTGGCACGAAAGGGTGCTTTTATTGTTGATTCTACGTATACATATGCATATCTACAAGAGTCTGCTCCGCCGCATCTCGCGCCACATCAATACAACCGCCACAGCTCTCGACGGTCTACCAAGAAAGAAAGCCTGAATCGATGCTGAGCCAGACAGCGTGTTTGTGTCTACCGAGAAAGAGAGTATGAAAAAATGAACTAGGATAGGGTATTTCCACGAATTGCACGAGGGTCGTAAGGGCGTGGAAAGGGAGAGGGTCGCGTGCGTCTGCCAACGTGCTCCAGTGCTTTTCGAATGCGGCTTGCGTCATATTGGGCCACGCTGCTTTCCACTGTAAGGCGCAGTTCCGTCTGAGCCGTTGAGAGGTATAAGTACTAAGAAGGAGGCGAAAATGGTAAAAAGTGCAGCTTACTTCGGTGTATCCTTTACACCGGGAGTTAGGGACTTGCCCCCCTTCACTCTGCCATCCGTCTGAACACTCATAGGGTTGCTGGGTGTTGGGTAAGACGACGCCATGTGACTCTGTATTTAGAGCATGAGAATCAATGCAGATGTAGACGAAACAGACAACTCACGGATGAACCTGATTCGGTAGGGAGCAAGACTGAGTCCGTGCTTGCCTGTGTGTAAGTGCCGGCTCTGCAAATAAATGACATGGTCAACGATACATCCGAGAGTCCATACCGTGAGGATACGCACAATATATCATTCTCTTAAGAGAGTAAAGCTACTGTTAGTGAAAAGTGGTATAATGACAGCACTAGAGAAACGCACCATGAAAGGTACGGACAAGACTGCCGTCCAATTCTTGTCGGTGGGGCCCGGAGGTAGATCGTTCGATAGGCCAGTAGCGGATAGTGAACCATCAGGCGGTGTGTTCGAAATGGTGAGCTCCTTCGATGAAGATACCAAATGGAAAGTGACGTTGAAACTTGACCGGACACGACGCCCGTCACATCGGCTTCAGTCTGGTGAGGAACCACTGATAATGACTAGCACTAATAGTAGTAGGATATAACGCGCCCGAGTAAAGCTTACCGTCTCTAACGGTGTCTTAGACATCCTAAGCAGTAGCGTTACTGGTTGAAGCGGGTGTAGTGCTCAAACAACGTGTAGCGTCAACATTGCGAGGTGCGAAGAGGTGTACCGGTAGTAGGGGCACTCTTTACATGGGACTCGAGCGAGCGGCCACGAATAGATGCATTGTTGTCGCCGCCACGAGTGGATGCATTGCCAAAGTCGCGATTAGCGCGAGGTGAATCGGTGGCGACATCCGTGGAGGCGCAAAGTGGATCGAGATCCTCCATGTTTACGCTGCCAGATGGACCGGGAGTGTCGAAGGCTTCAATTTTGGCTTTCTTCTCAGGATAGTCCGACGAGACTAGGAGTGAGGACAAGTTAGCTTGTGTTCAGGGAAGATAAAAGAAAAAAAAGGGATAAGATCTTGGATAGGCTTTGAAAAAAAAACCATTGACTGGATACATCAAGAGTGAAGAGAAACGCACGATCTGTCGCCCGCTTCTTCGACTTCAACTTCTCCGTCCGAGCCCAACGCTGAGTTTTCCACGCAGGGAACTGCAGCTCCATGAACGCCTCGATCTGCCAACCATTCTCACCAAATGTGAGGTCCGTGAACGCGTCTCGGACATCCTTTCGAAACCGGTGAATGCGAGGCAGGAGTTGATACACATATGATGAATGGTGGGAGTGACACCGCTAAGCTCCGCGACACGGCGTTTCATCTGTGCATGTGATGGCACAGCAGACTCGGGATTGTGGCGCTGCATGGCCTGGTGGATGTCGTGATATGTTTTCTGTGAAGCATTTCGAGTGGCGAGGAAGATATCGAGGGATAAACGAAAATCTGGGTCTGTTATATTGAGTGGTGTACGCAGAGGATTACGTAGCCGATCAACGGTCTCTAAATCTAAACCACCATTGTCCAGAGTGGCTAGCTGGACACCACGAACGAACTCCTGCCCAATCCGAAAATCCTCTATCACCGATGCCGCAGGCACCTCCATCATCTCCGGACTAGTTCCAACACCGATTGCATCTTCTGGTATATTCGGAAGTTCGATCGGAATATGATTGTGCTCTTGAACGTTGTCGGGATCTGGAAAGTCGGGAGGATGCTGAGGCGGACCCACAGGAGTATGAGGTTGTTGGGTAGATTGTTGTGTATCAATGGATGGTGGTCGCGGATTGGGAAGTGGTTGTGGTTCCGGAGTCTGAGAAGGCGGTGGATGTGCAGGAGGGGAGGGTGGTGGACTGTCAGGCTGAAGAGATGAGTCTATCAGTGCATCATACAACAAGAACGGGCATGAAAGGATGATTGATTCAATCACATACCGGAATCAGCATATCCTCATCCATGACCTCTACCCGTTGGCGCTTACTCTGTTCTGCAGAGCCAGCACTCCGGTCGTCTGCACTACGCTTTCCCATTGACGTAGACGAGAGGGAAGGGCCTGCGGAATCAGCAGGAGCTGCACGGGCTTGAAGAGACGACGAATCCGCTTAGGCTGTAAAGCGGTTCATGTGTGCAGTAATTTCTTCCGGAGTCAAGGACGCAAGGACCTTTGGTGTGAGGCCGGTGTGCGTCTTCAGAGCCTGTCGAGAGACCTGACGTCCAACTTCAGCACATTCTGCACATGGACAGGGATATTTTGTAACCAAAGCAGCATTTTCGTTTCGGGAGGAGGTAGATGCAGAGCATTTCAGATTCGGAGCATGAAGGTGGTGGACAGAACAGAATTTCCGAATATGAGGCTGGGGTGTCATGGAGTAAGAGCGCCCAGTCTGATTGACCACGGCTGGCCTCAATGTTCCGAATGTTCCAGCAATGCCACTGTGTGCACTAGTTATGTATTACAAGACACATGAGTGAGGCTATGAGATATCCACAATTATTTCAACCTACCTTGTCCTCAGAAAAGACCCTCGGACGCAGTGGAAAGGACGAAGCATAGAGAAATGCGTAGTTCGAGCAGCGAGAACTCGGAGACTGCTAGCTCGGCTCAATAGGAGCCCACTGGTAACTAAGAACATATCAGAGAAGCCAGCCTAGCTAACAGTAGCACAGAAAGGTATATGACTGTGAGCACTTTGTGAAGTCACTCGTTGCACGCAGACCATACGCTAGAGCTTGAGCGCCACGACAACTTTGACGGAGGCAAGCTCAACTTGAACTTGAACTTACTGAACGACTCGCCGTGGGACCTTTACCCAAAAATAGAAGGTATGACTCAGACAGTGTCGTCAGTGGACTCTGTCTTGCAGACTCGCCGTGGGACCTTTACCCAAAAATAGAAGGTATGACTCAGACAGTGTCGTCAGTGGACTCTGTCTTGCAAGCAGTCGAAATTCGACAGGTATTGATTGACAAACCGTCTCCCTCCGTCTCCTCAAGTGCCTCCGAACCACCGACCAGGATGCAAGCCGCTTTTGTTCCTGGACGCATAATGAAATGAGGTACCCGACGCATCAGTGTAAAAGCCGGCGGTTGGTGCTCGTCCTCCGGATCAAGTCCAGGTTGACGGCGACCCTGGCCCCTTGACAACCTTGATCATTGACCGTCGTCGACGGAACCGGGAGGAGCGAAGAATGTTGGAATGGTCCTTTCCGTATGTTTTGTTTGATTTCCAAGCTCCTGCTATCATCCTTCCCTCTAATTACCAACATGAGTTCAGGTCGAGCAGACGCTGAGATGTCAGTGCTATACATCTTGCCCTTCAACCAGCTTCAACCTCGGGTAAGCAGTATCCCTCCCTCTGCCGACCATGTTCAAGTTCAAGAATTCTCCGGTTATGTTTTCTCTCGGCATGAAACCACAGGGCCACTGTCGCGTGCACAGATATTTTGCTGACATCCGTAGCGATGATCGTATCCAGAGGAGGCTTTTATGTTTTGCACAATTGACGCATCATCACCTGCATATACGCATGCCATATGCTCGTTTTGAGGCTTCTTTGCTGCGGCACATTTCTAAGAAACTTGCTGCGCTCATAGACTCATCTCCGTGACTCTGTCAATAATTGTGTATTTGGAAGCCCACACCTGCGACCTTACGGGTGTCAGGTCTACAGCGAAGGTATATTGCTCTGGTCTGAATCCAAAAAAGTACCTTTCACTGTCATTGACCGACTGGGGAACTCTTGTTCATCGCGTTGGCCGCGATATTGGCTTGTCATCATCAATGGGCTGGACCCGCCGCATCACTCTCAGTTCACACTGCTCGGTGCCTTTCATCAAGATCTGCGTCTTCGCTTCGAGGGTTTGGTCTGGGTGTTGTTAGGAACTCAACCGACCCAGCAAACATGATGAAGCAAGAACCGGTCGTCGGTCGCATGAACGGCAACTCATCGGAACAAATCGCAGCACGATGCCAAGAATTAGCCCAAACGCCTAGAGAGGGTATAAAGGCCTCTCGAACTTCACGGTATGTTTCCCCCTCACCAGCTTGCTTGTTCTCGTTCTCGTTCTTCTTCATCCTCTTCTCCAGTATCCGAATCGCTAGCCGACTTGCCAGTCGAGTCCCCCCTTTCTTTTCCCCATTACATTCTTTTTCTGTGTTCCTTGCACACATTGCCCCCAGCGTACTAGCTACGCCACCCTTCCCCACCCACACCACCTTCAAATTTGTGGCACTTCAACTCTTTGACAACATCGACGATGGTTCTCTCTATCAAATCTGCAGCTCAGGCTAGCGCTATCCTCGCTTTCGCAAAACTTGTAGCAGGACACGGCTACGTCCAGTACGTTTCTCTCCTCTCGGAATGTCATGTAACGTTCTTACTCACGCGTACCCATTGTACTCTTGCGTCCAGGGAACTCAACATCGGTGGTACAGAGTACTCCGGCTACCTTCCTTACAACGACCCGTACACCACCCCTACACCCATCCGTATCGTTCGGTCCTTCGACGGAAACGGTCCTATCGCGGATTTCACCACTGGCGATATTACCTGCAATGACGGTGGCGACACGGCTGCTGGTGCCAGTGCTACTTTAGCCGCTGGTGATTCTGTCGACTTCTTCTGGACTGCATGGCCCGATTCCGTGAGTCCTCCTGCCCTTGTCTCATGCAAACGAAGACTGAGTACAACCTTTAGCACAAAGGTCCCACCATGACTTATATGGCCAAGTGTGACACCGATGATTGCTCGACATTCTCAGGCCAAGACGTATGTTCATGCTCCTATTCCATTATTTTATACGTATCGTGGGTCTGATCTACTTCTCATAAATCAACAGGGTGATGTCTGGTTCAAGATCGACCACGCCGGTCTTGACGCCGATCTCACTACGTGGGCTTCAGATGACCTCATTGCGAACAACGTATGTTCCAATCCTCATTCAACCACAGTCTCTACCATCCTGATCTCAAAACCTGGATGCTATAGAACTCCTGGACCGTCACCATCCCTTCTGACATCGCATCCGGTGGCTACCTCCTCCGCCACGAGCTTCTCGCCCTTCACTCCGCCGGTACCGCCCTAGGTGCTCAGTTCTACCCAATGTGTGCCCAGGTTGTCGTCACCGGTGGTGGATCCGCTTCGCCTTCGGGTGTGGCACTTCCTGGTGCATATGCGACTAACGACCCCGGTATGTTCTATTTGCTCGAAATCTGCGTCCCAGAGTCTGGCAGCTCACTTATGCATTTACTTCAGGCATCCTGATTGATATCTACCAGAGCTTGACCACGTACGCTATCCCTGGTACGTGTTCTTTCGCTGTCCGACAATCCTACTTCTGCAAAGCTGATGCTTCCGTGGTTAAGGTCCCACCGTGTACACCGCTGGTGGATCTACCGGTAGCGCCACCTCTGCTGCCACCTCTGCTGCTGCCACCTCCGCCGCCGCAAGCTCTTCTGCAGCTACCAATGCTGCCTCATCCGCTGCCGCCTCGTCCTCTGCCGCTGCCGGCGTTTCATCTTCCAGTACCACCTCGACTGCATCGTCCACTGCGACTGCTGTCTCCTCATCTGGCTTCGTGACGAGCACGACGGCCGCGGCATCGTCGACTGCCGCTGTTACAAGCTCAAGTAGCGCTGCCGCGGGGTCCTCGTCGACGGCCGCTGGTACGACGTCTGCGGCTGCTACTACGACCAGCTCCTCGTCGTCGACTAGTACTGCCATTGTTAATGCGAACACTTGCATGAGTGGTAAGTTACCCTTTTTACCCCCTAGAGACAAGCTCTCAATAAGATCTGATACACTTCCACGATAATCGGACTACAACTCGTGCATCGCTGCTTCGCAACCCAATCCCGACTGGACAGGTTGTGGGTCGACGAAGGATACATGCATGGAGGGCGCCGTTTACGAGCGTGTGAAGCGGAGTGTACGATTTGGTCGTGCTCTCGCCTGAGGGTATGCCTGAAGATGCCTAATGTATTCGCTCCTTCTTCTTTCGTTCTCCTGTCATCATCCTCTTCTCTTCTTGCAGTCTAGATACACAGAGTGTATTGTTTTTTTTTATGTATAGGGTCTTTGAATAGACCTTCTGAATCCTGCGACTGGCAAATATCACTCGGTCTGGCTTTCTGCGTTGTGTAATTGCGACTCGCATCATGGCTGGAGTGACCAAGATGCAAACGATTGCAAGATGTCGAGTGATGCCGTTGGCCTGAATCGGTACCACAAACATCCACAGTGACTGCAATGACCTGCTTTCCAGAGTGACCCAGACTGCCTCTAGCTTCAAAGCTTTCTAACGCATTACATACCGAAAGGCAATCAGCGATGTGCTCAAAGAAAAGAGGGAAAAATCGGGTTTATTCTCGGGAATATCCGAGGTCCGAACCGTGGAACGGAAGCACTTACGTCGGCTGTCTTTGCTCTCCATCTCCCGAGCTAGTCTCGAAATCCAGACTCAAAGATCGAGGAAGACAATCGTTCCTCTTCACTATCGCGACGGCGGCGACGCGACGCGGCTCAAAATGTCACGTAAGCTATCGTCCATGTGGCGTTCGCGCGGCGAATTCGCAATTCTCTCAAATCCAGGTGGCTGCCGCAGCACGGCCGTGTGCTAATTCAAACTCCGAGTCGCCAACGCCTCCGACCCCTCCGTAGGTGCAAGACTACTCCCGAGCAGCCCGTTCCACTCCCCTCTGCGCCGCTCCAGATTATCTCCGAGTCACCGTCCATAGTCCTTCAACCTCCACTCACTCGACGAGGAACTGGACCAGGGCTCATCGTTACTCTACCTCCTTCTCTTTCTCTTCAGCCGAATCCGAAGGGAAAGCCGCTTGACCCAGAGCCCGTGCAGAAATGGGCCGAGGAAGGGTTCGCCGTCGTGGGTATCACTGCGACAGAAACCGAACTGGAAGCTGCCGTGGTGAAAGCGTTGGATTCTTTGGAAGGATTGGAGGAGGTAGGCATCAAGGATAAAGTTGCTGTTCTTGGTACGTCAATCGTAGTCGGCCATCGGTTTTCGTGTACCGAGATAGACTTTTTTTTTTTGCTGCAGTCTATGAGGAACGCCACTTCTCTGCGATCTCGTCAATCGTATCCGAGAACCCCAAACTCGTCTGCATCGCAGCCTACATCTCTTTGGGGTCCAATCTATCAACTGTATCAACCTCGTTCCCCACGCTCTTTCACATCTCCTCCCCTGACGCTGAGGCGCCTCCATCCGATGCCATATCCGCCAAGGCCGACACGACCAGTCAAACTGCTACATATCCATCGACATCCTCCCCTTTCTTCGTCCTCCCGAACTCTTCATCCTACGACCCCGGAAATGCATCGCTCGCGCACACTACCGCCCTTGTATTCTTCCGCAAACATCTGGGTGGCCCGAACTTCGATATCGCCGCGATTTGGGAGGAACATATACCTACTTCAAGTTTGCCGCGAGGACTGTGGCGAGAACTATGGGGACAATGGTGGTACGTATTGACTTGTCTTATGTGGTCTGCTCATGGGCGCTGAATTGAATTTTGGTGAAGGCTGAGCCGTATGTCAATCATGTACCAACTATGACCGGTGGTATCGGCCGAAAGGCTCTTTCTGCGTTCTACCGCGACCACTTCATTTTTGCGTACGTTCTCGTTCGTTCTCAATGCTTACTGTAGTTGTACTTACTGCCCACATCGTACTCAGTAACCCAGCCGACACAAGCATGCAAACCGTATCGCGAACGGTCGGGCCTGATCGTGTCGTTGGTGCGTACTTCTGTTGCCCATCTTGTTTCCATACTGACAATGATTCAATAGATGAATTCATACTCAGAATGACCCATGACCGTACGGTTGACTGGCTGCTGCCCAAGGTCCCACCAACGGGCAAGAAGATTGCAGTACCCATGCTCGGCGTCATCAATGTTCGAGGTGACCGCCTCTACCATGGTACGTCCTCTCACTATCATCCTCTCCACCTCTTTTTTCGTACTCTCGTGTCCGTACGCTCGTCACGTTGTCATATAGAACATATCTGGTGGGACTAATCCACCGTCCTCCTCCAGATCGGCGTCATCCCCGCACACGTCCCTTGGCCCCTCTCCGATTCTTCGTCCGTAGGCCCTACACCACAAGGCAAGAGACTGAAGTTGCCGATCTCTGAGGGCAATAGTAGCGCGAGGTTGTTGATCGACGAGACGGACGGTGTAAGTAATGAGATGTTTGGGGAGGACTGGGGAGTTACGGATGCGTAATTGACAAGAAAATAGCGGCACAGAGGTAATAACGGTATCGTTTGGAGTATAAATTTATCGTGTATTTTGCAATTCTATGATCAATCTTTCATGCATAATGTTGACCTGCAGAGAGAACAGAATCACTGTGAGACAAGTACAGATTTCTTATCATAGAACTACCACACGGAGAACAACAAGACCCATCCAAACGCTCCTACCCAAGGGCTTCATCACAAATCAGCATCACATGAATCAAACAGGAACCTTGATCTAAGAAGTACAGGGACAAGGCCATCGTCGTCAGTGAGGTGCGATGGACCACGAACAAATGTAGATCGGTGTCAGGATAGCACGTACCTTCGCCACGGTTCTGTCCACCGCTAATGCAACCTTTTCGCTGAACTTGCGGACCTCCTCCTTCGCCCTCATTCTGCAGTCCATGTTGTTACAGGCTAGCGCTATCCTGAAGGTTTCGTCCAAGCGGTGTTGATCCTTCACAGTCAAGCTACAAGGCGTGATCGTTAAAGGCGGACCGGTCTGCTTCACGAACTCGAACAGCCATTTCGGACCTTCCAAGCGAAACGTGCCCCAAAAAGAATGGTGTATGGCATCCGGAGAAGGTGACGACGTTGAAGGACATACGACACTGACATTACAAGTCTCGCAAGAATCGTATTGCGGTATGCACAGAATGGAGAAATGTGAGAAAAAAGGAATGAAGAACTGAAGACATATCTCGAGACGAGGAGGAGAAGGCGCACGTTAAATGCGCATATAATAGTCGACCACGCCTCCTCGACCAACTTGCCCGCCTATGAGCACTTGCATTCCCCTTCGATCATCCGCCAAAGTTCTCCACCGTTCCGATCTCCATTCCGCACACTAACACCCCATTCGTTCACGCACATATTGCTGTTTCACGCGACTTTGCCCATATACCATCCCACCCATCCTATCTCCGTCATCCCAAGCCCCTTCCCCCTCGATAGTCTATACTGCATCTACCCCATCCTTCCCAGATCAACCTATCCCACCACATCCCGGCACCTAAGCATCCTAATCTCGCGTCCAAATCCTCATAAGACCCCTCGCATCCGCCGCTCGTGTTTCCTTCTCGCCTGGAACGTGAAGGAGCGAAGGCAGCAATTCGACCTCGACCGAGAAAGGGTGGCAACTTTATGCGTCTTCGTAGTCGTAGTCGTCTTCGTTGTTCGGTAGGACACCTCAGTCCTGTTCGCCTGTACCTTTCCCACCATTCCTTTCTTCCCTATCCCTAGCCTCGATTCCGTCGTGTTTCCAAGTCGCGTAGTTCCCAACTTCCGATGCACTCAATCGCGACTACGAGCTCCGTGCCTCCGGTTCCTCCCATCCCTCTATCCCTCTTTCCTCCTCGCCCAACGATCACCCATAGATTCGGATGCACGTGTACGTAGAGAAGCGGAACCACGGTATCGTAGGATTTCGTGCCCACGGAGGAGGTATGCCCTGCGGTTGTTTTGTGTGAAAACGGGGAATATAGAGGTGAGAGGTGGAAGGAGTGTAGGAAGAAGGAAGAACGGGGTTGTGGGATGATGAGCGGATAAGACGTCAGCGTACGATCCCTAAAAGAGACAGTGAGAAATTGTGCGGCTACGGAGAGTAAATGGCGCTATGTAGGAAAGCCGCACCAAACCAAAAGGACGGAGTGGCGTACATTTACATGCGTGCTTCCTACTGTTAGCCTGAGCCCATGTGTATTGCTCGATGTTGCCTAGGATCGTCACAGCGGACGTGTATGGAGCAGTGACAGCGTTATTGTCGTCGATGGTAAGGGTGACGGTTGAGGTGGAGACGATCGCCAGACCTATCTGATGGTTGCAATGACCCGGAATGTATCAGCTTGCGTTGAGAAAAAAACGAAAAAGAGGAGCTCACCCAGCCATTGGCGCTTGTGGAAACAATGAACTTTCCCTCCCATACGGCAGAGAAGTTGTTCGACGGAAGATCAAGAGGAGGATAAATGGCCCATTTCCTGTTGGGCATCGAAGAGTCGACCGTCACGGAAATTAGCACATACGCTTCATATTCCGATACCTAGTCGAAGACTCGGAGAGACTCAACTCACCCCTAACTTCACCTACGCCTCCGACACAACTACACATCCCATACACCTGATGAGATTCTCGAGCGAGTGCGGTCGTTCTCGGTAGGATCGTTCGAGCTGTTTCGGGTGGCCGAGCCATAGAGTGGAGGTCGCGTTCTTTGAACTTGCACGAGGCAAGGATGCGAGTGGGGTCGAGGGAGTGGGGGAGGTAAGTGATGATGCCGCGTTAAGAAATGTGATTGGCGAGGATATGTTGGGAGGGGTGGTCGAAGATTCGGATGGTGGCTCGGTTTCGTCTGAATTCGTGTCCCGCTATTGCTCCAACTGCGCGCTCCTCTTCTGCGACGTACGCCGCGACGAGTTCGCGCCACGTAAGGACGGCGACCGAGACAGTGTTCGTGAATATGTTGAGGTCATTCGGAACGCGTTGTGCTGGTATCGGTGGGATTGGGGAGATGGGATATAGTAAGGTGAAAGGGGAAAGTGAGAGGGGGTAAATGGCGTAAGGTGGTGGAGGAGAGATGTGTTGAGAGTATGGAAGGGCGAGGGTGAGGCGATGTCGATGGTTTCCTGTTGGAGGGCAAGGACGTGTGAGCGGATTTCATTAATATGAGAGATAGGGTGTATAGAAAGGAGGGAGGATTATCGAAGACGGGAAGATGGGGCATTGTCATAGGTAAAGCATGAAAAATAATCGTAAAGGTGCACGCACCGGGAATGTCTAGTTCACTTTCTCCGAGGCAACCTGTCCCGAAACCTCATCCACGTCTCGCATTGTGGGATCCGAACCATTCACAGAGGCTCCGTCAGCTTCCTCGGTCATGTGCACCTCAGTTTCAGCTGTTCCCTCCCCTCGATCCAAAACCGTGACAACGCCACACCTCTCACCACCCTCGCTCCTCCAGTGCTTCCAATTGGATAGCGTTCTCCCTCCTGATGGCACCCCAGCCCCTCCCATACAGATCCTTCAGAGAATGAAACATCTGTTCATCTCCTAGTGGCATCGAGAGCGACGTGTCATCTGGGCTTCCGACAGCAGGGAGTGGCACGAGCGGATGGAGAGGCTGCATGGGACGGAGGTTGTCCTTTCGAGAACAATAGAAGTAATGGGACAATGTAGTGGTGTATTTATGTCCATCTTTCCTTCTTTGGGTGTCATAAATGACAAAGAACAAAGCCCAGAAGGAAGAGAGACGAAGCAGGTCGGATGCCAGTGAGTGGCAACAGCTTGGATGTCGAGTCGACGGAGGGTGGCTGTGGAAAGCATACTGACGCGGATGTTTGCGCATAGCACCAGTCCTATTCTGATTGTAGCCAGTTTGTGGGTGGATGGACCATAGCATCTTCAACGAGACGAAGAGGAAGGACAACGACGAGAGACGCGTACGGTGAGGTCTTGGTAAAGTCGAGCGGTTAGAAAGACACGGATCTTATCTTAAGTTATCTTATCTTCAGTAGCTTCTGATGCTAACAAGGGAGCGCTACCTGCGGCAGCAGCAACCTTGCTGGGGAGGGGCCGTAGCGGGCCGACGCCACTTCTGGACGGGAGGCCCACAGGTCTTACAATATCATCGCAACATTCCACAACTCGGGGCCCATATGAACGTTCTCTACCGCCGTGCCCGGGAGGCCATTTCTCTCACAGACGAGAGTGCCCTCAGGCTGTTACCTTACCATCAACAGTGACATACTTGTTTTCTCTCGGGGCTCCTTCAGTTTCTCCTCCACTCACTCGAAATAGCACGGTTTTTCTTGGTGTCACTCCGGTCAACCAGACTTCCCTCCTTCGCTCTTTATGGGAAATCTCATCAACTTGAATGTCCATCTTACCGTCTTTCGTCGTTGCGTTTCATTGCCGAACTCTGTATTTCATCTGTAACAACTGTCTCGACTGTGACTGCTGGGCGGGGCAGGCCTGCCATTCGTCTGCCAAAGCTGTCAGACTGAATAGACGAGACTGTTTTCTAGAAAGTGCCGCCGACCTACTTACTACTTATTATCTGTCCATGAACGATCTTCGACAAACTTCTCCTCGCGCCACTTGATCTTCTCATTATTTCACTCGATTTTTTATTGTGTCCGGGACCCAAATAGACATAAGTCTCTCGTTGCCCGCGCGTTCCATCGTCAAAAGCTGTCTTTCAACTTCAATAACAGCTGCTGCATTTGACACCGATTGTACCATATCTCGCTCATTTCTCTCTTATCATGTGTCCATTTCTCTTCCGACAGGAGGTCTCATGCCCATTTCTGCGACGTACTTTTGTGCTGCTTCGATACATCATTCCTGAGAGAGGTTCATACCACTGTGTCCAGCGTGTGTAGTTTTCCAATAGCTCAACTTAGAGACAAAGCATTGTACGATGCGTAAATATTCTTTGCTTGCGGAGTCGAACCTGTGAATTTGCTGCGAATCGAGTAGTAAAAAGTACTTCGTGCAAAGGCACCGCGAACAGGTGCCGCGCCACATTATTTGTTTGTACTTGTTTATTTTTGGCAACGGATTTGCAGGTTACGGGGGTGCGAAGGACCTTGAAGCAAGGTAATCGTTGTTGCTTTATAGCCGCACGCAGGCCCTTTTCTTCTTGCTTTAGACCATCATCTATCGACCGTCTGCCCCGCTCCCCAGCCAACCCAGCCCCGCTCCCCAGCAAATATCGAATCAACAACCGACCAATCTTCGCTAAAAACAGACGGGTATCTGAGAATGTGAGTCGTTCTCTGCCGCTGGTGGCGCGTTACATATAGGCGATCCTGACGCATCGTTTTCCTCCTCAGACGCGTCCGCAATCCCGATCTACTCTCTGAATACCGTGAATATCGAACCGCAATAACAGCACCCTCCCAACAACCAAACCGTAAGTCCTATTCACTCTCTCTGTTTCTGCTGCGCGCTCATCGTGTCTGGCCACCGTCGTCTTTCTCTGTTGCAGCAAGCAGGCCCTGCCCCTGTTTCCACACGCCAAAGTCTCCTCCATCATCAACTTTGTCTCAAACTTTAGTTTCCGACAAATTCGTCTCTCAGCTGTGAGTGACCTTCCCTTCATCAACGTTGCCCTCCTTCCCTTTTGAGTGCGTCGACTCGACACTGACACCGACACGTTCCCACGCCGCTCCCGTCTCTTTGACCAGTTCCTACCAAACCAGCTCAAGCAACAACAACAACAACAACACCCGCCAGCTTGAACAACACATAAGCATGTCTAACAACGTGACCATGGCCGCCCCCATTGACTACACCAACAATAACAGCATCGCCTACCGCTGTTACAGTTCCTTCGTCGACGCGTCGGTCGCCTTCACCCTCGCCTCCCCACCATCCCCAGCGCCTTCCCTGAAAAGGCGACGCGCCTTCGAACACAGGTACGAGTCCTCAAACTCGGATTGCGAGGCCGACGACGAAGAAGGGAGCTCAGAGTCAGACACCGACTCCGACTCCGACCTCAGCGACATCGAGGACGAGGAGAAGGAGAATATGGCGCCGCCTCGGAAGAGGCTTTGTATCGACCTCCAAGATTATCCGCGCCTTCGTATGGCAGAGTTGAGCGTGAATTCGGGGAGGTCGTCGAGGGCGTCCTGGACGGGTGCATCGACCTGCACCCTCCTGACGCCGCCTGATTCTCCTCGTTTCATCTTCCGCCCACTCCAACTTGTATGTTCTCGTTCATTGTCTATTGTTTGCTCTTGTCATTGTGGACTTTCATCTGATCCTTTAGGCTTTTGTTCATCAGATCAAAGTCGAGGACGAAGATGAAGAACAAGGCTATCTCAACTGCAAGGGCAGTGCCCTCTTCGCGTCAGACATGGAAGGCCCTCCTACCTCGTCGGTAAGTTTTTGCTTCTTGTAGTCCATCGTTCTCGTTCTGTCCGCTTACATCCGAGCGTCATGTTGTGCAGGATGAGTCCGGTACCTCAGTCGCATCTGTCGACCATGGCAACGACGACAACCATTACACGGATTCAGAGGTCGAGCTGAAGGCGACCACACAGAATCCCCTCAGCTTCTCCTCTACCGAAGAAGAGGAGGAGTCTGGGGAGGAGGAGGAGTCTGGGTTTGAGGAAGAGGAGTATGGGGACATAGAAGATGAGTACGAGAATTGGGGTGTGGATGAAGAAGATGATTATGAAGGTGAAGATGAGGATGAGAACAACGAGGTGAGCTGAGCCCTAACTAACACAAATCTGTAGCTAATTCTGGCCACTTCTCGCTCTATCAGGGATACTATGAGCATAATGGTTATGCCGCCATCCGCGCCAATTCCTACCCCCAATATGCGGGGCATGAGCGGAGCCTCCATATTCGCCAGGCAATGTGTGGCTGAACTTTCTGCAGGTGGTATTGTGGCATCATCCGAAGTCTTGTATGGGATTACGAATGCCCAATACATCCATTTTGAGGAAGAGCTTTGATGTGTGAGTTGACATTTGTTCATTTTCCGACTTGCTTGTGCTGTATTTCTCACAAGGTCATTGGACTTTTCGTTCTCTGCAGGTTGTTTTCTAATTTTATGTCTCTCTCTATAGTATATTTGTTTCCTTTTTATCTCTCTCATGTCTCGCTCTCCGCTATTGTCGTTTCCCTATGCACCAACTTTCTATTTGTCATCTATCACTCTCCAACTCATTTTCTTACCTACCATACCGGACTCATCGCTAATGGAAGTTTCCCCGTCACCCATCCTATTCTATTTCATCTCGCTGTCTCACTATACCATCTTCTTTGCTTTCGTCTGTTATTGTTGTCATCCTTTTTGTCTGCGCATTTCTGCTCCTGTGCTGTCCATCGACACTTGTCGATGGGAGCTATCCATGTATTTCTCGTTTTGATGTTGTTAGTATCGCCGTGTGGCGATCGTTATTCTTTCTCGAAGCTGTTGATGGTGTTGGTGGTGCTGTCCCAGTTGTTGTCCTTGTTTGTGGAGTTATTGTCCTTTCCCTTTCGCAGTTGTGATAGTTGTTTATCCCGTTATCCTGGTTTTCACAGTTGTTCTGGTCACTCGTGTCACCAGTGCAGACTGTTCACCTTACATATCCGTGCTTTCCTATTGGGCTTGCTCATACTCAATGGTTGAATGTAATTATATCTGCCTTCCGAGGGCATACCTGACACATCTTTTGTGGTTGTGAAGCCCATTGCGCAAATGCTGTTCTCTTATAGCAAAGTGTGGCTGTGGTACCAATGTGTGGTGTCTGGAACAGCAGAATCAAGGCAGATGGTTTATAGCCAGGCAATGAGATGTCACGGAATACCTTGTCAACTGATTTTTAAAAAATGTCCTGTGTTTGGTAGGGAATTAAAGGATTCTTACACCGGTAGATTCTGGGTGAACATGGAGCTTTGAAAGGAAAAGATATGTGCCGTTGGGTCTCAGAATGTTGAATCCCGTGTAGTTGCGCCACAGTGGCGCAAATTTTGCAGGAAGGTCATGTGATGTAAAGCTTTGGTTGTTGCAACTTGTGACGAAGAAGATGTTAGACTCATAAGCACCTGCCACCGTGACCGTGAGTCCTTTTTACCTTGCATGTTCCTCACATCCATCTGAATCAAGACAGCTGTATCATCCAATTCTACCTCCGCTCAATCACAAACCACGTCTCCAGAGAGGTGCCAGCCCAGGTATGTTTACATCTCCTTTACTTGACACTTATTGGCTTCATATTGTGTCTTTTAGCCTCACTGTGAAAATCAAGGAGGGAACACGTGTGACTGTTATTGAAGGAGCTGGCTATGTCAGCTACAGCTGGTTCTTTGTCCTTCCAGTACGTAGACCAAGACCGACATTCCTCCTTTTTCTACGAGCTCAGCTGGGTATCGCTCTCAGCCACAGTTTTCCTCACCCCCACCACCGCCACCATCACCTGTAGATCCCACCCTACCTCCTCCCTCTCCACCACCCACTCCAACACAATCTGCTGTAACACCAGCTTTCATTGAGCAGCGACAAGATCACTACCTGGCCTGCCCCATAGCCCGGCACCCAACCTTATTGGAACTTCACAAGACCCTTATTTCCCATGAGACTGAAGAGTACTGTACTATTTCGATCAATTCGGCACTTTTTGGTCATTTTTAGGTTTTCGAGAATGCTCCAAAAACTCAACAAATCGAAAGAAAATTATTACCGCTGCCTCCCAAAACGGCTGTGACGCGTGACCGCCGAATTGATCGAAATGGTACAGTAAAGGACCAGCTGTTGCGAGCTGATGTCATGTTTATGGGCCAAGTCTGTGGGAGAAGCTGTGACTCTACAAATGTGGTGATTCGTCTGAACCTTGCTTTTTGCTGCATGACTTTCTTTCTCTCATTTCCCCCTTGCTTTTGTACCTTCACCTTGTTCTCTGACTATATGTTTATCATTGTTCATATTCACTGTACATAATAACTCCCTCATGTTCTCTCGCAGCCCTACTTTTCTTGTTGCAATGGCCCTGGTATTCTGTGCTATGCTATCCTGCTCTAATCCATACATCACCTGTTCAAATTGTTGTGCATGTCGGAAAATGTTTGCAGAGCTTGAAAGGTGATTGAATTACAAGCTGCCTTGTAAGGTATCTTTCCCGGCTGCGACCGGTCTGGTAAGGGGTGGCGCATCCTGCTCCTCGATTAGGCATGAGCAGAACGCGCGTGCTCAGCCACCCAATCCTAAAACACCTCCAAACTCGCTCAAACGAACTCTTGCGATGTCGCTCTATGGCCACAACCTACGAAAGTGAACATCCAACATATTGTGTGCACCAGCTCGAACGCCCGGGAGGTTATGACCATCAAGGACGTGGGCCTCCTCAGCCTTGCACAGGGCCACACCGGCACACCCGACCACCCGACAGCCCCGACAGCCCCAGCCTGGCCAGTCTGACGGCGCCGGTTACCCACCATTATTACCGCTCATGTACCAGATCCCGGCGACCTTACAAGCGACCTTACAAGCCGCCTTCCCAGGGAGTTTCTCCCCCCTTACAACCATTGCCAGGCCGGTCCGGTCTGATATATCTGATATAGCCTTGTAAGTACTTAAAAGGTCTAGGAATATTTTCCGACACAGTTCTTGGTTCTCCTTATGGCTGTTTTAATAAATCAATGAAATTCTTGGTGTCTCAGATCTCAAGGCTACAGCTTTCCATACTTGTTTTTCTGTGAGGTGAGTACAGCTCTCATCAAAACGGGGCAGAGTTTTCCTCGAGATTGAGCTGGGTCAGAAATGAACAGTGGTATCACCTCTAATTGATATCATGCCCAGTCAGCATGGTACTACGGTCAAGGCCAATTAGTCATCAATGGCGATGGCTATCAAGATACCCTCAGCTTAAGTTTGTCGTACCAAAAATGACACTCCAGAAGTTGAACCTGAAGCTCAGTTACGACTTACTATTTCTGAGTGAGGATTACTTTTTATTTTTATTTCAGATCACGATCACATATCTGTGGATGCTAATTGGCCACTTTGTTTGCACACCTCAGATGGTGTCTGGCACCAACACCTACCTACGTCCCATGCAACCAATTATGATTAATGTTTTCACCGGCTGTCCATGAGAGAAAACTTCAATGGAAGGCAAATAGGAGTTGATCAAAAGTCTCCCCCCAATCTTAGCAGAGGCTAGTCTAAGAGTACATCTACACAACCATTCAGTGGCAAGTCTTCAATTGCTCTTGCAGTCTTCACTCATAGTTGGAAGTATGACTGTTGTATATTGAACATTGAAAGGTTTACATATAGACGTCACTTCCATTTACAATCCTTCTTTTGGCATTTTTTAAAGTTGAAGAAGCCAATTGGAGGGTGCCTGAGCTTCTCCCCCTCGCTGAACACGGAGCCCCATCTTCTACAACATTCATCTCAACCTCTGGCTGCTTCACTGGCCTCACCTCGCCCACCACCACGCCCCCTACGCCCACGCTGTCTAACCCACCATGCCCATATATATATATATATAAACAGTACAACAATCCTACGACTGGTTTACTATCGTCGAGTGCTTCGCTGTGTGCACAGCCAAGAGTTGCATTTGAGGAAATATTTGAAGGGTGTGGAGCATTCGTCGGGGATTTGTGAGATGCTGGTGATGAGGATCACGGAGATGGTGGAGGTTGAGGGAATGTTGCTTCAGTGGAGTAGTGTAGAGGAGGACGGGAGGCGTTTTTAAGGAAAGCTCTCAGGGTTGTTGGAGATGAAGGTCAGTTTGCTTCCACTTTGGCTTCGCTTGTGGGTGCAGAGCTTATGTGCATGTACACTGGCGTAGGACCGGTTGGTGGAGCTACAAGACGAGTATTTCTTGGGATTGGAACACGTGACGAAGATGTTGAACCATTCGGACCAGTCACTCGTCCTGCAGATTGACTTCCCGTACATGCTCGAACTCATTGATTTCTGTATTGATTTTTTGAAGGCCCACGTATGTCACTTCCAATCTCTGCTTCCTATTGTCCACATTCAACTAATCCTCTATAATCATCATGCATTATCTCGTGCCACTTCCGCGAAGCAGAGCTTGACCTCCTCCACTTCCAACCATGTATGACTCGCACAATGATGCTTGCCAGAACATTATTCGTCGGGTCTTTTGTGTGCTCCTGCAGGACATTCCACCCAGTTTATCTTGGAAAGTACGTTATCTCTATCCCAAATTAGTGGAAATCACTATGTCTATTGTATCTGCACCACACCAGCTTCTTCCACTTCCCTTTTTTTCTCTCCCTTCCTCTTCCTCACCATGTTATACCCTAGGAGTAACTAACAATATACTCTAATCCACAGGACATCCCATCAATAACACAACAACATCTCCCACTCCGAGCCCGTCCCACATCAACTAGCTCCGCTCGGCTTGGAGCTTGATTGACAAGTGGCGTCGTGTCCAGATCAATTAGCTGTACCATTGCACTTACGTCGCCCTGTTACTTTTTCTCCATTTTCTAAATATTCTATATCATCCATATTCTACGTCAAGAAGTTATTTTCCTTTTACCTTCATGTTTGTTCGACACACGGTTTGTGATCTGGACATTGCTCTCCTTTCTGTGCTCTTCTTTTCCACACGTGTTCAACGTTGGATGTACGCACACTGATGCTGAGTTCACCTTCATTTATGGCTGCTATACAGGAATGTCGTGTGCCGTTGTTCATGGTGAGCAGATTGTTGGAGGTTGTACAATACGCCACAGTCACGTGGCCAGATCCGTGTTCATGTATGGCTTGATACGGTAGAATAAACCTTGTTGGCTTCCTCCATCCCGTCTGGGCACGTCAGTCCCTGTAAGGGCCCGAGGGCACACGTTCCAACAGATTATGGGCTCCTCTTGCGTATGCTAAGGCTGCTTCCCGCTAGGTCATCTTCATTAGGCAATATTTTCCAGGTCAATCAGCGTGCAAATCACACGGGGCCGCTGCACTTGAAACTTAATATCATTATCGCGACTCTACTTCGCTCTCGGTTTCTTTTTGACTCGAACTCTCTTTACGCCAGGGGTCCTGGTTCTCGATATTCGATTATCCAAGCAATTCCCGCTCGCTATGCGACTTCTGACGACTCCGGCGGTCTCCACTGCGAGCAGCGGGCGACCCGAACTCGATACACTCGACATTCACCAGCCGCCCGCCCACCCGATTTTTCGTCTTCATTTCCTTCTTGTTCTATTTCCTTTCCGGTTCTCACTCTCGGCTTCGACGTTATCCGACGGTCTCTCATCGAGCAGCGGGCGATTTGATTTCGACGTGAATGACGAATATCGGCGATTGCCTGCCCGCCGGAATCTCCAGCCACCCTCGCTCGCCTCTACATGTGCGTTCGCGGAGAAGTTCTCTCCAACGGCGCCTTCAGACGAACGAGTGTGATTACCGACAGCGCTTTTGACCGTTTCGACGAAATCGATGCCGCCGCCGCTTTTTGCCCCTATCCAGTGTGTGGCCCCACATCGCCACTTGCTGGAGTCCACACGCGTAACTGCGCAGGAGTTTGCGGATCCCAGTAATCCAACGGCGCCTCCGGAGCTCGCGTTCTGGACGACGAAGGATCTGACGACGCGTCCGCGCACGTTGTCGGCGCCTTTCTCTCAACTCGACGCCATGACGTGTTCCCCTATTCACATTGCAACTACACCATCGACAACTTCAGCGTGTTTTGAACGTGATGGACGACACGTTTCGGGATCAAACGACTCTTATTCGTCGCCGGCCATCCTCCGAGTCTATCGATCCCGCCGACGCATCATTGCATACGGGTCCGAGGAGCAGTGTTCTCCGACGAAGTGTTTCGACGACCACAATACTATCCCACACGACCATCGACTTCGCCTCCGATGATTCCTTTTCCATCTTCATCATGGCAACCACGCCTTCCGAACTATGCTACACATCCACGCTACGTACCTCGATCAAAATCACCAACCTTGTTGGTCACGCCATCGATTCCGGATGAACTCATGAACAGGGCTCGAAGGGACGAGTATATATTTGATATGGAGGCGCAGGAATGGTACTGTGACAACGACCTATTTGCCACGGTATGTCTTCCCGCTTCGTCCGACGAGGAGCTTTGGTGTCCGATCGGGGCATAGGAGGAGCGTATGAGAATGATGGAGTATCGGGTAGAGAGGTTTGAGGAGGAGGATTGGGAAGAGGATTTGGGAGAGGGAAAAGACGATTATGAGATTCTGATAGGACATGAGGAGTTGGACGAGGGGAGTGAGGGCATGGGATTTGTGCAAGGATTAGGGAATGAAGAGTTGGAAGATTGGGAGTATGAAGAATCTGGTATGTTGGTGGTGGAGTCCCTGCTGTCTTCATGGCCGCCACTTCTTCCGTCAACACCGTCTATTGCCCGTCTGGTGCGACCCGGCACTCCTTATCCGCATCGGACCACAGCAATTCCCCTCATTCTCAGAACATCCACGCCTCCACCATCAATGTCATCACTGTTGTCGGTAACTCCGCCATCATCGCCGTTGTCAATATATATTCCAATCCTTCCACCCCGCTGCAATCCAACAGACTTTTAATTCAACTTCATAAAATGGCAGGTCCAGCGCCGTTCCGAACATGGCATCATATGTGAGAAGTGAGGAGGAGATGGGTGGCTCGGGAATTAATGCTGGGAGAGACACTTGGGCTTTGGATTCAGGAGGAGTGTGTATGAGACCAGGAGGAGTGTCTCCAGATTTACGAGAAGTGTTTTTTCCATGTTCACACTGTCGTCCTTTTGTCCTACTTCCTCATTGCATATTATCTTGCCCTTACGTTCGTGTCCTATTGTTTACATTCCTCTGCCTCATCATCATCACTCACATCATTCCTTATTTCTCCCTCACCACCTTAGTACACTTCTCCCATATGTTTACGTTACTGTAGCGTCTCGAGGAGGAGTGTTGGAGGTTGTACCATACACCACAGTCACATGGCCAGATCCGTGTTCATGTATGGCTTGATACGGTAGAATAAACCTTGTTGGCTTCCTCCATCCTGTCTGGGCATGTCAGTCCCTGTAAGGGCCCGAGGGCACACGTTCCAACAGGTTATGGGCTCCTCTTGCGTATGCTGAGGCTGCTATTCGTCAGGTTATCATCTTCTAGGACGCCCGAGGGCAAATCATCTTCATATTCCAGGACTTCAACTCATCTTCGCTCCGAGAGCTAAAACCTCCAGCAGCAACTCAATCTTTGGCCCCTCTCTCGATTCTCGAAACCCGCCAGTGTCTTAGCTTGCTCCGCTTGTCCCAAACACTCTCAGTTTATCTATCTCAATTCTCTGCCGATTTATCGGATTTTTTCTCAACCATCGCACTCATCTTCGCGTCCGCCGCTGGGGGTCCTGGCCTTCAACTCACGAAGGTACCAGTGGTTCCTGCCCGCCGACATCGTCTCACACCGAATCATCGTCATTCAAACCCTCCACACCGAGTCTCCGACTCGACATCACCGGCGGTCTCCACCAGGAGCAGCTGAGCGGCACGGACTCGACTCGAGTATCGTTACGCCCGGCCACCCGCCCACCTTCTCGTCCACTCACACTCTCTTTCACCTCCCTTACCTAACCTTTGGAACCTTTTCTACGACGTCCGGCGGCTTTCACGATCAGCGGGCACTCCGAACTCGACATGAACACCGAGTATTGACAGCGGCCCGCCCGCCGGTCTCCTCGACCACCGCCATTTGTGTCTGTACGCGCGTTCGCTGACGAACGTCGTCCAACGGCGCCTACACACGAGCGAGCGCATCCATTGTCAACGTTGTCGAGTCCCTCATCACAACCACGACGGACACTAAAACGACTCACGCCGCACCACAACAGCTATGATCGGCAAGCGACCCGGCATCATACACCGCCGTTCACGCCATCTCACCAACATCTCACACAACCAACGATTCACCCCGCCATCTTCATTGTCTTCCCCACACTTATTCCCGATACCACGATGACTCTCGTGAACATCCTCACTCTGTTAGCAATCACTCGGAATATCGACTACGTACTCCTTCATTACAACCACTATCGAAGACACCCCGACCGACCCACTCTGCATCAAAGCCATCACAGCACCGCCACTTCACTCAGAGCAGCACCGACCCTCCGAATCATCTCGCATCCACTGCTTTTGTCGATGACAACGACGACTGGTTCTTTCACGAACACATGTCAAGGTTGTCAGTTCAAGATTACGAAGATGGACACAGTTGTGAAGAGGTTGTGTCAGTTCAGGATGTTTGTGATGAGGGGATTGCAGGGTGTGACGATGAGATGGAGGATCGTGATGGGGATGAGGTAGATAATTATGGAGGAGATGAGGTAGAGGATTATGGTGAGGAGTGATAGGAATAGGGAGGAGTGTTTCTCTTTCGTACGCCTTCTTTTTCTTTCTTTTTCTTTTTATGTCTCTTTGCAACTCGTTTCTCCTTGCACCATTGTGTCATGACCTTTTGTCATTTCCATGCCTTTTCTATTATTTCCTGGTGGGTGCCACAGTTAGGCCACACTTTTCCGAGTTTCTGTGCCACTGTGGCCTGGGTTTGGTTGTGTTTGGTTCTGGCTAGTATATAAACCTACCTACTTCCTGTTTTGTACTCTAGTCTTGAGATCGTCAGTCTCCCCCCTATACAACCTTTTCCTCGCCCTTGGTGTGTGTTTCTGAGTGAGAGATCGCCTGCCAGCAACCCCTCTTTGTAGGATATGGTTGTTCTGGTGTGGTCGTGACATCATCTCAAGACTCCCCATTGCTCCTGGACGATCTCTCTACTCTGTTTGGGCCTACATTAGTGGCTCCTGGGATACGGATTGGCCAGCACTATTCACTCTCCTAATAGTCTTCCCTTTCTTCTCTGTTCCGGTCACCCTCGCATCTTCATGCCGGTTTCCTCTGTCCGTTAACAGTTGTATCTCCCCATCACCCCTACTACCTCCAACACCCTCTGGCTCGTCTTGAGCCTTGAGTTGATACTCCCATCGATTGCCTGGCCTTGACTTCGCCTCATTCCACTCCTACACCTCAGCTATCACCCCAGCTCTTGCCTCTGGGCAGCTGCCGCTATCTCATCCTCCCTGGTGCCATCTTGGCCTGGAGCCATAGGTTAGACGACACACACACTACCTTCCATCACCCTCCACTTGACTCTAGCTTCCTGGATCTGCCAGCACCTTGGATTTCCACAGCTTTCACCTCACTTCACCTCCTCCCCCCCCTCATCAAGTTTCGCCTCCGCATTTTTGATCCATCCCTTATCTACCCGATCCGATTACACCATCGCGTAGAGCGCGATCCGAGGATTCCCCAGAGGTCCGGGTTGGTGGAGATTGTGTGGGAATCGGTGGAGATATTCGGATTTTGGTGTAGAGGGTTGGAGAGGGCTGGGCTGAGACAGATGGGCTGATATCTCGGGATCTACCTGTTCGTTTCTCATGCGGTCTCTTTCTCCCTACTCCTTCCATACACACCTACACCTACCCCAAACCGCATCCAGATCCGTCCATCCGTTCTTGAGATACGCTCCCTTGTTTCTTCCTCCCCCCTCCTTCCCTCCCCCAACTTCTTCCTTCCTTATCTCCGTGATTTGCGGTTCGTTTCCCACGCGGTCTTCGATTCCCACGAGCCTTATCCATCCCCTACCCGCCCCTACCCTCGCTTTTATTCTACGATGTCTGGTTATGTCTCGGTGCTGTCCCCAACGACGTCCACCCTTCTTCCCCCCTTTTCATGAATATCTTCAGCATTTATGGACGGATTTCTTTCATTCTTGCTGTATGTTCTTCATGCCCCTTACGAAACTGTTCATGCCCCTTTATGACCTTCCAGTGCTTTTGCTCCCCTTTATTTCTCAGCTTTTGCTATACCCTCCTTGTCTCTCCTCCCCTTTCTTCCCTTTTACCCCTTTCAGTTGTGCACATTGTCTCACTCTGGCTGATCATCGGGACGATGACCTTAAAGAGGGGGGTAATGTCATGACCTTTTGTCATTTCCATGCCTTTTCTATTATTTCCTGGTGGGTGCCACAGTTAGGCCACACTTTTCCGAGTTTCTGTGCCACTGTGGCCTGGGTTTGGTTGTGTTTGGTTCTGGCTAGTATATAAACTTACCTACTTCCTGTTTTGTACTCTAGTCTTGAGATCGTCAGTCTCCCCCCTATACAACCTTTTCCTCGCCCTTGGTGTGTGTTTCTGAGTGAGAGATCGCCTGCCAGCAACCCCTCTTTGTAGGATATGGTTGTTCTGGTGTGGTCGTGACACATTGCGTATCGACGTACACAATCCCCATGAGTATGACCACGTCAACGTCTCGCACTTGGGTTTCTCTTCTGCTCACAGTCCGTAAGAAGTGGGGAGGAGTATGTACGGACTCCGGAGGAGTTTCTTTTTGCATGTCTTAGTGTGTCTAGCTTCGGGAGGAGTAGTTTTCCTTTGTCCACGTTTGCGTTCACATTCTTGTTCTTGCCCCCATCCTTGCACCATTATCGTTTGCATAAGCTTGTTGTTGTCACTACTTGTATTCTACCTCCCTCGCCTTATCACTTCCCACTTCCTGTTTCGCATTCGCCTATGTTCACGTTTCTGTAGCGTCTCGGGGAGGAGTGTTGGACTTTGTAAGATACGCCACAGTCACGTGGCCTGTTTACCGTATATATTCGGCTCACTACGGTAGAATATACCTTGTTGGCTTCCTCCATCCCGTACGGGGCACGATAGTCCTCCTCTAGGTTCCAATACAGATATTGTGGCGAGAAGGTCAGTTAGAGTGGTGAAGGGGTTGAGGGTAGGGTGAGGGAACCTCGTTCAGGTGGTACATCTTCATTTCGTTGTCACCCTTTGTTCTATCCTTTGCCCTTTGCCCTTCGCCATTCACAAATATCATATGTCTTACTCATCATACATGAGATCCTTTGTACTGTCCTGTTTCAGGTAGAGAATACTGATTTCTTGCTGGTTTTTGAATGTACACACATTGTTCCCCTTGGAACACTGATCAAAACCCCAAATGACCGCACCCACGCTCACGAACACCTCCTCAAAGAATACATCAAGGCATAAATGAAAGAAACGATCCATGGATGGATGGATGAGAACAGACACGGGTGAAATGCAGCTATCTAGAGCAGCTCTACACGGACCAGTGGGAGTTGTATTGATGCTTTTTCCATTCGGCGGAAGAGGGATTCGAGTGCATTTAACTTGTTTGTTTTCGTCCCTTTGTGGCCCTCGTTTTCATCGCCCTCTTGTTCTTTTGATGTATGTCTTAATTGTTTCGTTCCTCGGTATTCATTCCTTCGGTCACTAACAACCTTCCCTGTCCTTTTGCTCTCCTTCTGTGATGTCCAGTGAATCAGCTCTACGTGCCTCCGCCACACCACCCAAACCGACGGACTCCCAAAATCCAGGAACGCACTTACGAACTAATCTACCATGTGCCCAACCTATTGATCAACGCACTCACTCATTAGCCCAACCAAGACTGAAACAAATGACTTACAGCGGCGCTGACCTGGAATCTCTCTGTGACTACCTCTACAACAATCTCTGTCCTTGAATCCTACACGCACAGAGGCTCGGAGCCCCGGCTGAGGTATACACAGTCTTATAAGCACTCAGGGTACTCGGCGGGCCTCCGATCATTTACTAGAGATCACTTTGGGGCTTCATCATAAGGAGAGCTGAGGATTGCGCGACGACATAGGAGACAACATGATGGCTGTCATGACCTTCCATCATTTTCATGCCTTTTCCATTATTTCCTGGTGTGTGCCACAGTTGGGCCACACTTTTCCGAGTTTCTGTGCCACAGTGGCCTGGGTTTGGTTGTGTTTGGTTCTGGCTAGTATATAAACCTACCTACTTCCTGTTTTGTACTCTAGTCTTGAGATCGTCAATCTCCCCCCTATACAACCTTTTCCTCGCCCTTGGTGTGTGTTTCTGAGTGAGAGATCACCTGCCAGCAACCCCTCTTTGTAGGATATGGTTGTTCTGGTGTGGTCGTGACAATGGCGAAGAAAGAAGACGACGGAAGAGAGAAGGCTTTGTTGAGTTGGGGATAAGTGGGCTATTAAGGATGGTTCTGAACGACACGGACTGAAACGGGAAAGACAAAGATGTGGAGGTGATGTAGCGGAGTGATGGAGGTGGTAGAGGCTAGAATAAGAGGTTGATGCAGTGCTTTTCCTTGTGAGGCCATGGCTGACATTGAGGGAGAGATAGCAAGAGTGTTTCAGGGACTACTGACAAGTCTGGACTCAGACAGTGGTGCAAAAGTCACAGGGGTGAACGGTGTTAGTAGTATGTATGCCTTTAGCGGGATGAACACAAGTGAGTATAACTGTGTAGAGGAGATGGGCATGATGTACATTGAGTTCCAGAGGGAGGAGTGCCGATTAGGTGGAATACACCGGTTCGCTGTCATAAGCTGCGTGAAAAGTTACTTATGTCACAGTGCCAGATCCTCTTTTCTGCTGAGACAAAAATGAATCATGCCTTGCGCACAGTGTTCAATATTCTGAAATAAAATCTGACCCTGGAGAAATACAAATACTGATGCGGAAGCAAGTATGCTGGAATTACTTAAAGTGCCTTCAGAAATTATGCAGAATCGTAAACCTTGTGAATTCGTTCCAACCACAGGCCAGCCGACGGAGCGAGCTTTGGCACGGCTCTCTCCGGGCCATCGTGACTGTGGCCCAACTGCAAATATGCATCCATGAGCACACAGTTGAGACAATGGAGTGACTCTAGTGAGTAAACGCAATCATGTACATTTATTCTTTATGCTAGATATCTTTTGGCGAGCTCAGGGGCCCTTGAGTCGCCAGTAAGACTTCAAAAGAACACAAACTTGCCTGACACCATCCATTATATATTGTCACTGGCCATTTACCCAAAGAGTCACCCCCTCTGTATCCCATAACACCAAGAGCATATCTGAGAGTCATATTATGCTTGCTACATGCAGTAAAAAATCTGAATAACAGCCCAGTTAGCCAGCATGGAGTGTGGGCCACATGACGAGGCTGCTTGCTTGCCACTGCTGGACCCGGGAGATGCCCCAGCTGGGACACGTGCCACCGGCTGGCCTGTGTGTAACGGGCAGGGTTGGAGACGGAGCCGAGCGAGAATAGACAAGCGAGGATAGACAAGCACGATATTAATTAGAAACAAGTAGAGTAGGCATGATACTGGTGTTGACCGACGAGAATACAATCGAGGAGTCTAGCGGGCTTTTATACATGAATGCGAGCCGAGGCTAAGTAAGTGAAAGATTCGCGGGACGAGTCGGAAGGGGACGAGATATGGGTCAGGAATGTGGGCTATTTAAGAGACGAAAGAAACCCGGAATAAACAGACACATAGGAGCGGGGAGATATTGAGGCAGCGGGGCACTGGACAAACTAGGCAAGTAAGTATGAATGAATATGAAATAACTGAAGCCGGTTAAGTCTGTCGTGGTCTTAACCATGACATTATCCCCCTCTTAGCCCAAGCGAAGCGTCAACGTTCGTATAACGGTGGATCGAGACGAGTTGGTGGGCATGCGACGTGACCAGAGCGAGTCATAGTCTGGACGGGAGGCATGTATATTGTGCGAAGGTCTTGGTGATTGGGGACAAGGCATGGCTGTGGGAACGGCGCTGTGATGAGGAGTGGTAGTGGAGATGGAAGGGAATTCTTCTGGCGATGCAAGAGAAGTGGAGTTGTTGGACTCGGACGCTCGAGAAGCGGAGCCGGGCTTGGACACTGCGGAATCGGAATCCTGTGCTGCAAGAGGGACATCAGTAGCCACGGTGTTTTGTACAATAGTGGTAGTCTGAGCATTAGGGATTAATGGGGTGGTAGATGAAAGCAAATCAGAATCGATTAGATGTGAAGAATATGATCGAGAGATGTCAAGTGAATGGGGACGAGGAGCGCGGGGATGACGACAATGAAACCGGTCGATGAGTTCGTTGTACGTGGTCGGAATATCTGAGAGCAGAACCCACGAGTCGTCAGAATTGGGGAGAGAAGAGAAATGAACTAAGTATTCATAACGATGGCCCATTTTTCTGCAGTCCAGAAGTGAATGAATGGAAAGAGAAGGATCGTTATTGAGTTGGAATGGTTTGGGATCGGAGTGGGGGTGGAATTCGGAAGGATCATTATCAGGCTTGAGGAGGGAGACGTTGAAGACGGGGTGAAGATGAGAGAGGTAGGAGGGAAGTTCTAATAAGTATGCGTGCGAGCCCATAGGGCGAATGATACGATAGGGGCCAAGACGACAATGGTCGAGTTTGGGAGATGGTCCAGTAGTTTTGATGTTGCAACGCAGAAGCCATACAAGCTGACCGTAAGTAAAAGGTGGAAAAGTTGCCTGCGTCTTGTAAGGATAAGATAGTAGTGAAGTGAAGTGAAGTGATAACTCCGACTTCGACTACGATAATCATCACAATTTGGGACCATCCAGAGACCCTCTGAAGGCTAGACAGTGTGAACAAAGAGTGACATAGGGATTCACCCAGAGGAAGGGCGGCCTCGAGGCGAAGGCAATAGGCATCGCTGATGGTGCTGCAGAGCCGGTCAGCACGACGAGACACGAAGTCAACGTTTGCGCGAAGAGTCGTGAGTGGCGCACAGATTCAAACCAAGTCTGCAAGAGCCTGTACCAAATAGCAAGCTTTAAGTGAGGACAATAGGATCGTCAATACTGCTAAATATATACATATTCGTCGTGAGATTTGGGGGATTCAATCATGAATCACGAGGAAGCTTGATTTGTGTGAGTATGTGGCTTGACCGTGTGGCCCAGTACCCCCGCATGATGTTCCTAGAAACAGAATAAGTAATGGACGGCAATGCTAACTCACGAGTCGCTCAGTTCACTAAGCAAAGCCCCAAGCTTAAATTGTAGTACTACAGAATAATATGTATATACATGTACATCAGGAAAACCTCCCAAAACTATTTAGTGGTAATTATCACCCATTAGCCAAAATTATGAGGTTTTAGGAAGTATCAGTTTTATAATGGTCCCCCCAAAATTTATTTCTACTTTGTGCATAACTTAGAACTAATTTTGCCTAACTTTCACTACTTCTAGGCTTGGAACCAGCCGTTCTACACTACCAGGTATTAACGTGTAGAACACAGTAATCTCCCCCCCACATCTCCTTTTTCACAGAATAGTGTAGAACGGCTGGTTTTGAGCTTACACTACTTCTAAGATTAGATAATTTTGCACATTTAGTGCACATAGTTCATATTTTTGACCTCATCTGCCCTATCTCACAGCACTGCAGCTCATACCCAGCCATCAACAAGCTCCTACTACCAAGGAGCAATGCAAAGGTGAGAAAGCCATTGATATTGCATTTACAGGTAATTCTGGGTCTACTACATGTGACCATCCCATTTTGTACAATCCAACTGTGGGCAGTAAGTACAGATTGATATATACAGTAAAGGCTGGAAGTACAAGAGTGTAGGTAGAACATAGGAGTCAGACCAAGTAAGACAGCACAGGTAAGAAGCAGAGGGCACGAAGACACGTAGTGCTAGAGGTGACGGTGGGGGAGAGCAAGAGCGGAGGAAGCAAGAAAGCACAGGGTGCTAGAGTTAGTAACCGAGAATGAGAGGAAGAAAAGGGATATATACATGACAAAGGACATGGATGGGGAGATAGAAGCATGTGAATGGCCAAATATATAAAGATGGGGGAAGAAAGACAATGAACATACTTACTACAGAGGGTGCACATCAAGCGCACATAAATAAAGAAGTTGAGTGACCAAACAGAGTGCCAGAGTCAGGGTCCCACTGAGCGTACATGGGAGCGGGAGCATGCAAGAGGGTGAGCAAGAGACTTACATGCGAGAGGGAGCATACAAGCAGACAGGCATGAATGCATGAAGGACGATGCAAGTGAGAACACAAACACAAGTGCTGATGTGCGTGATTGCAAGAGGGCGCATGCATGCCTTGCGTGAAGGAGAAAATACGGGGACGTAAACACCAGTGCAAAGGCAAGTGCGAATGTACATACTTGCGAGAGGTTGCGAGCCAGAGGGTGCATGCGAGAGGGTAACTGGTGTGTGTGAGAGCGAGGGTAGTATCACAATATAAATGCCAGTGCACGTGTGAGTGCGCATACTTGCGAAAGGGCGCGTACAAGAGGGAACACATAAGAGTGCACACGCAAAGAGGGTACGAGGGCGAGTGTGGTACAAGGACGAACGCGAGAGCGAGTATGAGGGCAGTGTTTGTGTGGAAAGAGGAAAATACATACAGGAAACATAGAGTACCAAGGCTGTGGGCAAGAAAGTAAGCGAGGCGAGGCAAGGACACAAACGCGAGGCAAAGATATGAACACGATGGGAGTCGGGGTCCAGGAGAGCGCACCCGCGAGAGGGAGCATACAAGAAGGTGAGCATGAGATGGCGAGCGTGTGTGAGGGCAAACCGATGACGATGCGAACATAAACGCGGGCACAGGATGAGAAGGCAACTGCAATCACAAACACAAGTGCTGATATGCATGGGACAGTACATGTTTGCATGAGGTGAAAATGTCAGGAGGTAAGCACCAACCCGAAGGCAAATGTGAATGTACACACTTACAAGGGTGCATGCAATAGGGTGCATGCGAGAGGGGGAGTGTCTGTGTGAGAGCGAGGATACATGAGGGGAATAAGATAACGATGCGAGTGGGCGTACCGGTGTGCGTGCTTGCGAAAGGGCGCGTACGAGGGGATGTGTATACGGGTGTGCGCGTGAGGGTGTGAACTTGCATGCGAGAGGACAGACGTATATGAGTGCGAAAGACGAGGATGAAAGTGGCACCCAACGCCATCCACTTCAACGAACAAGGGGGAGTGCGCGTATGCGTGAACGTGAGGGGTCCTGCATGAGAGGACAAGCACCGAGTGGTGAAGAAACGGGAATAAAAAGGGGAGAGTAAGCAAAGGGAATATGTGGATGTGATGAGGGAGAGAAACGGGGGAGAGCGTCGACGGAAAACCTTGAAAAAAGGTCAAAAAAAAACAACAGTACGATTATGGAAGAGAACGCGATGGAGAAACCGAAGGCTAAACCACTTACAATAGCCCGTTCTACCTCCCACTTCGTCCATTCGGCCATCACCGCCGTATCCTGGGTTAACTGCGGGTATCATTGAGTGACGATGAGGGAGTGAGGAGGGGATGGCGAACGTGAGTACGCCGTTAGCAAAGAAAGAAAAAGGGGATGCAACGAGATTATTAAGTATCACAAGTGGTGACTAGGAGGACTATATGCGCACCTTATGGACTTCACCACCTGCAATCTCATCGACCAACGACCCTCCCATCCGCTATCTACTTCATCGAATGAGTGCGGATGCGGGTGTGCGTCCATGCGAGAGGTCGCACGTGCGTGAGCGAGCACCGCATAGGAAAAGAACCGAGGCCAAGGCAGAAGAGCGAGCAAGGAGAGGATATAGATGAAGTGAGGGCGGGAGGCGGAGGCGGAAGATGATAGGGTGGCGAGAGGGCAAGTGCGAACGTCGACGACGGCAATTGGAAGGCTGCAGGCGACGGAGAGCAAGACGAGGACGCCAAGAGGAAGAGGGCGGGGATGGTCGCGCGAGGGTGAACAAGAAATGGAGGATATGGATATAGTGAAGGTGAGGGTGCGCGGCGCGAGCGAAGAAGGTGGAGATGGAGAGAGGGACAAACGAGCACAAGTCGCGACTACGCGAAAGTCAACATGGGCCAAACATGGCCAAACAAATACGTGGCGCGAACGTGTGGTGACGACGCGCCTCGCAAGTTGTTCTCTTTGTCTCACACAATTCCAGAACGCGCACAAACCCCTGGATGACCGATGCGAGTTGATAGGCACGCGAGGCAAGGTCAGAAAAAAGCAATGCATTGACGGAGGCGGAGAATGAGTGGCCACGTGCTCAGGTGCGCCCCTTTCGTTTTCTGACTTGATCTTCCGGTTTACTGACTATATTACTTTCTCCTACCTACTGTCTTTCTCGTCTCACACTCACACTTGTTGTTTGATCGCGCGAATGCCTCTGTGCCGTCCGCATGAACGATCATCTCGCTCCCTGCTGGTACATTTTATTTCTTTCTCCCAACCTCCCCGCACTCACGGCTTCAGCAATAGCGCGTCTTTCGATTTCGTGTCTGGCCTAACACATACCTGCACATCAAAATATCTCCGGCAACAAACGTACCATGAACTCGAATGAACACTCGGATGATGATAGGTCGGAACCCAAACAACCTCGGACGGACAGCGTGATAGGAGGCTCACAGTGCGTCCCTTTTGCTGGCTTCCCTCGTCTCTTACTTCTTGTTCGCATATTGACTGCTCCTCTTTCTCCTACATGTAACCTCCCTATCCCTGTCATCTCGTATCTACCCTCCATTGGTCGACTATCCAGATCCTTCTGTGTCATAAACAAAGGTGTGAACGGAACGCGCGAGCCAGACGGTTATGGGGATGGAGGAGGGCCAGACAAAAGGTACAGCGGCTGTGGAGGAAGAGAATAATGGTTCAGGTGAGTCCCTTTTGACCTCATCCGCCACCGCCTCTCCGCATCAGCACCTCATCGACCTCCTCTATCTCCTTTCCCTCCCAATTGGATACAATAGCGAGCTGCGTAACCGGTGGCCTAGCGTCCGTCATCGTCAACCTCTGCTACCCACCCGTGCCCAATCCGATCTCCGTCGCATTATCCACGGCATATCCGGTTGCGATATCATATTTGGCAGGTCCGATGTATTTAGCGAACCGTCACGTCGACACTCGGAGTCGAAAGCTGGGCCAGGGAGGAGGGAGCATGGCCAGCCGAGTGCTGAGGTCCTGGTTGCGAAGGCTGGACTGCATGGGTTCGGGACGCCGGCCGATGTGTGAAGCACTCGTAAGTATGTTCATTCCCCTTCATCTAATATCTCATCCATGTTTTATGTTCCGTATATGTTGCTAATGCTTCACAGGCGAGTGCCTCTCTACGTCGAGTACTCCATTTTCTTTTCCCCGCCCACCGCCGCCACCTCAACCTGGTCACGGAGGACGCTGGACCTCCCCACCTTCCTCCAACATGGGCATCCGCAGCCGAGGTTGACTCCGCCCCCACTCTGCCAGACGCTAACGACAAGGATCCTTCTCCCAGCGGGGCCGCAAGCCCTCCACCACCACCGACACTGGCCAGCCCGATACCGACGATTATAATGCCTCTCTCCGCTTCCCGTCTCTGTTTCAGCAGTCGCACCAGCAGGAGGCCGTCCCCCAGACCGTCGCTCCTTCGAAGCTTGGGACGCACAGTACCAGTACCAGCAACGCGCCTATGCCGACCAACAACGGCGGCAGCAGCAACAACAACTCCCGACCATCGCTGAGCATGCGCACCCAGGGGGCGACGACACGGTCTTCTGGACCTGGTGCGACAGCAACCAACCCGGCTACGCAGGTGCCAACCAACCATTCGGCACCTGGGGGAGTTAAGGCAGTGTTTGAACTGTGGCGTGACGCACACCCCGCTCTGGAGGAAGGGGCTGAACAACGAGCTCAATTGCAACGCTGGTGGGCTGTACTGTAAGCTCGTAAGTGTGCGAGTCAAATTTTCTCTGGGCGTGGGCACTTCGTTCTGATCACCCTTTCCTGTCAAATGCTACGGCAACTAGTATAAGCGCCCGCACCCGAGGACCATGTGCAACAACCACGGCGAGTGATGGCAAGCAGCTCCTCGCCCATAGTCCAACAAAGTTATAGGTCAGTCGGCCTATCTTTCTCCTCGTTTACACCATGTGACTAATCGGCTCCAATTCCTTCATTTTTTCATTTCGCCTGCTGTTACAGCGAAGTGCTATAACTGCAACACGACCACTACGCCCCCGTGGAGGAAGGATGATGAGGGCAAAACTGTCTGCAATGTGTGAGTCCCTTTTGTCTGTTTATGATAATATTCGTTCATCTCCCGGAGGCTAATCCGACTGTCTGGCTGCTTCTCTCTTCGCCTTCACCTTCACGCCTTTGATCCACTCTCTACCTTGTGATCCTCCGCCGCTTCTCCTTCCAATCAGCTGCGGTTTATAGTAAGTTTTTTCCCTCACACACACCTCAAGTCCATCGCCCTTCCACCACTTGTCTTCCAAAATGCTAACTTGTCTTCCTCGTGTTTCTCTCATTCCTGTTCGCACCACAAAACAGTTTCAAGTTGCACAGATCTCCCCGACTCATCTCCATGAAATCCGATGTCATTCGTAAACGATCCCGGCACGAAGCCCGCCGCGCCTCCATCAGCAGTAGGAATGCCCCCCATACGCCCTCCGCCTCCCCGGGCACATCCCGTCGCACTTCTCCCACCTCGGGTCAGGACGGAACGAACAATTCCAACTCTCTCTCTCCCCAATCCTCGCCCCCGATTCGACCACGCAGATGAATGTTGGGCCCTTCGGGGGTGAGATGGGAGATGCCTATGGGGACGTGTACACTGACTACGTGGATTACTCAAGACACGGTGCGTACCATAACAAGGGGCGCTCCAGTGCGCTTGGTGGCGGACAGAGAGACAGCGGGGCGATCTATGGGTCCACGGCATTGGATGGCGGATTCATGCACGCTTTGCATATCTTTTGCTATTTGTCCATATGAGTATATCAAGTAGTTTAAAAAGGAGAGGTTATTTGTGTTCATCATTGTTGTCACTTCGTCTTTTTCTTTCTTAGTAAGCATAAGCTTCCACGCATCCCGTGTTAGTGAGTACAATATATGTGTTATACACAATGACTCAATGTTGAAGATGAACTTACTGCTAAATGTGCAACTTTTATTGTGAAATGTGTCAAATTATAAGTCCCACCTGAAAACTAGAGTAATATGTTCGTCAATGTAATGGCTTTATCGAGATTATACCCAGATGTGCAAAAGTAGTTGGATTGATCATAATGAGTTCTAAATTATTCACAAATAGTTCTGGGGGGTTTTCCTGATGTAAAAGAAAACTTTCAAGGACAACGATGTCGCGAAGGGCGAGAGGGCTTTCGGAAGAGACACTCTGAGCAAAAGTACATAAAAGGAACGAGCAACATATAGTGGGGTTCGAACCAACAGCCTTATCGGTAACAGGTCAGTCATAATCGTACAGATAACCGTTCGGCCAGGAGTTCTTATTTGTGGAGCTCGCGCAACTGAATATAACCGTCACTCCTTGCCCATGAATGATGTGGTTTTTCCACTCCCCAGCTCCAAGACCAACTTTAGGCCATTCAAAAATCTTTACTTTTCGCAGAAAGTTACATTTTGGTTTTTTGGCAATAAAATTACCCGTGACAAGTTTTGGCCAGGCCATCCACGAACGAAGGAAATGGCAAGCCCAAAGTGGGCGGAGGGTGGCAGAAACTGTCAGCCCGCCATTCTGGCGATGCCTGCAGGCTTGCATCATACTTTGTTCACGCTCACTTACAGGGTTTTGCATATGAAACCGGAATGTCGCGCGTAAGAAAAATCCTGGGCGCCTGAGCCAAACAAAGCCATAAATGGTAAGCACTCTCGGCGACGTTTCGGCAGTGGCGCACCTCAGAAACACCTCTCATCTCTCCGGCCCATATCGTTGTTCAGAGACCTCTCGATATGCTCTCTAGTGCTTGAACTTAGATCTTACGGAACTCCGCCCTATAAGAGTTCTCGCCTTCATGTATTCTCGTGACATTGTTTTCGCAACGATCAACACGTGTGGTGTTCCAGCGGTCCCCAACAACATTGCATCAACATCAACGTCGACTTTTCGCTCTGGTAGTCGCAAGGACAATCGGGTCTCAGCTCGTGCTCCCGGCCACGCTATCTATGCGACAAAGACAACGAGATTCTGAACGCAAGTACCGGCATGACTGAAGGGATGTTTTTGTAGTAAGGAAGTTTGATCATCTGCGTATGTCGGAAGGGTGCGTCCTTTCTTCTCTTTCCTCGCATACAAAGCCATTGGACTTATTGTAATCTTTTCTGTCCATCGTTCCCCCCTTTCCCCTCGTAATCGAGGAACCACCTTGTCCGTGCCCCAGAACTGCCCTGCGACAACAGAGTACTAAAACTCCGCGCGCAAAGCATCAGGACTGGGTAACCGGTGGGTATTCGGTTCGCTTTCAATTGCGTGTGTCAGATTTCTGCTTCAGTACAATCAACATGAAAAGCCGATGCTCCCGGTCATCATGCTATCGATACCCTCCCGTCCCACCTCATATGTCTCCGAGATATATGTGTCCCCCCTCTTTCTTAGTACATTCACGTGGTATTTAGTTGGTATTTTTTTCATCCTTTAGTCTCGAGACGAGATGTATATATGGAATGGCTGAGTGGGGTGACTGAGATGTATTCTATGGTACCGGAGGAAGTCGAGCCTCGAGTCGTGTGGAATGGCAGCCCGCACATCTGCGCCTGTTATGTTGAGGGATTGTCTCGTCGGGCTCTATTATATTGGGTCTTTTGAACTTATCTGATATGTACTTCAGTAGCAATGAATATGATCACAAATTCAAACCTGCTGAGCACCTCTCAATGGGATGAAGGGCGTGCAACGTCGGTATGCTCAAGAACACTGAACAGGGGCATACCTAGGCATACCTCGCTGGTGCCACACGCGAGGAATGCCGAGAAAGGCTGCCGTTTATGGCTTTGTTTGGTTCAGGCACACAGGATTTTTCTACGCGTGACATTCCGGTTTCTTATGCAAAACCCTGTACCCCCTCTGAATCGGGCTCAACAGTCCTGAGGAGCACACATCCTCACGTGAACGCAGTCTATTCATATATACTCGTGTATCGGATTCCATCGATATCAAGTGACTGCCACCGTGTCAAAGACGCCAGCAGTGGCGACTGAAAGGTGTGCCCTCTCCCCGCCATCATGGCACCTAGCTATGCTAGTAACATCCCGTGGAGACCTGATACTTTGGTGACACACGCTAGTGCTGTTCGGACCAATCACCAAAGCTCTCGCTCTGACTTGAAGGACATGCTTCAGAGCGATCTTGGCTCGGACGTCCGCCTGGCTGCCACCGACGATTTTCTCCAGAACATCCTATATATCCCTTCCCCTGATACCGATCGGGTCTTCGAGCGACTCCTCAATAATGGTACTTACGTTTCGAATCGCTGGGACGCATTTCCGAAGACTGTTGGCCCCGAGAAGCGCCTTTACGGTCCATTTGTCCAGATCGCGACCACGATATTCAAAGCATGCACCGAGCTCGGGATTAAACTCGAGACCGCGGACACATACTGGCCGGAGGATGTCGACAAGGCTCCGGAATCTTACGACCGCCAAACTGCTCCGCCAGTTCGCCCAGATCTCGTAGCCGCACTCGGAAACAACGCAGCTCAGAGCGCATATCGGGAGTGGGAGCAAGAGATGAGAGAGCTGCGGGATCAGGGCAGTAAGGTCCATTCTGAGAAGAAGAAAGCCTTGGTATGATTCTTTCACGCTCAGATCCCTGGCCTTACCAGTGACTCGGTATCGGGTTCTCTAGTTAGAAAAGCTCACGGAGAAGATAAGGGTATGGTGGACACGCGTGCATACGCCTGCAGAGTTGAAGCCGACAGAGAGCATAGAGAACTTGACGGAAGGTCTCACCCAGCTCTGTGGATACATGCGCTTAGTTCTCCAGGAGCAGCTGGACCGCCGTTTTGTTCCCGGGCTTCTCCTCTGCGAGAGCAAACTGTCCGTCTGGCTTTGTGATAGGGCCGGTATCCTAGGGACGAATAAGCTCATTGACATTCATGCGGTGTGCCACTCCAATTACTATTATTCCTTCGCACTCATCACTTATGCGACGTCTTTTCTGGACCTCTGATCCAGGAACCCAAGAAATTTATCCAAGTCATCATGGCGTTATCCTGCCTCGAGCCTTCACGCCTCGGCTGGGATCCGAATATGAAGATCTATCGGACCCAGGAGGACCAACTAGTCTCGCCCACCGACGGGTCCGTCACGATCAAGGACTTCAGTTCGAGCTTATATAACACTAGATGGGCTATACGCATACGCGGGGAATGGTATATCAGCTTGCAGGCTCTGAGCACTGTACGTGCAGCGGAAATGTCCGGTCGGGCTACTCTGGTTTGGCGGGTAGTGAAGAAAGGGACCATGGAAGTAAGCCAGACGTGCGCTTTCTTCGTTCTTCCTCCCACCATCACTTACCCCATGTCATCAACAGTTCTATGTCTTAAAGCAAAGTTGGCGACCTCGCACAGCTTCACCGGAAAGCGACTTTCTTCAGGATATAGCAAGTGATTGGGTGTGCGATATTGTATTCTCCGCGGAGGCCTCTATCAACGGTATAGTCGATAGCACGTCTGAGTGCATTCGTCGGAACGTGAAGGTCGTATCGATCATCAACCGGAAGCACATCGGGTCGTCAGCGGGCGAGCTGACTTCGGCCTCGTCGAAGAAGAGAAAACCGGTCGCCGAAATTGACGACGATGAGAAGTACGTCTTCATCATCTCGGTCGGGAAAGAACGTTTCATCGACGGCATTGGTGGGCGCGACTCGGACTTATGGCCCGTTGACCGCGTTCGGACGCATACCTTGATGCGAACCTACGGTTGGCCCATCAAGTTCTTCAAAGACATCCCGGAACTACTGACAACGATCCGCGACGCCGTCAAAGGTATGCTGTTTTTCTCCGTAGGAGTGCACTCACATCACTAACGCGACGTCGGTGTAGGGCACAGCGATCTCTGGTTCCACGGGGTACTTCACCGCGACGTGAGCATCGGCAACGTCCTCATCTGTCCAGTCGATAACGACGTGCAGAAGACGAAGGGATGTATCATCGACCTTGACTATGCGAAGAAAACAGCAGAACGAGTTGCACTTCCCGTCACGGTCCCGAACGATAACCAAGAGGAGGTAGACCGTGCCACAAATGATTTGATTTATTACACCCGGAGGAAACATAGCATACAAATTGAGCGTTGCGCTGCCGCCGGACTCATCACTCGTTGTCGCGATCATATTGGCCTCGCTTTAGCATACATTGATTGTGCCCTGAAGATATGGCCGTTGTCGCCCACACCGACCTCCCAGACGGTAAAGCATCCAATATCGTCTGTCATCAAGGACCATATGCTAATGGTCCTCCTGTAGCTTTCTGTACAGGATCTCCGATTGCGTGAATGCACAGTGAGTTCATCATCGAAACTTCGAGCTAGCTTATTGACATGATTATCTCAGCGTCAATTTCCGGATTGGCAACTACGCTCCACGATCAACTTCGAGCGAACTGTAGGTGTAGAGTCCTTTGGTAATTATCTATGTATACTGAATATTGGATCGCAGGGTACAAAGGCCTTCATGAGCGCTGAAATCTTAGGCAATTCCAAGTATTTTACTGTCAGCCAGCTACGAGAGGATGGACCCGTCGTCCACAGCGCCATTCATGACCTCGAATCCTTCTTCTGGGTTCTCCTCTACCTTTGTCTTACCCGAAGCGGTCCTGGCGGAGAGCGTCGCGATGAGCTGCAGCCAAACGCCCCCGACCAGAATGATGTGAACAAGCTCCACCGCATAGTTGGGTGCTTGTTCGAAGCGGGCGACAACGATACCCTTTTAGCCAATAAACGCCGATTGTTCGAAAATCCTCGCGAGCTCGATCAGATTATCACGCCTTGCTTCCATCCATACTTCGCAGACCTAGGGAATTTGGTCGTGGAGTGGTGGAACGTCATTCGATTTGGATATCACACGTTGGACCACGTTGCGCCCGGCATAATTCATGATCAAGTCATCAAGCTCATCGACGACGAGAGGATGAAAATTGAAGTGGCCCTATTGGAGGGGCCGACCAGCAGGACACAGGCTGGTGCGTCTAACAAGGAGGTTGAAAGACGCAAGAACGACCTCCAGCGCATCGAGGGGCTTGCTCGAGGTCTCGCAGTCGTTGAAGACTCGACTCCGACGAACACACTATGGGAGTTATCTCCTGATAGAGTATCGTCAAGCACGGGTTCGTACGCCACTCCATCCTCTCCGACGCCACCATCAAAGAGGCAAAACACGGGTGGTAGCACCTTGCGTGCGGCCGGCAAAAATTGATCGGTGAGTGCTTTCTTCATCTCCATTCTCATTGCCGTAGATTCTGATTCCGCATCGAACTGGAGCACAAGTTGGACTGGCAGTTCTGGAATGTGAGCGGTATCGGGGTGAGGGGCGGGCTTTGGCTGACTGAACGAAGATGTGTTGGTGCCGAGCTACACTAGATCGTTCGATACACGTATGACGAGAGGCCTGTTCGCATTATGGCCGAATGTGCGGGTCAGGGGAGAGCAAGAGTCATCTGTACAGACAGTACCAAAACAAAAATTATATATATTCTTCCCATTCAATCTCGGTCCACATTGACTTGTGGCACTCAAACTCGTACCCGCAACAGTCACCGCATCTTCAGAGAGCAACACGACTCTCTTCCGCCTCCTCCTCGCCTCTCCATCCTGTTTCCAGCCCCTCTCGAGCACCCGCCACATTTCTTCTCAAAGGACAACCTGCCATCCTAAGTTTGTGTTGACTTAAGCTGATCGGGGCACAAATGACGGGATGAATGACCTAGGAATCGGAGGGAGCGCCTCGTGGTGTGAGGGCGAACTTTCGTATGCCACCTCCGGGACATACGAAACCCCTGGACCAGTGCACCGAACCTTCTTCTCGCCACTCCAACCAAACCTGGGGACGTAGCAACACTGCATCCACAAGGAGACCCATCAACGAAAAAGAAGAGAAAACTCACATCAGCCTCCAACCACCCGCTCAACTCCTCCTCCCTCACATCGATTCCCTCCATCCCGCCCAACCACCCCCTAACCAAAAGCTGGACCCATCCCTCCGTCCTCCTCACCATCCCCGGTTTCGCCTCGCTCAAGCTGATCATAAACTCCAGCGCCGCCTTCCTCACCTTCTCCGCTTCGAGATCCTGTTCGTCTTGGGGGTCGTCTTCGGCACCGGAGGAGTGCGAGTGGGGAGAGAGATGGGAGGGGGAGGGTGGGAACGTGAATGCGCCGGAGGAAGGGCCGGAAGAAGAGGAGGGGAAGGGACGGGCGACGGTGGGTGTGGGGCCTGGGTCGGCACTGGGGAGGATGAGACCTGGAAGCCATCGAAGGAGGGCGGGGAGATGGGGTGCGAAGAGGGAGGGAGAAGAGGTGGCGAGTGGGGTTAGGGTGTTTAAGAACCTGTTGTGGCGGTGGCGTTGGACGAGATATGGACGATATAGTGGAAGCTGTCAGTGAGAAGAGAGTGAGGGAGGAGCGTAAGAGACGTACCGAGGGAGTTGGGAGGCGGGGAGAGAGGGGAGGGTGTCGAGGATGGGGTACATCAGTTTGAGGGCGTGAGGGAGGGAATGTGGCGAGAGGGCGGAGAGGTAAGAGACGGAGCCTATGAGGGCTGCATGGCGAACCTATGGTAAGGATAACGGTTAGAACGTATGCAACACGGTGGTTATAAATGGGCAAAGTGAGAAGAAAAATAAAGTAGAACGAGCACATCGAGATGTGGCGACGGCGTGATAACGCCATCAGACCAAGACGGGAATGGCTACCACAGACGGCATGCCCCAATCGTCCATGGAATTTCAAGAATAAAAAGAGTGGGTAGAGCACTCACATCGACACTCTGCGGATCCTGCAATCCCCTTCCAAAGACTTCGACCACCGCCTCCGTCTGCAAATCCAACACCAGGTTCGGACATCCGCCAAACACGCTAAACGCGCTCTGCCTCTGCCCAGGTTCGCTTGAGTTCGTCATCTGGAACGCCTGGGCCTAAAGCGCGTGCCACGGCCTTCCTCTGGCCATGGAGTTGTTCGCTAGATCGGAGACGGTGTCTACGCATTTGCGGCGGACGACGGAGGAGGGTTCGTGTGCGAGTGAGTGGAGGAGAAGACGTTCGAGGGTGGTTAGGGTTTGGGATGAGAGATGGTCGTAGAGGGTGAGGTGGGAGGACGCGTGTGGTTTGTGGGGCGAAGGGGACGGAGCCGGGCGGATAAGGACGAGCGAGAAGGATCTCATCTACTAGTAATTCAGTAGACTTTCAACGATGAAGCGCAGATAAGACTTACGACCTCGGTATCTGCGCGAGTGGCGAACTGAGTCAGTGCGAGGACGTAGACCTCGGGCGTCTGCGCAGGCCTCTCGTTGACCGCCTTTTGTGCACTGTATTCATCCATTGAGCGTCTATGCAACCATAACATTGACAAATAACATACTTTGAACCGATCTCGTTGTCTCCTAGGACAAGGATTTGGGTGAGCTTTGTAGTTACTTCTGTAGGTACGACTAGATTGATGTCGGTTAAGATTGCGATGGTTAGACTGGAATTACGTCCAGTCAGTAATCAACACTCCCCTATTGTGTGCAATCGAGAGTCAAGGCAATGAGGAGAAGAGAGGAGGAGTGGCTGGAGGACGAAAAGAACAATGAGCACGATGGGCGCTAGTCCGCACGTGCTTTACCTTGCTTGAAGGTCCATCCTACCCCCGTAAAGAATCGACCCGGAGATAAACATGGACAAACAGCGGACTTATTATGTGGCACCAGTGTGTGGCGTCGCAGAGGGTCTGACCGCTACCCTCGGATGTGATTGCAGCGATTCATGTGCAGGCGTTGATGCTCTGAACTGGGTTGTTGATAATTAACGGCGGCAGTTTAAATATATGGCTTTGCGACTCGTTGTACAGCACAAAATGACGGGGCCTCCAAATGAAACTGCTATAATAACATTGACCATAATCATGAATCAGTCTCGCGCTAGACGGATAACTTTCCGTCGGACGCAATGAGGCCCATACCGTTCGCTGCCTTGACATTTAGGTTCATCGGCCTGTGCTTTGCCTTGAAGGAATCTTCAGTCAACTTGACTGGTTCGCAGAATGTTGACAATGATTGGGCTCGCCGGGCACGGCGTAAGCACTTCCGATCCCGTTCAGGAACATGTGGTATAGAGCAGACCAGAAGTGCTTGTGCAAGTTATTTACCAAGCAAGGTGGCTGCTGCCGAAGGTGGCGCTCCCCCAGTCTGATTGCCATTTCAAATTCCCTGTCACTCTTTGCCACGCCACCATTCTCTTTCCTCGTTCCTCTCCTCGTTCCCTCCTCTCCTCTCCCGCTACCGCTGCTACGTCCTGAACATTAAGAATGGCTATGTAACCTATCTACTCAGCTTTGACTCTTCTGTCTACCCTCGATTCAACGCCACGCACCCTTTTTAACCTCGAGCTCCCTGATGCTGTCACCCCTGCTCCCCATCCGTTCTACCCTCCGAACCACCTCCCCTTCCCTTTCTGCTCCCACATCCTCCAACAGCCGTCTCATCAAACGATGAAACATCGAAGCTGCCGCGAGAAACGCTCACCCTCTAAGCTTTAGGCTGGCGAACTTCCTGCTCGACGACCCGTCCTGCTGGGATATATCACCTACTCTGCAGGACCATCATCTGTGATCGTGCCTGTGATATCTGGGGCCGGACGCGCGTTTATTTTTCGCATTCGTTTACTTTCCTCGTTTGTATCGTCCTCGTTTGCGGGACTACAGCACGACCGTTGTTGATGTTTACTTCGTCTTAAGCTCGCTAGACTCGTCCTCCTCGTGAACAGCTTTCTTCGGGATGCATCACGACTACACGCATGCGATATATCCGCTCAGCCCATAGATCTGACATCTCCCATTTCATGTCACCCACGTTCCCTCTCGATAATGCTCTCGTTCAGGATGTAATTCTCTCCTAACATTTCTCTTCGTCACTTTATTCGTGCGCGAGCATGGATCTTACTGCATGTCGGTCTAACCGAGGGATAAGTCTCCGCCCGTGTTATATATCCCTTAACCCGTCATAAATCAAAGCGCATCCACCGTCACAAGCGACGACATCGCCCCTTCGAACTTTCTCGCATTTCCACACCTCACCTGCTACTAGACTATGTTTGATCCAGTGTGAATCGGTACATTTTATCATTACCATTTTAAAGTTGTTAATTTGGATTGTGCCCTCCTCGATTGTATGTACATTGAATATTCATTGGGCTTTCATTCGTGCGCCCATGAATGTATATTCTGATTTAGCATCCGGGCCACACTGGATGACTCTCATAGACCCTCACAGGCACGACCACCCCGCCACAGGCAGGGGCCTCTGCATATTTGTCGCTTGATAGTTGTGTGTTGCCACGATCGTCACCTCCCAGCTCTCTGGGACAGTTCAAAGAGAACATTCGGATACCCATGGCAGATCCTCTAGCATATACAGGCATTCTCAGCCCACTAGTATGCCTGATACAGTGAATGACTGACCCTGAGTGTACATTGAGTCTACACTGAATTTATACCTCGGCAACTCTGAACTCCAACATTTATTCATCATGGTTTCTTGAATGTACATCGGGAAAACGCGATGTACATTGGTTCAAACATGGTCTACTCTGTCACGGAAAGGAAACCTCACATATTCCCTTTTATCGCTTATGGGCCATCTTTCGGCGTAGTCTGACTCCAAGGCGAATCATCGGCTGGGACACCCGTTTGAAGCCCGCTGCCCATAGTCGCCACCCGTTATAGCTTGCCATATTTGATTCGCAGAAGCACTTGGTTCGTAACTTTGGTGGTTTGCGTCCTCGATAAGCATCACTTTCGCCTCGTCTGTATCTCCTTACGCGTGATGCCGATAAAGATACTGAATATCCCTCGCGCGCTCTACGGTTGGACGACCCAGTGGTACGTTACCCCGGACTTAAGCTATGCAGGATCGTAGCCGGTAAGCAAGGTAGTCTCCTGTCTGACCGCCCTTTTTTTGCCTTGCCAAAGAGGTCTGTGTTTGCTTTCGTTAGTGTGTGTGCGATACGGTGCAGTTTATGGATCGTACGTGCGATCGTCGACTCCATTCGCTGCCCCTCTCACTTCCTGGGAGCTCTCAGCCCGTCGCCACAGGATTCATCGTCACCGAGGATGACCCGCATCGTACTCGTTCCACGCGTTGTACGATCTCGATTAGGAGGAGATGGTGAATATAGCATGGCATGTACTGCTTGCTATTGAAGGGAGAGTACAAACCCGAAAACAGAAGACGGAATTGCGTGGTCGACTCGTTCTACGTGAAGACATAGTGCTTGTCGTCGAGGATCTCAGTGATCGAGACTTCACGATACTTCATGAAAGTTGGCACACATAATGGATCTCGGTAGTCGAGATATTTAGTGCAAGTTGTGGCAACGGGACCCTAATAACAATGGGCCATGCTACGGTACTTGCACTCTCCTATTACCGATTTATCAGACTCACCCGACAAGACCCACTTATGATAGCAAAGACTCGATTACGACACTACGCTATGATACTGGCTGTTGGATGTGGTTAACACGAGGTAACTACTTACAAGCAAGCAGATAGTATAGGAAGTGACTGGTCGCCACACCGCCAGCGGGGTTGACTTTACAGCTCTGACCTATATGAGTGATACGATGACTATGCCAGTTTGTTCCGTTCATGGGAAGAATAGTAAAACGGGGAGTTGCGACGCCTTTACTGGTCAAAAATGACGAGTTCTTCGGCCTCTCACAACGTTGGCGCACTGTTTGCATCGGGAGTTGTAGTCCACTCGGTTTATGCAACAGACACGTATGTACGACAAATGCAGATCGTAAGACTCTGTGTGTGTGTGCTCGAGACCCCGGGGGCGGGACGGGAAGACGTGTGGGCAGTATGCTTCAAATAGAACAAAGAGCGTCTGTCCTGGGCGCTAGGGCCACAGTCGCTCATAGAAGAATAGCCTTGCACTGCTAGGCCCGGCGAAACAGCACAAAATTACTTGCAAATCGTAAGACCCCTGGCTGTGAGCACAACATCCCGCTCGTGAAAGTAACCGAAGCCGAAGGAAACAGAAGAGAACGTAGAGTTTCATCATAGTTGTAAGCACACTTTCAGAGGACGAATAACAGCGTCAACATTCGTCGCCGGAGCTTTGCTGCCTGTGGGGGAAATAGCGTCCACTCCTCCACATGGTGAATAGTTTGGCGTATAGCTTTTAGTGAAAGCGTCAAGACGAGGGTCACAGGCTAGTGAAGACAGAGCCCAATCTGTTGTGCTCGCATGACGATGTGAATAGACTCGTGGCGAAAGGTGAAATACATCACCAACACTGTCCATTAATAAACCAAATGAGGTGGGACTTTCAACGACGCTCGTTAAGAAAACCCATGGGTGACTGCCATCGCATCGTGTCAGCCCGAGATCCGCAATCGAGGATGTTCGAAGAGTCGTTTACATTGTACATACCACTGGGTGACTTTCCGTAGCAGTCTAGGAGCGTTTCTTGATGCACAGAAGCACAAATACAAGGCTCTCAGCCAATCAAAACTCGACCTGAGCCTCTTTTCTGTGTTCTAGGCCTCTAGAACGTGCACAAACTCCCTACGGAAAGTCACCCACTAGATCCATCACTTTACGCTGGGTTGATCATGAGTAATTCTTCATAGATTTGACACAGGGACAACGATGATATATTTATGCATCTGTGAGTAGTTGGAATACACTCGAAGATGGGGATCACAGCGCACCGGAAGCTGGCCTACCCAACATCGCCTATACAGTTTCGTAGTACCCAAGTCTTTGAGAATTCTAGGGGCGGGTTATATCTACGAAGCCCCAGATGAGGTGTGAGCTTCGGTATTGCGACGGGGGTGTTGAAGGTCATAGGTACTGCAAAGAACGAGTAAAGACATGGAGACAACGTTGCAGAGGGCGGACCGAAACCATAATGCAAGGTTAGGGTGCGCAACGCCACAACTGACCTCCACTAACTCCCGGTCGAGATACCTTCTTTCTTTCCATTGGTATCTTATAGTGTCAAGATGCTTATTGCCCTAATGATCAAGACATACATCGCTATACGAGGCTGGTACGATCCCTCGTGCTTTGCAGAAATAGAGGTGTAATCAAACGCTTCCCCTTCGACCTCATCCTCAAGATCGGCAGGGACGACGTCGCGTCTGAAGCCGCCACTGTGAACTTCATCCGCTCAAATACGACTATTCCCGTCCCGCACGTCGTCGCGTCCGACAACGCATTCGGAAGGTCCTAATATGAGACGCAATATACGATATGAGGGCTTGCTCGAGCTGCTCGAGCTGATTTTAGAATTGAGCAGCCCCCTGCTAGGTTCGAATAAGTACAACGCCCACCACGCGACATACATATCTTCATACGAGTTCCTGACCCTTGTCCCTGAGATGCGTATAAAAGGCTGTCTACTGACTTTTATCCTCTGTACTTGGCCTTTCGACACCCATTCCCGTCCTTAGGCTCCACCGCGCATCCCAGTGATAGACGTTAACCTCACAGTCCACCGACGATGTCTCTGTCCACCGTATCCATCAAGAGTCATACGACTGCGTCGTCGCCGATGCCGCATGTGCTTTATTCGGTGGAAGTCGAAGGAGACGGTACCGAACTAAGGGTGGTGCAGAAGCGCTATTCTGATGCAGGTTCTCCATTCCTCATATTTCCCTCCTGTCCTTCACCGCCGTCGACACCCTCTCCACATCCCAATAAAATCCTGCATCATTGAAATGAAACCACACGTGACGAACTGACCGGTTTGACTCCCTCATACAACTAGTTTCTTGCCTTACACTCCTCCTTCGCCACACGACCACCCATATCGCTCCCTCCAAAGAGGATCCTCGTCACGACCTTCATTCCCTCCGCCTGTGTCGATGATTCCCTCATCTCAGAACGCAAAGCTGGTCTCTCGGCATATCTCTCCTATCTCGTCTCCTCCCCCGAGTACCGCGATCTCCCTTCCCTTCGAGAGTTCCTCGCTGTTGGTGACGGTCAGGGCACAGAAGGGGAGAGACCAGACGAAAGGTTTGATTTGGAAGATGCGTTGCCGAGTACGATGACGAGGAAGAAGGAGCTGGAGTTGAAGGCCGAGATGTTGAAGGCGGATGCGAATGGTGCGGCTAAGACCGGAGAGGGAGAAGCGAAGAGGGAGGCAACGTTCATCGCCGCCTCTTATTATCCTGGTATGTTATTCAATCCATGCTCCGAAGCCTGTAAAAGATCACACTGATGCTCTGTGCTTTTAGTAGATTAGGCCGAAGATACGATCGCCCCAGAGAATATTGACTATTCGAAGTTCGATATCCTCTTATATGGTGCGCTGCTTCACCTCTTGTTTTGCATCTCTCAAGCATAGACTTATCGTCTCAACTGCATTACTTCATAACAGCCTTTGCCACGCCCAACTCGTCTTCGACCCTTACCTGGGACTCCGGTTCTCAGGCTCTCCTTCAACGGCTCGTGAGCTCTGCGAATAGCAGTGGGGCTGGGACGAAGATCGTTCTTTCGGCCGGAAGTACGTCTTGCACTACGAATTCCTGATAGCGTTTGTGCGATTTGGAGAAGTCGGCTGATGATTTGTTTGTGTTTAGGTTGGAGTGGGTCGTATTGGTTCAGGTTCATTGCCGAGAGCGTTCCTTTTTCGTTATCGGCATTCACAACCTCACCGTGGCCCACGATATATGTGTGCGCGTTGTGCATACAGCCAGGCGATGTCATCCTCCGTGAACCGTACGGCGTTCATCAATGCGCTTTCGAGCGCTGTGAGCACTTATGGGCTTTCCGGTACGTATATGCTTATACATCTCCATTTAATCTCATCATACCCTTTTATACTACTCCCATGACATACGCCTCTCCATCTTTTTGCCATATGACTTCACCCATGCCACATACGTAACCCACCGCGTATTTTCCCCTTACGCCTCCAGAGAACCGACGACGCATCTATCTATCTGACTTTTAGGCATCGACATCGACTGGGTAATACCTCTCCTCCGCAGAGAATGAATCTTGGACAGCCCATTCGATTTTGTGCGCAAATCTACTAGGAATACCCCAACTCAACCGGCGCAGGAAATCCCTTCTCCTCGTCCGACTCCGCCAACCTTCTTTCCTTCTTCACTTCTCTTCGTTCCAAACTCGGTGCGTACACCTTCGTTGCTCTTTACATCCGCTTTCACTCTAAGCTTTCCACATATTACACCGATATTTTCCCCTCCTCGTACCCATCCCACACCTTTACCGTAACTCTTTGACTCGCGCACTTTTGGACTGACGAAAAATGGCATGGATAAGCTCTTCGGCGATCATTTCAGCAGCAGTGACGGATCTGCCTTGGTCGGGCTCGGACGAAAACCCGTTGACGGATGTCTCGAGTTATGCGGCGCAGATGACTTATGTGAATATAATGTACGTCTCTTCGCATCTCTACCCATGGCTATGTTAACCCTTTCGAAAAAATCCCTACCGTCAAATCCACACTTCTTGGACGATTCGTTTGTGTGTGATGGAAGTGCCAGGTACTAATCAAACTTGGTGCGGTATCTGCAGGAACTACGACATCTTTCAATCGTCGAGCACACCAGGCCCAAACGCGCCCCTCGGTGCGCCTTACTTTCAATCTTCATCTCCTTACTCTTCCAACTGAACTGATGCGCTCCAATCTACCTTGTTCACGCTCACAGGCGACCTATGCGGAACATCCTCCCTCCCGAATTACTACGCCGAAGCTGCGTTCCTCCAATGGACCTCCGCTGGCATGCCCGCATCCAAAGTTCTCCTTGGGCTACCTTTATATGGATACGTGAGCGACAGCACGAAGACCGGTCTGACCGGGTCCTTGTTGCCCCCTTCGTCTTCTTCTGCTGCTCAAGGGAATGGGGATGCGAAGGTGGCGCCGAGAGCAAGGAATGCGAGGCCGAGCCATCCAACTAGTGGCGTTAATGGGTTGACCGGGGCGAAGGGAGTGGATGGGAAGGTGAAAGCACAAGATGTGGATTTGACGAGCTGGTACGGGCAGCAGATCCCGTTCACCAATATCGTCAGTTCGGGCGCTCTGGTCCTCGGCTCGGATGGGGCTTATGGACAGGATGGGGGGTTCACTATGGGTGCGTTTTCTCCTCCTGTGTTCTTCGTCTCTCCAGGTCGGGTCAAGGTCTTAGGATGTGTGCTGATGAGATGCGTTGATAGCCTGGGATGACTGTAGCGATACACCGGTGAGTCGCGACTGGTCTCATTGCAGGCGGTCGAAATACTGATTTGCGCATTCGGACGTATAGTTCTTGTATGACACGTCGGAGAGCACGGTGGTCACGTACGATGGTACGTTCTCGTCTTGCATGCTTGGGAGTTGATTCTGAGGAAGTATTGCGTTTATAGATACGTATTCACTCGGCGATAAAGCCGCCTATGCCAAGTCACAGTCGATGGCTGGTAAGTATAGGCCTCAATCGCATTCCTCCAATCAGATTGAACCTTCGCTGTTGTTCTCCAGGCTGTTTCACGTGGTCGATGGACCAGGTACGTTCTTGCTGCTTTCGTCTTTTCAGTTCCATTCTGTGTGCTAACAAACTATACGTGTGTCGAACAGGACGAGAAAAGAGGATTGTGTGCTGCGTCTGCAGGAAATGTGGCCCCGGGCCGCGGCCGGCCACTGCCGGGTCGAACTTCACCGTCTCGTTCACCGTCTTCTCTCTATCTCTGACTCGCACCGTCTCTCTCTCTCTCTTGCTCTGTCTCGCAAACCGTCCGTTTCTCTCGCTCTGTCCCGCTTTCTCTTGCTTTCAATTCCGCTCCCTCTGGCTTTCTTTCACTTGTTGGTCCATTCGTCCACCATTCGGAGTCTTCAGTCATTCTCCATCCGCTTCCATCTCCACTCGCCGTGGCTGCAACCTGTCCAGTTTCAAAAGACATGAAAACGCGAGCCCAAAAGAGAGGAAACTCGTCGAAAGAGCCACAGGAAGAGGGACCGGCCCATGCGCTTGAGGTGCGTGTGTTTCGGGCGATCGAGTCTCGTACCGTCACACTGATGCCCGACTTTTGTCCTTATCATTTCTCAACTTCTTTTCCTCCTCGTGCTTGACGTTTCTTCTCTTCAACATCTTCAAGGCTCCAGCCCCTTCGTCCTCAGTCGTCCCCTTCCCTCCTTCCCATCAGCCAGGCAAGATCGAGCTAATCCCCAAGGAGCTCCTCTGTCAGATCTTTCGACACGCCTGCCACGGAGCCACCACCTTCACCATTCCCGGCGCCTCAGGCGCACCGGACCACACTTCCGCCCTGCCTACCCCCGTCGCCTTGACCCACGTGAACAAACGCTGGCGGGCGGTGGCGACGAGCTACCAACCTATTTGGGCAGACGTCTCAGGCGAGGTGTCAGGCCGGTGGACCACACACTACATCGAGAGGTCTGGAGAGCATCCGCTCAAGCTCGAAATATGGCCCTGGGACATTCGGGAATGGGATGACACGATTGCAGCGATCACGCAGGCCATCGGCCGCACCACCGACCTCCGCATCCTCTCCATGTCCTCTGGATGGGCCGTCACGGGGTGTAGGGATACCAAGCTGCTCTCCGCTCTGGGCGAGTGCCAGTCTGACGCCCTGAAGCTCTTCCACCTGTCCTCGTACCCCGAGTGCATGGCAGACTATCGACTCTCGTTTATTGTCGTCCCCGGCGACTTTCTCTCCCTCGGCGCCCCGAACTTGAAAGAGGTCATTGTCAATGCACCGTTTTACCTCCCGCCACGCCACAACCTCCTCCTGAACCCGTCGGTACACACGCTCGGCATGCTCAACATCCCTAAAGAGGCCTTCATGAAAATTATCGATCACTCCCCCGTGATCTTCAAGGTATCCAACCTCATGTGCACCATCGGCTGGCGGAACTTCCTATTCGATCTGGATGTCGATCCCGAGCCCGAGCCCGCTCACCATATCGTCCCGCTGGACCAAACGCCCACGGTGGCCAATGTCGGTCTGTTCTCGGTGCAGGAGATTCCCATGGACATGCTCCACCGCCTCACCATCTCGCCCTTCTTTCAATCCAGCAGCTTCAAGAGTATCATGGTGACCACCTCCTCCGTCTCCCTCTCTCCCATCTTGCACCAACAGCACGTGCACGCGCTGAGCCTCTTGTTCCAGCGCGCGGCCGACCTCTTACCGTTCGAATACGTCAGTATCGGGCTGGAACAGGGCTACCGCAACTCGGAGACCATCTCCATCGAATGCGGGCGACTGGGCACCGCCACCGACGACTCGAGCATATATTGGACCCCAGAGAAGGACGACCTCCTCTTCTTCTTCGCATTCAAGTGTCCGATGTTGCAGGCAGTACCTCAGTGGGCCCCATCGATGTGGAGCATGATGTGGCCCGCGGAAATGCCGTCGCCTCGCCACCTCCGGCTCGGACGGGACATGGTCAATGTGCCCTTCACGGACAAGGACTTACCAGGCCATCTCTCCACGATATGGCTGCAAACAGCAGCCAGATTCCCTGACGTGACCACACTGAGCCTGGAGGACCCCATGTACGATGCCCTCTCACTCCTTGGGCGACCCACAGAACCAGGAGACGCCCACTCGCTCCCTTTTCCCCTCCTGGAGACCCTCATCGTCACCTGGGTGCCTAAGCCCATCCACCAAAATACCCCCTTGCGCATCGAACCCCTCCACTACCTCCAGCGCATATGGAGAACCCTGAGGCATCGGCACTTGGCCGATTTTCCTCCCCTTCGCCGCCTCGTCCTCGCAAACTTTGGGGGCTTGCCGCCTCAGTTTCCGAAGGACGCCGTCGATATGGCATATGTGGAGCAGGTCATCATGACTTGACACGAAGTCCCGAGTCCGGGGGTGCATGGGGTCAGAGGAGCGCCGTCACGAGGAAAGTAAAAACCCACATCGGCAGCAGCAGTTTTTCTTCGGTTTCATTTTTCTCCTTTCGCTCTCTCCTTCCAACTGTCTCTTCCGATTTCTTGCCGTTTGGGTGGTCCCGGACACCGTTTCCCATCTTCCTGCGTTCTGTTTGGTTCTCGTTGTCTTGCGTCGTCGCCGTTTCGTTTCGTTTTTTTTTCGTCGTTTTGCTTTGCCACCGCTGGGTTTCGTGTCCGTCTTTCTTGTTGTCATCTCGTCGATGTTTTGCTCTGTTGCATGCCAGCCCGTGTCCCTCATCACTTCTCCGTTCTTCTTGCTTTCTTGCTTGTGTGGTACATCCTCTCGCATCACAATACACGCACTCTCTCGCTTACTGTTAGTAGTCCCTCTTGTGGATTCGCCTTTGTAACACCACCTTTTCAGCACGCACACAAATAAAGTTGCCCCCCTCGCGTGCGATCAGCAGCAGCAACATCACATTAGTAGTACTTAATATTCCGGCCCAATCCCTCTAGCAAAACACCCATCTTCGCCCATCAACACTGGAGGGCCCGGGCCTGACCAGGTATTTGTTTGGCGCTGTATTAACATCCGAACTCACCTGGACAAAGGTGATATGTGTTCTCCAGATCCAATTGACGAAGGCGGCTCGTAGCACACGTGTGGGAGTACCAGAGGGGGCGCCCGAAAAGAAGCCCGGCCGGGCATGGGATTGGAGCAAGACGGACGGGACGAGGGCGGGTTACAAACGGACGAGGTACGTACGATGCGAGACCCGAAAAAGAAAATGATAATAAACAAGAAAGTTAAAAATTCAGAAGAGAGGACCGAAGCTCGAAAACCAGGCAGGTACTTTTGAGGTGAGGGTAAGTTCGTACAAAAACAAGACGAATCAGTAAGTACGAAAGAAACACACCACTTTTGAGAGGGGCCACACGACCGTGCAGACCCGATTAAGAAGCCACGCCATAACAACTGTAAACGACGGCAAAGTAAGGGCAAGAGACCAAAGCGAAGCGTAAAGATACTTTTGAACAAAGAAGGAGCGCGACCACGCAGCCTGGGAGTTATGCAGATTAGGAACATGGCACAGGGCAGAGAAAGATAGAACAGAAACCAATAAAAAAGGGAAGAGGGTGGGTGGGTAATGAAAAAATAGAGCCCGTGTGCCTACGAGAACGAAGAAGAAGCAATACCGGAGCGGAGCGATGGTCTTGCCTTGTCTATTTGTATTAATGTTGCCCGTTCATATGCAGTTGAAGAGGATGCTCACCCTAAGACTGTGTCGTACCGACATGACGATAACTTCGTATGAGAACATTGTTCCCCGTCAGTACTAGTTTGAGCCTCGCTGTACTATCATCGCTAACCCTGGCTGACCTAGTGAGCGTAGCACGGATAGTTGACCAATCTCTTCACAAACAATTCGACAATCGCCACTGGACGTTCTTCCCCACTCTAGAGGTCCTTTATGAATGGATGTATGCTGAGGAGGAATGGTTCGCTTATCGAAAGTGTAGAATTGCAAGCGACGGCCTCGACGTTGGCCGCCCAAATCATCGCGTGTTTCGGGTGAGTTGATTCCCTTAGCGTGAACTCTTCACGCCACTAAACAGGTTGTGAATCCTTTCGACGTTCACTGGTCGTATTCGGCTAAGGAATACGTCAGAATACGTCCCTCGCCTGGAGAACGATGACGCCACCATGATAAGTAATGGCGCATTCCCTGTCCTCTACCTCCTCGCTGCAATCCCGAACGTCGTATACGCAGGCCTTTCCTGCCTAATAAATCTTTAACCGCTCACGAGAAAGACCTGTGACGCCACGGACCTAGCGATGTACCTGACAGACCTATGGCAATGGACACCAAGCGATGCAGACCCTCACCGCCCTGCTATAGTACCGCTAAGGCATTTTGATCCGTCTTCAACAACGGAGCCTACCTTCCCTCCTCCTATCCCTAATCACAATATTATGTTCGACCATTCATCTACACCTAACTTCTTCTCCCCTTTGAACTCCCCCTCCACAATCACCCAGACTCCTGGCACTAGTCCTGTGCTTCACCTTCAGCTCAACCATCTGGCGGCTTCCTCATACGCGAGCGATGACACGGGCAAGAGTACCGACACTGATCCCGGCTCGGACTCCAAGCACAGCCATCATTTAGACTCTTTGGACGAAGGATCCGCATTGTTGGGAGACGGTGGTCTACAACACTCTCCTACGATGACCGGCAGTGTTTCGTCGTGGGTGGATACAGTCGCAGCCGCAGGCGCGGCTACACCGGTGGACGAAGACATAGATTGGACCGCCGATGGTGATGAGCTTGGGCAGGAACGGTAGATGTCTCCAGTCGTCAACTTTTGGGGTGGAAAGGCGCCAGAGTACATTCTGCGTCATACGGTGGAGCATAGAGTTGTTCTGAGAATTGTTAGCACGAGAGGAAACCTGTGGGCGTTTGCAGACCTACGCTAAACATTTACTGGAAGAAATAGATACAACATCATGTATACGGTGGAAAAGAAGTGTCGAGACTTCTAGATCATACATACGTTACGGATCTTCTGTAGGAGCGAGAGTATTAACATGAGAGTTTATGAGGGACGACGGGCAGGATATCTCGACCCATCTCGGAAGCGCAAATGGTGAAAGTTCCATCCAACCGATCTTTGAAGACGATCGTCATCGATGTTAGGCTTCATTGGCCTCATCTCGTAACTGAAAAGCTCACCTGTACAAACCCACATCGACCATGGAGTTATGCTCAAAGTCTTGTGAAGATATGCCTCCACGTACATGCTGACAGCAGTAGTGTTAGATCTATAACACAGATATAAGTGCTGGTTAGTTCCACTGGTGGCATATAGATGATGCGAGCGATAAGTGAGGAAGAAGGAATAGAATATTATCCAATAAACAGAGGAGGTTCCGATGCACACATGTGGTCACGAAGCGTTGGCTTACTGACCGGACAGGGAGTCCAAGGTTCGGAGACCCGCGCAAACGAATTACACAGCCAAAATAAGAATGCTCATTGCAGTACGACCTTCGCCAGCCGCTGAGCACCCGAACCCGGCTGATACTACGAAATATACTGCGTCAAACCGTCCGTAGAGACGTACTCCGGGTGTGCATAGCACGCCTAGTTCGTATCACCGTTGGCAGTGACGGATGTGAAGAGCTCGATGTCCGCTATGTATCATAAACATATAGCCGTAAGTACATCGATCACCAAAGAACTTCTGGCGGAGCAACTGGCGAGACTTACAGGACCAAGGACCTTCCTGGGCGGATGCGGATTGCATGTAGGCAGTATTGGGCCCGTAGGGCATGAAGACGTTATAGAAACCGCCGAGCGCGGAGCTGTAGAAGACATTGTTCCCTGCGGCGCCAGGAGTTCTGTAGAACTCAAGGTCATTGAAGGAATTAGTGATCTTAGAAGTTATCACTCACATCGTCCCCTTCACGTTACTGACATCCGACTGGTAAGAGCTCCCGTCCCAATATGTCCAGGCTGAAAGATTGTTGAAATCGTCGATTGGAGCCTAGACGTCAATCAAGTCAGTCCCCATGCGCAAAAGCAGATAGTTAAAAAATTAACACACCTTCGCCAAGAAAGAACCATGCAAAATATCCCCTCTTCCGTACAAATACACATACCCATCATAAACCACTGCGCCCGTCGTAAAACTGACATCATCCGCCCCTCCGAATAAGCTCGGATCCTCCACGCCGTCGACTCTCCCGTACTCGGCATCACCCTCCGTCCAAACCCATACGACAAGTCGGCCTCAAAAAAAACCAACCCAGCGTCTCCCCCATCAGCGCGGTACTAGCGTACGAAGACCCCTCCGACGCACGACAGCTTTTGCTATAGCCGATGAGGGTTCGATTGCTATCGGGATCGGTTGCGGAAGGCGTCGGTTGTCCCAGTGCATCGGCCCATCGAGGAGGAGTGAGCGTTTTGAAAGGCTGTCTCGGCTTTGGTCGCAGGGACGGTAAGGCTCGGAACACTTCCGGTGTTGGTCGTAGTCGTCCAATCTGTGCTTTGGAGAATATGACGCGCCGAGGTCGCCCGTTACCGTCTTCGACAGGCTAAATAAAGTGCAGACCTGTTGTGAGTATATTATACGGATACTCTATAACGATCAAAGATGAACGCGTACAAGTTGTTTGTGAGTTCGGTGTCGTCGAAGAACCAATAGGACAAGTCGTTGATGTAGGCGCTTTGACCGTTGTCGCGAGCTGAGACCCATTGATAATGTTGCGAACATAAAGCTGAAGGCACAAGGACGCACCTGGCATATAGCTGTTCTGCAAGTGATAGGCCCAAGTTCAGTTGCTGAAGCTACGGAGATCGGTCGTGGTCCACAGGGTAGGAGATCGTGTGGAGGAAGCAGCAAGAGAAGTTCCAGGTAAAATGATGCTGAGGATCGGAGATGATATTAAGATGAATATCATGACTAGCCATGGTAGGTCGCGAAGACCAGCATGGATGATGGGATATATATACTCATGCAAGGGCTACGATTTTAATCAGTGCACGGCGTTACTATTCAGGTGTAACTATCATGAGATTAGTAGCCCTGAGAAGGGGTAATACGACAGTGCGCACGATAGCCACATCCTAAACTGTCTAATAAAGTTGTTGATGGATGGGTTGACTTATGCGACGTTAGCGCAAAAGGAGTAGGAGACACGCAGATCGTCAAGAGGCGCATTCACAACATAATTCATCTCAATTCCACTGCTTGAAAGTGTGCCCTTATTGTACAGGGACCGATGGCCTGTAGGTAGTTCCCCGTAAAGAACGCGGAGGCCACCTGAGCAGAATAGGGCATGCGACGAGAACTACCGAGCGAGAAACGCATCTGAGCGAAAAGAAAGCATGAACAACGTATCACCTCTAGCGGCGAACCGATACCGTGATTTTCGGGCGACGATGGGTAGCCTGCTGGCTAAAATGGTCGGAGATGACGGGTCTATAACGTGGGACGAGTGAGTGGTGAGAGGTATATAACAGGGCACGAATTCTGACCTAAAACGGATGCGCCCTTGTGTTCTTGACAGCAAGTTCGCGAGCATGTCGCTATCTGTCCCTAGGACGCTGTGGATGCGAAAAATCAGGTGGTTTGCGTACGACGAAGCCGTTAGAACCACTCACATAACCATATTCCGAGTGCTCTGGCGTATAAAAACGCCGTCGCTTTGACCCACCTCCACTGTACCGGTCAACGAGCTCTTCATTCTCGGCCTCCAACCGGTCTATCTGCTGGCTGAGATGTTTCCCCTGCTCGTACGCGGACGCCAAGCGAGCCTCATACTCGCGCAGCCGCTCGTCCTTAGCCCTGTCGTTCTGCCGGAGAGCCATCCCATCGGCCATGCTAACGTCCAGACTCAGTTTATCTAATTCTTTCACCTGATTGTCCAACTCGATCCTCTCCTGCACTCTCAACTTCACCAGTTCGCTCTCATCCGCCGCCCTTCTCTTCGCCTCCGTCCACGACCCCACGGCCATCTCACCACTCACTTTCGCAGGCTTCAACGGGATCTCCACTACAGCTTTCATCCTCCTCTTCCCTTCCCTCTTCGTCCTCTCTTCCGAGTTTCGCCCCGCGTCCGTCGTTGGCGTGCCCTCCCTCGCTGTCTCCACCTCCGCCTTCATCTTCTCCTTCTCGGCTTCGAGTTTCTTCCGTAGAGTAGCGTAGGTTGTCTTCATTGGACATGACGGGGATAGAGCAGTTGACGCGCGAAAGTGGGATCGATGTGAGATAGATGCACGAGAACGCAGCCAGCCAAGCACAACGGAGAGAATCGCCAGGTAATAACTTATAGAGTATGTGGAGTAAGCAGATGTGGGGTAGTGTGAACGAAGAGCCCGAGTAGACAAAGAGCTGTGCGAGGTGCTAGGCTAGCGCGGTAGAGTCGAGACGTCCTGTGCCAGTGGTGGGATGATCGGGATGGACAATTGATGCCCGTGGGATCTTATCTAATCGTTTGCGCCACCCAGTCTAAGTGGCCCAGGTTCTTACTCGTCATCGACGTCGAAGAGAATGAAGGTGAAAGAGGCATTCAAGGAGCATGCATACATGCGCTCGAAAGGCAGACTACGTTGGATTTTGAATCAGACGCCGAAGAGTCTGATCGCATCTAACGCCACCTGTACGAAGCCTGGGCGAAGCGAGGGTAGAGAACAAGCACATACGCACCAATCCTATGGTCGCGAGTACAGATACATTTCCCATCGATAATGATACACGACTTTGAACACGTCTCGAAAGTTCTTTCCGCATTCGCTCACAAGCGTCCTGATACGCCACCCAATGAACCGTACATTCAACGTTCATCTACGCACACCAGCTCCGATCTCGTTGACCCTCTCCTCCAATACCATCTCTACCGTCTCATACATCTTACCACATCCACTGCCCGTCACAATCACCCTGCTTCAAATCAATTCACGATGTCCTCCTACGATATCGACATCTCTTCCGAAGCCATCGCAAGCACGTCCTTCACCACCCACGACCAGGCATCCGCCCCTTTCATGACCTCCCCGGACACATCGCGTTGCGCCACCCGTCGAAATCTCCCCAGGATTTGGAAATGAGCGATATAGAGGTCGAGAACGATGAAGGCGGTCTGTTTGATGATATGTCGGTTCAAGGCCTCGATGGAATTGAGGACGGGGATGTGGCGGGTGTAAAGAGTCAGAGTCAGAGGAAACTCCGGCGCAAGGGGGCACAGACGAAGAGATGAACGGTTCGGATACTGAGAAGTCTTCAGAGAAGGGTAATGAAGGTGGGGAAGAGGACGACACAGAGGAGAAGACGGATGTCGATGTCGGGGATGACATTGAACTGAGCACTGAACAATGGAAGAAGCGTTACTTGGTGAGGAACGTGTTCAAGAGAGAATAAGAGGAGCTGTTCTCAGACGTGATGGAGGAAAATGGCCGTTTGGAATGGGACCTAGAAGAAGCAGTAGGAGATGCCGATATGCTTAGAGAGGAGGTCGAAGAGGCAGAGGAGGTTGTTGAATGTTTAAAATTGGAGATACGCATGTTGAAGAAAGAAAATAACAAGGTGAGGGCGGAGAAGGAACGTCTGGAGGAGCGGGCGGATCGCGTGGAGAGCAAATACGGAGGCACGGGCAAGCAAGATTGAAGAGAACCTGGATCATCAGATCGAAAAGTCAAAGATACGGCTCGAGAAGGCGACAGAAGAGAAAAAGAGTGGCAGACGACGATCTGGGGGATATGATGAGTATGGGTGGAGGGCAAGGTGAATGGGAGGATACCATAGCGACGTTGAATCGCGAGAGTGATAGGTTGATAGTCGAGGCAAGAACTGTAAAGAGGGAACGGGATGTGCTTAAGGGTGACAACGCAGGTTTGGTGAAGACTACGAACGAGATGAAGAGGATGATCAGGGAGTTGATCTTGAGGTTAAAGACGTTGAGGAGAACCGAAACATGCATTCCCGGGGACCAAAACCGGTGAGTAGTCTCTTGGCCCCCTTTGAAGGGCACAATTACTCATGAATTGTTCATACGTCTTTCGTGACCCAACCTACCTCGGCTTCAGCTCAATGTAGGAAAAGGGCATTCGACAAGGGATTCCCTGAACCTCAAATTCGATCAAAGAAGGTATTTGCATCACCGAACTCAAACCCGGTTAGTTGCGCTAATCGAAACTCGATAGTCAGGAACATCGAACACGAGTGCCGTGGAGGCGCTCGTTGAAGATTTCGATCGATGCCGTTGCGAAGAATAGAGAATCGAGGTTCGAACTGGGATCATTGGCTATTGAAAGACCGAAATATTGTGGAAGGGAGATGAGAAGTAGAGTATGAAAGAAGGATCATATCACGTACCAAGTACTCCGAAGGAATTTCCGTACACTATTTATTCACCTGTCTTTGTCGTCGAGCAGACTGAGTGAGGAGGATAGCATATAGGCGAAGACTTCTGTCAATAGTTGTCCGAGTTCGGAAACGAGCCATATGAAAGAGAATTAAGGGTCACCGAACCCAGTTCGTTAACGCTCACAACCCCTAAGTGCATCCACTTCCACTTCAGTTCGACTCTACAACCTGATTGCGCTGGCTCCTTCGATCCATTCACTCCTCTAACACCACTGCAACCCGAAGCACCGAGAGCGTTCACAGCAGCCGACCTGCACGACGCAATGACGAGCTCGAGATTAGTCCCAGCATCTTCAGCAAAACATCCCGTATTCCTTCCTGAAGGAGTGTGGGGGAACTGTAAGGGACTTATCAGCCAGTGATCCATGAAGCTGATGATTCTCAGCCGTGAGGTGCGAAGATCGTAAATGCGTACCCCAACCAAATTTGATTTGCGAGGATAGAGGAAGGAGGTCACAGAGAAGAAAAACCTAGCAGACGAGACGAACCTCACAATGGAGCGTAATATCCGTCAATATTTCGCCGTCACTACTTTACCTTGACCATCCTTTGCCCATGTCCCGCAATATACCGAGCCTGTCTTCTTGCTGATCCCCAGGACTGCGTTCGGATCAGCAGTAATATCTTCGATGAGGAGGATCGCGCGCGAGGGATACGTCATTGACAGATGCCAAGTGAAGGAAGGAGAGTCGGGGTTGTTGGAGTGCTGGGTTGGGGAATATGGGTTTGAGCGACATGGATGAGATGCGAGTATCAGGAAATTTCGGATCCCTCGAGCGTGCTGTGTAGGTACGTTTCTTTCACAGCTACCACCAATAAACGGAGGTTCGTGGTATCAGTTGCTTGTCTTATGCTAAACGATGTACGGTTAGCATATATCCGAGCATAGAAACACAGATAGCACAAAATCAGGCTATATGTGGCGTGTGGCGCCAGCCTTTCTCGAACAAACCGGCCCCCACATTTTGAACGAAGGTCCCCAGGAAGAAAGAATCTGTATAGAAAAACGCACTGTGGATGAACACTCGGCCTCGCGCAATTTGCCTACATAAACCTCCCCAGAATGTACTTTGCCCCCTTATTCACGTCTGCACCGCCCGAATACTCTGGAAAATATCGTTCCAGTGGGACCTGGACGTGATACGAACCGCGAAATATGCGCAGTCAGTAGGTGCTTTGAAGTTTTGAGGAGATATTTAATGCAACACGAAGGGGTGAAGGAGAGAGGTTGATATAAAAGAGAAGTGGACAGAGAGTGGAGCTGTGGGGAACAAGGCGTACCTTTGGCAGAACAGGTCTGAGGAAGAGGATAATTGATTTTCCTAGGAACCATCTGTAGTTGATGACGGACTCGAAGAGAGTCAACGACTCCATCATACGGTTCTGTTCATGCGACAGCCACGAATGCCATAATCAACGTCAGGCCGTCATCACCATCCGAGCATCGCGGAACCGCAGAGCCGTCACGGAATGGAGAACCACCGACAACAACGTCGCCACGCAAGAGAATAAAGGATCACGTCAGTTAGGGGTTAGGCCAACGATGGCGATAAAAAAAATAGAGCCGCAACGCTTGAAGTTCACGCCCACGGTACGAACAGGGAAAGAAAAAGGTACGGAAGAATATAGACCAGAGACACACCCGGTTCTTCTCCTCCAGTAACACCTGGTCGTACTCCGAGCATGCAGCGCAAAAGATTGTGGACGTGACGCTCTCAAACGAGTGTATCCACTTCTTCCGCTCAGATCTTTGATCGGCGACGTCGACCATGTGTATTCTGGAGATGAAAAGCTCGTTAGCATCCAGTTGGGAAGGAGTAAAGAGGGTAGCGGAGAGGGATGACAGACAAGGAGAAGGGGTTGACACGCATCCGCATGACTGGACGGAGAAAAAGCGGAAGCAAGATCCAGGATCACCGAATGGAAGCGATTTTGACGAAGGAGGAAAAAGAAAAGCGAGGGAGGACGAAGGCCAAAGAAGAAAAAGGACAGACGAAAGGGAACGCGACGTACGACAACTCGCCAATGTTGAATTTCGTCTCTGTGACACCATTCGCCTGCTCTCGTGCTCGTAGAACGTCTTCCGGTGTTGTGATATACCCCGGTGCTGAGATCCGGTCTGATTGTGTGAAGAAACTGTACGTGACGCAAATCGACGAAGTTCGAATCCGTCTGAGGCCACAAAAGTTGCGGATACCGCAGGATAAAGAGTCGAGATGATTTGATGGGAGAGGGAGAGAGCAACGAAATGAAGGTAAAAAGAGGTAATGGACGTACTACGACGCGTTATCCATCAGATAAAAGTCCGAAGAACGCTCCATCAATTTTTGGGATGACGGCGTCGCTCTAGAGGTCCTGGATGGCTTTTGCGATAACCGGGCTGAATGTGAGCGCTGGATCTGCCAGCTAAGGTTCATACGCCTGGATAACTCTGAAGTTTTTCTGTAGGGTGGGGAATGGAACGATGGTCAGAAGACACTGAGGAAGTGAGCATCCCGTCGATGTGCGCGCCACGTTCGAAATGTCGGTCCCAGTCCCAACACCGTTGCTGTTCGGCGAATGTCGCACAAGAGGTAGGGACGATACAGCGCATCCTGCATTGGCTGAGGATAAAAGGACTGGAGAGTAGGATGGAGGGGTAGTCGCTGAGATATCGGCTGGGTGAGAGGATTGCGGAGATGACGATGGGTTGGACGAGCGAAACGTGTTGACCTGTCCAACGATTTCATGAACGGTTCCAAAACCCGAGTCAGACGACAGAGACATTCTTAGACATTGACGCGATTGTTGACGACGAAGAGGACAGCCAGAGCAAAGAAGACGTCGACAACGAGCTGAACAAGATCAGCTGTGGCTGGAAGTACGCCACACAGCCGAAGTGGCATTTGATGTGTGCCACAACAATGATAAACAACGCGTCGTTCTTTCTCTCGACCACAAGAACTACGACTTCTCTGGATCGCTGAACTCATCAACTTCTACACACACTATTTCGTTGGAGTTGATGCGAACCAAACTTTCTACAGCTGATATGATCCTCCGGTGCCGCTTGAATGATTCTAACGCCTGCGCGATAGGCTCAGGCTGGCAACTCTCCAAATTCAGACATGCTGTTCTTGTGCTCCTTTGGTGGAAGCTGTATCTGTCTCCGGATGATCTTGCATAGTCTTATCGATTCTTATTGCCCCGAGATGGCTCGTGTGTTTCAGCTCCACGCTCGCATTCCACCACACGAACAACGCGCTCTTGCCATTGCCTCCGACCTCCGATCCCTGCTGAGACTCGGGCAACGGCTCGGTAGGAGTGGGTACCATTGTGGGAGACGGGACAGATGATGGTACCAAGGCCTTAGATTTCGAATTTTTGAGGTTCATGCCTTCTTTGGTGCGCCACTTTGCTCGCCTGTGTGAAACACTGACGAGGAGAATTCATCTCTGATGATGAACACTTACATCTCCACTATACTCTCCCCGAACACTTGAGAGTTTCATATCTCTCTCTTCGAAGCCACAATTGCTCGTAGATCGTGGCCTTGCCATACGTAGCGAGTCATGCACGGCCTCAGAGAGTATCAGGGTGCGTACGGGAGGTGAGAAACGTATCTGATGATAAATGAGCCACTAGCTGCGGTGCGTCCTGTTCTGCCCTACCTCATTTCCTCTTCACTGAATCACTACTCTCATCGTCAGCCTTGTTACACTCGACACACAGTAGGCGTCGCGACGTTCCCTCGCTTTGAATGCCCTTGAACTCGAGGAACGCGAGATATTAGTACGCACCATCTTCGTACAGCCTGAGATCCTTCCTCATGACCATCCTTACGTTCATAGTACTCCGACTTCATGTGTTGAGCCCTAGTCCCCCCAAAGTCATCATCCTCAAAACAGCTCGGTCTCTTCTCTGACCAACTCATTTCTCCCTCTGTCTCCTTGCTGTACTATCACGGTTCTCTTCTCTTCAGTTTCACCCACCAAACCTCTGCATTCTACGAGCACGAATCGTTTGTCTTCTCCTACCCCCAGCCTCGCGTGCTTTTGAGTACGACTTCCTCCGCACCCAGTACCACATTGTAACCTTTGCTGATGTCTCCGTATTCGAATTTTGTTCATGGACTTCAGCGCCACCGCTTCTGCTGCTACCATCACCTCTTTGCCTTCGCCTGTACCTGCGTTTTCTATCTCAGTCTGTCCCACTTTCGCCTGCTTTTCCAACGATCTTACCGGTTCCGATGTCTATACTATCATCTTGAATGCGCAGACCTAGGTCCTCACTTTGATATATGCGCCCGATATCCCACTAAAAGCCGAAACTAGCACCGACGTTCGAACACAAACACGCCCCATGTCGCTCGAAGAAGAAGACCGCTCTACTTCTGTTCCGCTCGATTCTCCCGTTCTCTGCCTCCCCCTCTTCTTCATCCCTCCCTCCATCCGATACTAGATCCATGCGTACTCGAGACGGAAACCAGACGAAGGGCAAGACAACCACTCTGGGCTAGTAAGGTGATTGGAAGAGGGACATAGGTTGGCATGAGGTGTCGAATCGGTAAGAATATGGCCGGGAATGACGAAAGGTAGGAAGTGGAGCTTCGAGCCGAAGAACGAGAGGATGACGAGCTAGAGGAGAAGGATGTGAAGGTTGGGGTGGATGAGGAGCTGTAGAGGGGTCATTTCGAGGATGCGGGAGTGGTGAGACTGCTGGCGCCCCCACAACATCTCGCCGGACGTGACGTCGTGGTAGGCTCTGTTACAGCCCTTATCTTATTGCTTTGAAGATAATCGTTCTCGCTGGCCCTCCGAATTGGTCAAGCCTAACGTCGTGGCTCGTCGCTCAAATGGCAAGGCAGAAAACCTTCAGAAACTCCGCACGTGACTTCTTTCTGTTTGTCGCATGGCTTGAAAGTGAGCAACCTAAGTTGACCATCACGCCGACTTCTAGTTTTTCCATCACGCGCCCGCTGGAATGCTCGCGCTGTCGGGCGTAGTCGCACTTACTGCCGAAGTATACACGCCCGAACTTGACAGAGAATGGAGATTTGATGCCAGCAAAGAAAATTCTCTAATATGCTCACAAATAGGATGGTAAAGCGTGACCTTCTCGACTGGCGGTATTCAATCCCTTTGAGTTTAGGATAACCCTTTCTTGCTTTAATGGACTTGAGGCAATGCGATGGGCGCGAAATTTATGTTTGGCCAGCTCCATTGTTGAGCATCTTCATTTTGTGCTTACAGTAAGTTGACAGTAAAGCCTGACACTGTGTTTCAGCTTTTTGTAGGACTTGCCCAGACCTAGCTCCGGCTCGTCGGGCGGTATAAAATGCCCTTGTCTGGCTCACCCATCTCAAAACCTTCGTCTTCTTAGCTCTACAGGGATACACCCGCGATAATGCAATGCTCCATCCTCGTTTCACTCTTCGTCTCAGTCGTCTTGCTTGCGTCGGGGAGCAACGCTGTCACAGTCGGTGACAACCCATGTACGTTTCTTATCATCTCGTGCTCACAAAACAATACTGGCTGGTATCTCACTTCTGATGCGCGTTTTTAGGGTCAGCCGACGCCTGCATAGGTCTCACTGCAGGGGATGCCTGTGCGTATCGAGTCTGCCCGATGGCAACCTTCATCGGAGGTCCTGGGCCTGCATGTATCGTTGGAGTAGGGATTCGGGGAGCAGGCTGAGGTGTGGCGAAGGTGGCGAAGGCGCAGGAGCGCGTTAGGGTTAGGGTTTGAGTCAGCATTCGAGTAGATAGATATATATAGCGACACCCTGTACGAGGCAGGATCTGAGGCAGTATCGGTATGCGTAGGAAGATCTGGCGCTCAGCTTGGGACACTGCCTAGGTTTCGGACCACTGACTGCTTCCTGGATTTTCCTAGATTTGGCGAAGCAGCCTGAAGTAGCCCATAGCTACTTACGTTGCATCTGTCTTTGTAGAGCGTCTTGAGAGCGTCGACCCAAACTTCGACACATCATAAATGTACAGACTTCAACTTGTATAGGATTATATCATATCATCTTGTTAGATGGTATGCTAATCACTCAAGTATAGATCTATCGCAAATGGTCATGGAGAAAAGTCCGTCCCTGTAAAATAATGTAGTCAGTACTCTTCTGCACGGTTTACATGGGTATAAAAGCGAACCGAAACATTCAATTTCGACCTGTAGGGGCCGCGAATTCAGGAGGAAGATGGCCTGAGCTTGCCAGGTCAGACAGCCCTTGTCGCAAAGGCCTGAGTACACGACGTTCATCCAGGGGGTGGTGTGAAATTGGATGGTAGTCAGTATGCTGCGAGGAAGTAAGGGTCGACAAGAGGCCATAAAGCTCCTCATTCTTTCTTTCCAAGTCGGCGAGCCGTCGTTTAAGATCAACATATTCTTCTCTGCTGACCCATTTTTCGCTATGAATGGGTTTGCAATCAGAAGCTTGACAAGGAACCGAAGAATCGTGACTAGCTGAACATACACAGGCTCCAGGATGTGCCATTGGCACTTTTCCGTCTCGTTGCGGTGAGTACAGGGCCCGCATGGGTGACATCTAGGATGCTCAGCTGCAGGTAGGCATAAAGAGGGCACCAGAGTGGAACATACCTGTCACATTTGATTTTGCGTCGCTTGCATTCTAAGTACAAAACCGATGCCAATGGATCCAAACGTGAGCAAGAAGAGATGATAAGAGGGAAGAGTATGTGTTACAACTGCCAGCACAAAATTGACGATAAGACTCACCGGTGCAAGATAAAGCCTGGCGACGTCGCTTTTTCTTCTGCGCCGCTCCCTCGTCCACTAGCACATCACTCTCGGACGAGTTGGGCTCCTGTCTGTCGAGAGATTCTGATACTGGGTCCTCTTGCCTGGTGGGGTAATGTGTACTGGAGGGGACTGGGGGCGGTAATTCACGAGAATAGCCCCAAGAGTTGTCATCGTACTGTCTCGAGTACAGAGAAGGAGGCAAGCTGAGTTGATGCAATGACGGAAGCGAGATCGGGGGAGTGTGCACAGATGGGCGATACGAGTTGTGTTCGAGCGCTTGGCTCTCAAATGGTTCTACGTTGCCCAGAAGGACGTTATGAAAGTCGAGGGGAGTTGGTGATTTCATCCCAGGATGAGTACCGTACTGATACGGTGGTCGCCGCGAATGCAAAGTGGGCGGCAGTTTATCCAAGCAGGTCCAAGTAAAACACCATGGCCAATCGCCGCATCAGTACGTAAAAGAGGCGTAGAAGACAACGGTTGCTGTTGCATCCTGTCGCATCCTGAGCCAATATACACTGATTCTACAAGCTATAAGATTAACTCGACACGGTCCAACACAACCATGTCTCCAATTCCCTTCCACAGTGGACAAGGGACCTGACGCGCGTCGCCCCCAGTAGTAACTAGCACAGGCAAACAAATTTTATTGCAATGTCATTCATCACGTCTGAAAGCTGAGCACAGTCAAGAGAGGGCTGCAGGACTCCACGACCAGCCATCACGAAAAGGGGCACACGGCATCCAAGAAAACAAAACCACAACGACAAACAAGAACAATGCAGTCAAAAACAAGACGACATGGCAGGATAAAACCGGCATAGCGGGCAAAACGCGAGCGTCCGACGTCTTGCGGACAACGGAGCAACGGGGGGCGGTTCACTCAATCCTTTTCCTCAATGACGCCCTGCGCCGCCTCACCGCCTCCTCGTCCACCTCTCTATCCGCGCGGGACGGCGGAAGCCACCCCCTCTCGTCCACCCTCTCCTGCCTGCTCTTCCTACCACCTCCACGCGTTCGACCGACCTTCCTCTTTTTGGGTCTAGCGCGCGCTCTGCCTCCGTCGCCTCCATTTCCTCCATCACCCACCCCATCCTCACCACGAACGTCCTCGCCTTCTCCAGAGTCTCCGGGTCCGCGACCATCCCCGCGTTCCGTCTGCGGTTCACCGGCCACTTGGTGTGCCGACGTCGTACCTAACACAAAAACACGCCGACGAGACATGGTCAGCATCCCAGGCTACAGTGGCCCAATGGGATCTTGAACTCACCTCTCGCCTCCGTCCCAGGTCGCACTCGAGGGGACTACAGCCGAAACAGAGTCAGCACTTCACAGCATTCCGCACCGCCAGGGCCTATACTCACTCGGTCGCGATCGGAAGCCCTACGACCTTCGCCAGTTTCTCCATCCTCCGCTGTCGAGGACCCACCCAGAGCTTCCGTATCGTCAAGCTCCAAACGGATACGGAGGCAAACACAGCGCACTCACCCTCGTTTGGCATCCCCTACTGAAAAAAAGGAAGGTCAGCCCCTCCTTCTCCACCAAGAACGGCACCGTCACTCACCTCACCATGCGGCCCCCCCTCTGCACCAACACCTCCTGCACCAAACGGCCATCCTTGTCAAGGCATGCACCCTCCACAGTGAATGAAACGCACTCACCGCTGTCTGTCTGAGTCCCCATAGCAAGGAAGTAGGATGGTCAAGGCCACAAACCGATGTCCAACGAACAAGAGGTACTCACCGTGGCCCCGTTCCCATCTCCTCCTCCTTCTCCGTTCCCGTCTCCTCCTCCTACTCCTCCTCCTTGCACCCCCCGTTGATACCGATCAGCACGCATGTCGCGGAGGATCCCTTGGAGCCTGTCGAGCTCACGCAAAGGCTTCACTTCGACCTCGTCGAGATCGCCATATTGCATCCCCAGTTGAACGCGGACGTCCCTCATCATTTCTCGGGTCCTGCTGAGGTTATCCTCCATCTTGATCCGAACCGCCGTCTCCTCCGACTTTACCTGACCAACGGCAAGGAACAGACAGTCAGTCGGTGGACTCCAATCCGAGCTGTCACCGCTTGACACGGGTGACAACCACCACGACACCCACGACCGACTCACCTCGACCTTCACGCCTCCGTCTTCTGAAGGCTCGGCGTTGGGTGGGGGCGTTGGTGGTGAACGACGACGCCTCATGCTCATCTTGCGTAGTGATGTCGGGTCCAAGTAGATATGCGGGTAAGAGAGAGACGTCTTGGAGCGCCGGCCTGCATCCCGGTTCCCAAAACGGAGCGCGCCCACGTGGCCGCCACCCGATCCCGTGTGTGTGGCGACATGCATGATCTCGTCGACTATACCCCATCCCCTACCTGGCATCCTACGTGTTCCCTCCGTCCTTCACTCGCACTTTTCTGTCCGTCAAAGGCATGCCTTCACCGTCGCGCATCGCGCGTCTGCCGCCAGAGATCCTCATCATGGTCTCCCGGGAAATTCAAGGCCATCTCCGCGTTCATCCCGACGATGACGATCATCTCCACGCCATGCTCGTTCTCCGCTCGCAGAGTCGAGCCTTTTGGAAACTGTTGGAGATTCCCGCGATGTCTGTTACCTGTGACGGAGAGACAGAGCTCACCCATCTGTTTGAATGGGTGCGTCCCGCTTGACGATTTCGCATACCCCATATCCACTCACGTCCAACATTTTCAAGGAGATCAACCAGTATCACCAAACGTTCGGCAAGCACGGTGAGTAGGTGATGTGCTCGAAAAGCCTAACTGACATAGCGAAGATGCACATGCCGAAGGATTCGGAGAAGTTAAAGAGGTTCACATCCCGGACAGGTTAGACATGCGTGTGGGGATGGAAGCGAAGGAGGGTATGGAGAAGTTGGAGAGCTGCTGGTGGCGCTGGTGCTGCTGGAAATGGGGGTGGAGGGATTGTAACCAACTGTGGTCCAGCCGATGATGATAATATGGCGTGCCGTGGTGCGGCGTCGCATTGGGAGTGCAAGAAAGATAAAAGGGCGGTGAGTATTTGAAAACAGAACCTGCCGAATCCGAATGAGAGCAAGGTGACCACTCAAATCGATATCCAGATCCTTTTCTATCTTGATAGGCACCATCTTCCCTCCTTTCGTTATTCCTACAACGATTCCGACCATCCCGTCAGTCAGTTTTCCTCCCTCGCCTACTCGACTGGACGGACGGACACCTGTCCTATTGTCACTGTCGTCGTTGTCGTCATCATATCCCACGTCTCCGCCTCCTCCACCAGCGCCAGATCCACCACCATCACCCCCAGGGTCGAAGGGACTATCAAAGAAGTCGCCACCGTCTAACTAGAGTATAATGCCAAGAACAATGGGACAATAGCGGGTGAGGGGGAGTGAGAGAACGAGGGAATCAACAAGAGACATACACGTCGGCAGCAGTCTACGATGCCTTGAATATCGGTCGAACAGTGCTGATACAGTTTCTCGGCGTGACTGTGTCTTCTCTCTCTTCGGCATTCGGTATTTGACATCCGATCAAGTTGCGGTAGAATAGCGGGAGGGTGGACATAGCTGGAGCGTATGATCGATAACATGGAGCCAATATTAAGGGCAGCAGTCGAGGGCGCAGAGCGATGTCCGCATGGTGGTTTTTGGTCCGTCCGAGAATTATATATTGAGGATGAGCAGAGGCGTTGAGGGTCATATAGAGGGTCGCGGATACCGTTGAGCATGGTGAAGACGAGGTATTCGGCGAGCGCAAAACGGACAGGTCGAGCATGCATCGGAATAAGACACCGTGATTGAGGCGGAGGAGTTCATATGCTGATTCTTGACGTGAGTAGAAATGGATGGATGGATGGTCGATCGCGGACATCCCGTTGAGAGGCCTGGTGCCACTAGGCCTCGGAGATTGGGAAGACGTGCATGCGAGGGGGAAAGGATTGGTCCGAAAGACAAAACCCATTAAGTCTGGACGTGCCATTTCCTTTCGGTTCGGGAGCGTCAGCGTGAGGAGAGTCGGAAGCCACTGAAGACGAAAGGAGCGCAAATGTGAGTGTAAGTCTGCAAGTCGATGGTTTCTCATAACGACAAGCAGGAAAGAAAGAGATATAGACGACGCAGAGATACTCACGAGCCCCGCCATGAAACCCCATTTATATCGCTCAAGACCTACCCAACCCTCTTCGCCACTCGCACCAACCATTCTACGCCACACTGACGAGCCTCGACAACCTCCTTCGACTACGCCACGACCTCTCACCTCCCTAACCTCATATTCGCTTCCGGCGGATTAGGATAGTGACCATCCGTCTCTGCCTGTCTCAGTATCTGTTCCTCTTGCTCAACCTGGCCCTTGCACCTCTCGTCGTTCTCATTCCTATCTCCTCCGATCCTTTTCCCACTCATCCTCGTCCCCATCATCTCCTTCCTCTTATCATCCACCCCCGTTTCTGAATAAGCCACCGCCCAGCCGGCCAGCCTCGCCATCCTATCCTTAGCTCTAATATCGCTCCATCTTTCTCCACACGCTCTGCCCATATCCATACCCGTGTCCGTCTTCCGCCCACAACGTGACTTGTCCTTCTTTCCGCCTGGGTATTTGGATGCGTAGGCGTGGGAGAGAGAACTCGAGGGATGGAGACGAAGCATGTGGGACTGGAATGCCATGGATTGGGGTATGGTAGAAATGAGGGATTGGATCAAGCGTTCCAGCAGTACAATGTCGGTTTTCGGTGACAGATCGGACGCGTATGTGGAATTCGTGCTTCCTCGGTTGAAAAAGAGACGGTCGATCCATGATGACGGGGAAGAATCGAGTATGAGATGCCGGAAGATGAGAAATGAGGGTTATCGAGAATGTACAGGAAAGGGGCACAGGAGGAGCGCAGTCACTGGCTAAGACAGAAACCGACGGTGCTCAGTTCTGGAGATAAGGGACGAGGGACAAGATCTAGAGGTGCAAAGGCCAGCGAAGGTTCGTAATGACGAGGTCGGAGTAGGGCCGGGGCTGGGAGCGCTCTAAGTTGCTGGTATGGGACGAGGAAGGGTTCGGATTGGCATTCGTGATCGTGATTGTTTGGTGGAATGTGGTGGAGAGGTCTGCGACGCCAGAACGGAGTGGAAATGCGTGTTGGGATCAACGAGGGACGAGACGGCGAGAGGCGGAACATGACTGAAGACGAGGTCCGTTCTTCCAGGTGGGCGAGGAGGCCAGGCAGCAATAGGTGTGATTATGATACTGCGAAATGTAGAGCTGTCCGTGGACGATTATAAGCCAGGTTCTAGACAAGGGGAGGGTTCGAGAGATCAGAGGAAGGTACGTACGATTTCGTGTTCAAGCGTGCTGTACAAGGGCGAGCGTCAAGAACACAAATGAACGTGACTAAGAAAGGCTTCCCAGCACCAGTGAGCGATACTGAGGAAGGGTGCATGCTCAGAACACTGCAGATGAGGAACTTGAGAGGAGGGCGCACTCGGGTGAATGCTCTATTGTCCGATCCATCTTGCCCGTCCATTACGCTTCCTGATACTCTTCGCGTACATAGCTCGTCAGGCCTGTTTTGACAAGGATTTGTAATATCGCGAAAGGGAGCAAGGAGCCACACGTGCAGAGTAACGCGTTTGGACGTGGCCTGGTCATGCCGGGGTCGAAGGCTGTCGAAGGGCTAATATACGAAGCTTAGAGTTAGCATCTAATAGTGCCATCTTTCCGAGCTCATTCGGTCCCGAATATCCGGGAGTATGAATAGAGGGAGCAGCAAGACTATTATTTGAAAAACAGTGAGCAGGCAAGGGTTTCAGAGGTGGACGACGACGCCAACGGGAGCAACAAACGATTTGGTGTGGCCGAATGGGGAGGATTGCGTAGACGTATACGAGTCGACTCAGCCCACAACGTCGAGAATCGAACAAAAATTGAGCAAATGCGAGCCATTTTTCGGAGGGGGATAGGGGGGTGGGGTACCCACCACAGTAGTTGTCGTCCAACACGAGGAGGACACGATCATTTTACTCCAAATCAAGGCCGGAGGAGATGGAGTAGACGTGGTCGAGTTGATTGAGCCCGCTACGTCGAGAATCGAACAATAAGTGAGCGAATGCGAACCCTTTTTTTCGATGGGAGACAGAGGAATACTCACCAAGGCAGTCGTCGTCAATCGCGACGGCAACACAGTCGTTTAAATCCAAATGACGGAAGGGGCGGATTGCGTAGATGTATACAAGTCGACTCAGCCCGCTACGGTGAGGATCGAACGAAAATTGAGCAAATGCGAGACATTTTTCGGAGGGGGACAGAGAGGTCAGGCACTCACCACGTTAGTTGTCATCAATCTCGACGACAACACGGTCATTTTACTCCAAATAAAGGCCGGAGGGGATGACGTCGGCGTGGACGAGTCAGTCTATCCCGCTACCTAGGGAAAAGAACGAGAATTGAGGAAATGCAAGCCATTTTTCGGAGGAAAGATAGAACAGTGAAGTACTCACTACGATAGTCGCCGTCAATCTCGACGACGCGGTCACTTTGCTCCAAATGGAGACCGGAGGGGATGGCGTATACGTGGAAGAGTCGATTGATCCCGCTACCGCGAGAAACGAACAATAGTTGAGCAAGTGAGAGCGATTTTTCGGAGGGGGGAGAGACTCAGAGGGGTACTCACCACAGTAGTTGTCGTCCAACTCGACGACGTCACCGTTCTTCTGCTATAAATGAAGGGCGGTGGGGATGGCATAGACGTATGCCAGTCGATTGATCCCGAGAAACGAACACGAATTGAGCGGGTGGAAGCAATCTTTCGGAGGGGGGGCAGAGCAGTCAGGTACTCACCAAAGTAGTCATTGTCAATCTCGACGACAATATGGTCGTTTATCCAAAAACAAAGAGCGGATGGGATGGCGTATAAGAGAACAATTCTATTGAGCCCGCTACCTTGGGAGACGAGCGAGAACCGAGTGAATGCGAGTGATTCTTCAGGGGTGAAAAAAGGGTGGAGTACTCACCACGGTAATTGTCGCCAATCTCGACGACGACGCGGTGGTTTTGCTCCAAGTAAAGGGCGAAGGGAGCGGAATGGACAGAGACGAGGCGATTGAGCCTGCTACCTCTAGAATCAAACAAGAACTGAGCAAATGCGAGCCATTTTTCGGAGGGGGGACAGAGAGTGGGGTACTCACCACAGTAGTCGTCGTCGATCTCGACGAGGACACGGTTATTTTGCTCCAAATAAAGGCCAGAGGGAGTGACGTAGACGTATACGAGTCAATCGATTCCACTGCTGCGAGAAACGAACGAGAATCGAGCGAGTTAGATGATTTCTTTTGGGAGGGGACAGAGTGGTGAAGCACTCAAGAAGGCAGTCGTCGTCAATCTCGGTGACGACACGGTCATTTTGCTCGGAACAAAGAATGGGGAGATTGGCGTAGATGTAGGTGAGTCGATTGAGCACACTATGAAGAGGAGCGAGCGACGATTGAGTGAGTTCGAAGGTTTTTGGTGAGGGGGTAGAAGCGGCATAAACCCTATGGTTTCATGTGGTCTGAACAAAGCCGAGAATTGTGCTGCAGGAGCTCAGTCGAGCCTGCAAGACGGAAGCTCTTGCGAAGGCTGCCTAAGAAAGTGCAAGGAGAGAATGCGTACTACGTGCCCGAAAGAAGTTCAAGCGGAGCTTGAATTTCGATGTTGAATTTCGAGGCACGTACACGCGTCACTCTCACGCTCGGTTTTCTGAGAACGGTAAACGCAGTACACGCATATATCGTCCAAACGCGCGAATTTTCGCACGCACCCACCTCCCTTTTGTGATAGCAAAACATTTAGCGCTTGCGCGCGGTGGTGTCTCGAGTTCCGGCAGAACCCGGTTTGGAGACATCATTGTGTGCATGCAGCTCTGGATCTTTCGGCCTTGGAGTTCATATCTCCATTTCCAGAGCAGTGCTTTGGGGACCCGGGAGATATGTCTTTGAGTCACCACATGACATGTCTCATCACGTGATCTCAAAAGGCCGAAAAATCCTCCACCCCCACCTACATACACGAAACACGTATCCAAGATCTTATCGCAAGCTTAGGATCCCAAGAAAACCACCATTGGGGTTTTCATTTTTTATTCCCATTGAACGGGTGCACTGATATCTTAGTTAGCTGAGCCCAAATTCCCGCTTGCACAAGGAGCTAAGCGGGAATTTGGGCAGGAGGGGGGCGTATTGGTACGGAAGTCCGATCCCAAAACCCAAAATTCGGGTAGTTCTGTACTCAAGGTTTGGGAGGATTTCTGTACTTTTGTGGATCGGGTAGTCCAAATAAGGGCGCCTTCCGTACTCACGAGGGATTGGACCTTCTCCCAGACGAACACCTAAAACACCGTCAATTTGACACAGAATGGTCTGTGCAGTGGCGTACAGTGTTGGAGAGTGAAGGTTGGCGACCAAGCCTGAACACATATAACAAAATTGTACGCATAGTGATCAGACCTAGGCAGTCCTGCCAACTTTCCGTACGCACAAGGGCAGTTCAAGGGATCGGACCAATCCAGGCCAGTCATGTACGCACAGGATCAGACCTCGCGTCGCATTTGACACCAAAACTGTACGCATAAGGATCGAACCTCGATACCAATACGCCCCCCTCCTATTTGGGCTCACACTTTCGGACTCAGTTTTCCGAGTGGCACCTCAGACGGCTTCAGGACAACTCTGCTACGCGGGGGGAGAGTGACGGCTGGCGCGAGTACTCTGCGTAGACCTCACCCGCTTCGTGAAGTGGCCTGAATACGTCCGCCTCTAGCGCCAGAAGGTCATCCTCTCCCAGCGCCTGAAGGTTCCCCCCGCCATCGCTCAGTTCTCTCACACTCTCGACAAGAACACCGCTACGCAGCTCTTCAAGCTCCTGAACAAGTACCGCCCCGAGACCAAGCAGGAGAAGAAGGCGCGTCTTGACGCTGCTGCTGCTGAGGGCAAGGAGGCTCACAAGGTATGTCCTTTTTGACCTATCCCATCTTCGTCATTGTTCATTCCAATTCGTGTTTGGTCATATAGGACAAGAAACCCCTCTTCGCCAAGTACGGTCTCAACCACTGTGTTGCCCTCATCGAGGCCAAAAAGGCCGCTCTTGTCGTCATCGCCTACGATGTTGACCCCATCGAGCTCCTCATCTTCCTTCCCACTCTCTGTCGCAAGATGGGTGTTCCCTACGTCATCGTCAAGGGCAAGGCTCGTCTCGGCACAGTCGTCCACAAGAGGACCGCCGCTGTCCTCACCATCCAGGAGAGGTCAAGTCGGAGGATGAGCGCGAGCTCGCCACCCTCGTCTCTGCCGTCAAGGCTAACTTGTATGTTCTCCATGGTCCTCTCCCATTTCGATCGTGGTGCTGACCTGCGCTCCTTCTTTGTAGCTCCGACAAGTACGAGGAGTCCCGCAGGCAGTGGGGTGGAGGTCTTCGTGGCAACAAGTCCAAGGAGATGCTCCGCAAGCGTGCCAAGGCCTCTGGCTAGAGCATCACAGCCGCCTCCGTCGGCAAGCTCTAAGCGTCTTTTGCTCTTGTCACCGGACGTTTGGTCGATGGTTCGGTTGGTCGAGGGAGATGAGGGCGGAGTTGTGCCAAAAGATGTCTTCGTGCGTCGTTTTGTTGTCCACCATAGTCATGTTCTACCTAGGCCCTATCTTTATGCGCGCCTATGCTCTCCTTCCACTATGTTATCTCTGCGCGAGTATGCGCTTGCTCTCGATTTGCCCGCCGATGTATCAATACCTTGAGGACTGGAACGTCCGGGTACGATTAGGGATCCTCGATCGTCTGCATCATTTATGCGAAATTTCTACAGTGTGCTTGTGAGATACGCTGGCCGATGCTTGAGTTGTGCTCCGTCCCCCGCAATGTCGACGGGAGTGAAGGACGTATCTTGCGAGCATTGCGGCCTATCTCTGGATCTCATCTCGAGCTCACTGGCGCCCGTGGCTGTATCAATGCCACACTGGTCTTAGGTTCTTCGTCCGAACCACGATGCTTCTGCTCTTCGGTGATGTACTCCCTAGGTTCTTTGTCATCACTTACGGTTGGTGGCTCTATGCGACTTCATGCCAAGATCAAGATTCTCCGAGCAGTAAACTAAGCGTGAAGTCGTCGAATGCGACGTTACGACCCTCCGAGTCGCACCGAATGGTGTACGAATTCAGAGAGAAGGTGTACAGCGAGAAGGAACATGCTGATTCCGTCTATACAATGCTCCATTCCTATGAAGCGCAGGCTCAGGAGTCTCAGACGAGCGCACAGTTACCTCTCCGTGTACATTTGGTGAATCGTGTGTTTCTTTCGCCTTCTCCTCCACACCACTTCAAGCATCACCTAAACCGACCTCTTCATCCCGATCCGTCCATACGCTTACTCTACATTCACAGGCGCATGGCGCTCTGGATATTCCTCGAGTAGCACTATCGACGCTGCGCTAGAACACCTAACTATCGCCGCTCTAACACTACACGAATTCTCGAAGATGCCGATATCGCGGAAGGTGGGGGACATGGCGTATGTGGGGAGGGCGACAGAGTTGTTAGATGATCTTGTCGGTGTGCATGAGGTGCATTTGCGATTTTGTTGAGAGGGTGGAGAGGAACGCTGATTCTGCTCGAGTCTGAAGGATATTAATTTGTTCAAGTTAAGGGGGGAAGGGATGGTTTGCCGGATGGTAGAGATGTGAGGTGTGCTTAGTGCTATAGCAGAGGAATTGAGAAGTCGGGTGGGACAGAAGGAGCTGTTCTGAGTAGGTACATTTTTATGGACTCAGTTGATAATTGCCCTTCTTGTATCTATCTACCTACCGTACAAAGTGCCCCTGGCGAATCCGCCGGCGCTATATACAGTAAATGTGTTGACCTTTTTAAAAAAAAGACAGAAGAAGCTGCGAGTTGTGATAAGCGTTGTGTGGGCATCAGGTGCTGTCAGAATGCAAATTCGCTAGCGTGGCTCGAGACGACGCCTCAAGCTTAATTCTGAATTGGAACTTCGCACCCAATGGGCTGCCTGTTCGAGCTGCTCACACGTGCGTCTCTCCTCTCCGCCGCATCACCCACACGCCCTTTGGCCCTCCTCTGTCAACCACGACGACGACGACGACGACGACGACGTGCCAGACTGTGAGATTTACGACCCTGCTCAATCTGTCACCGTAGTCGAATATTCCGACGAGTACCAGACGGTACGTACATTTCAAGTACATTTATGCCTCAGTATTCAGCCGTACACGGTCTGCAGCTCAACGTGTCCGACAACAGACGGAGCTTGCCAGCTGTGCGTTTCTGGGCTCAACCACTATTGAGTTGTCATCCACGTATCTGCGTGATCACCGGGAACTCACTGAGCTCAATCCAACGTACCCCGGACCTCACTTGTATCCTATCGCGTCCCCAGTCGAGCCATATAGTTACTACCCAATGTCCTACGCTGCCCCACTCCAAGGCCCCTTGGATGATTATTCCAGCGAGAACATGCAGGTGTACGACCCGGAGACCGGCACCTACATGCAATATGCCTCCGTCCCCGCCGACTTTGTCGGGCCCGACCACTCGGCGCAGCCCGACCACCTAGCGGGGCCAGTCAACTCCAGTGTCGAGTACGGTTATGCCTACACATATGAGCATCCTGCTGCCGACACCATGCCCCCCTCCCTATCACCTGCTCGCCCAGTTCCCATCTCCAGCTTCTCCACCCTCGACCATCCAAGTCACCGTGTGGTCAACCAGGTAGAAAGCGGGCACGACCGCGCTCAACAGGTTGACCATGGCCAGCCCATCACCCACGAGGTAATTGCTCACACTCCCCTGCTTCGACCACGTTACAAGTGACTCTTCTGACGTGCTGTGGGTTCTTATTTTAAGGAGTCGGAAGCCATCCCTGAATCGGTGTCCACGCCCACTTCTGCCTATAGTCCGGATAGCGAACAATGCAGGCACTGTATGCAGCAGGAAAAGCCTGTACCGCCACATTACCCTACCAACCACGTTCCTTCTCCCGAAGACAGTCGATCCCCGTCGTCCTCGTATTATAACGTACCCCCGCACTACCATGTTCCTTCTGCGTCGTACCAACCCCCCTCCTCATCCGCGCTGACATTACCCCTGAACACGGACGTTCAGCGGTCCTCACCACCGCCGATCATGGATCACTTACCTTACGCGCACCAAGTCAGGTCCGCCGCTCAGACCACTCACGATGTTACTATCCACGCCACCGTGAAAATGGAGCCCGTAGAATATCATCTTTTACAGAGTCTCTATAGTATGCCCTCGCCAGCCACGACATCGACAACAGCGACCCCGGACGACCAGATCTACACACACGTAGCCATGCTCCCTCACGCTCCTGGTGCCCTCCATGCCGAGGGAGGCTCACACTCGACATTCCGTATGTCCGAGCTCACCATATCCGAGTCTCCTTCAACATACACCCCTCGATTTGTCAACCCCGAAACCCAACTGTCAACATACAGAGGCGGTCAGTCAGCGGCGTTCGCTATCGATCTGACCGGCTCTGTCACATGCGACGACGGCCACGGATGCGGGACAGCGCCCACGAAGAAGGTAACGGCCTATCTGTCAGATTTTCGCACATTTTACTAAAATATGACCCCATCTAGGAACCTTTCCTAGCTTGCTTCTTCTGCCGAGGCATGAAAATAGCCTGTGGACCCGCTGTGCCGGAGAGCACTGATAAAACATGCAAGTGAGTGGCCGTCGTCTAATTTTGAGCTCACCTCCCTTTTCTCTACTGTGTGAATCAGTCCATATCCCCGTAAGAAACGTCGAACGTCTGCATGGGTGCAGTGACACACGCCCGCGTAGATGGGGTGTTTGCAGATGGGCAGGGAGCGGAGAGGTGGAGACCTTCGTCATGGTTTTTTATACCGTCTCAAATAAGTTGAACGATTCATTTGTCGTCATCATGGGGCTGTCCTGTTCCTGTTTGTGCGATGGGTACATTGAACACTCTCTATTCCGTCAGCTCTGACCTCCCATGCCATCTGTCACCGGCATCGCATAGATCTTCTTTCGAAAGGCCTCACCACCCGCTTTTCCCATCATCATCTGCCTCATTATTTTCCCCTCTGAGCTTCGCACTGACTTCCTCCTCCACGCGTTATCCAGCCAATGCGCTCGCCGCAATATCGAGTGCAAGTACCCGCTGAAATCTCGGCGTGGGCAGCGTAGTCGACACCCTCGTCCTGAGAAGGAAAAGGAGTGGGAAGATCAAGTTCTGACGCGGCGTCTTGTGCCCGAGGTTCCGCTACCATCTTCGTCCTCTTCGGTGATGCTTTCCACTTCGTACTCTGCTTGAGCATATGGACAGTGTTCGCTGTCGTCTTTGTTCTTTCTTGCTTTCTCGCCTGGGACTTTCATCATTGTTCTGTTCCATGTTATCTACTTGTTTTACGACCTTGAATGATACACCCCTCCGCCCACATTGTTCTAATGCCGGCTCCCCTATATCATCATCCCTCGCGTTCAAGTTGTAATATCCTTCTTTTCACACATATATACTATTTACTTCGACCTTCTTGCTCTCCGGTTGCCGTTTGCTTGATTTCCCTCCATAAAAGCTTTCTTACTTATCCTAGTCATTGTTTGTTGTCATGTCGCTTTCGTATAGTTCACTGTACATATATTAGCCCACTGTTATCTGTCTGTCTATTCATCGTGCATGTTCGTTGGTGGCTGCTCCACGAAACCTAGAAAAATCCAGGAAACAGTTAGAGGTTCAAACCTAGGCAGTGTCCTAAGCTGAGCGCGAGATCTTCCTATGCATACTGATACTGCCCAAATCCGCTGCATACCGCCTCTCGCCACACGTACTCTGAATCTGCTCTCTCGCTTTTTGCACTACTTAGCACGCTAGAAATAATATTGCGATAGCATATCTTCTTGAGGGTCATGTTTGCTCTCGGCTGGACAGACTTACCTTCGATTTTGACTTTCCCCTGTTCCGACTTGCTTTTTCTTGAGCTTGCACTCTGAACCACTGTGCACGTGAAAAGGGTTGAATGTCACCTCAAGGGAGGTTGACATCCACTTTTCACTCGCCAAACGAGTCGTTCAGGGTGAAGCCCGCAATGGAGTGAATGCGGGTGAAGGCCAAATTATGCAGAAGCGCCCGTTCTGTAAGGCGGTCTTAGCCTACCCTAAAGAGTAACTCACCGGATGACATCATCGCTTGCATTGCATCCCAGCAGAGCCGGGCACCCTTCGCCGCTCCTTCCAGTCAAACCACGTCGTCGTCGGACGTTCTACAACGCCAGCGCCTGGATATCTCGCCGTCGTCGACGTCCTTGGTGTGCTCCTTGTATCTTTAACGCTTTCTATCCAACTGATCAACCTATTCCAGTCGTGTATGCAGACTTCTCTTTGTGGGCTGTTGCTCTTTATATCTGACCTCGACGTCGGCCTTCTCGTATGTCCCATTACCTCGCTCATCATCGAGCACTCTCATTGCCTGTCTGACGTTTGCGACATAATGTGTCATAGGTTTTGCTCTACTCGAGACGGCCTATTTTGAAGGGGATCAAGATGTCCATGACTCGTTATGTTGTACTACCCCGGTAAGTCTTCATTCTTTGCATCCATGTTTTGAAGAGGCGGTCTTCCGTCATGCTAGCTAGAGCGTAGGGCCATTTGGTTGCTAGCTGGTATACAGCCAGGCGCAGTATCCTTTTGTACCGGCATTGGGTGCTCGCTACACGGGTTGTGAAGGAGTGAAGGGCAGTCTGCCGGTTCATACCTTTCCCTTGTAATCATTCAAGTACTGTGTTCGACTAAGTGGGAGCGCCGCGAGTCTGTGACCAATGGTGAGTATACGGTATCGTGAATTTTTGTGAGCGTGTCTCACTACTTGGTAAGCTACTACTTGTTTCTTGTTCCTTCATAGTCATCGACGTTTGGGGTAGGTACAGACTGTATGTAGTTCCATGTATATACTTGTAGTCGCAGTCCACCAATATAAAAGTCAATTGATGGGCAACATATTTTGGATTACAGCCATCGAGCACCGTAGAACAAAACGAGTGATATTTCTCTCGTGAAAAGGGTGAATTCCCGTTCCGGTCGATGTGAGTGAATTCGGCAATATAAGGGGTGATCTTCAGTCCCCCTCCTTTATACCGTGAGATGGTTGAAAGTCACCGTACACAAGTGAACTTTGTACCGGCGGGTGAGTGAATAAAATTACATTTACTGGTGTTTCTCAGGGTGACTTTCAATCCGAACGGCGTGCACAGTGATAACTCCCCTAATAAAGTCAAACACTTCCTTGATATCCCTTTCGCCCTACCCGGGCCGTCACGGTCGAAAAACGGTCCTTGAGCGTGGCATTCAACACTTCTGCTTGAGCGCGTTCGTCCGTGAGCACGACGCCAACATCGCCGAAGACCTGACCGGAAAACCCATAGGAGGCACCTATTAACATCTCATCGTATCCAGATGCTTATCGCCCTAATAATCGAAATATACGTCGCTATCCGAAGCTGGTACGATCGCTCGTGGCATCGCAGAAACAAAGGGAGAATCAAAAGGCTCCCCTTCAGCCTCGTATTGAAGATCGGCATGGACAACGTTGCATCTGAGTCCGCCACCGTTCGTTTCGTCCGCTCAAATACGACCATTCCCATCCCGCACGTCATCGCATCCGACAGTGCCTTCGGAAAGACCTACATGCTCATGCGGAGGGTCGATGGCATATCCCTCGAGTTCGCGTGGCACGATCTCGATACCAGACAACGTGCCAATGTCGTCGAGCAGCTGCGTTCTTTCGTCACCCAGCTGCGAACCTTGTCACCCGCTCTATCCCGCGGGCACGGTGTCGGCGCCGTATGCGCTCTCAACAACGCCCCACTTTTCGACAGTCGCATCACATCGGTAGCACCTATCGGCCCTTTCCCGAACGAGCGCGCTTTCAACGATTATCTCATCACCGTTGCAGAGCCGTATATGGACGAGACGACTCTGCCCGCGATACGTGCGCGTATGCGTGATGACCATCATATTTGCTTCACCCACGGCGACCTCGCCCCTCGCAACATTTTTGTTCAAGGAGATACCGTCACCGCCATCATCGACTGGGAGGAGGCGGGGTGGTACCCGGAGCACTGGGAGATTGTCAAGGCGCTCTGGTGCACACTGAAAGATCCCGAATGGCTTCGCGCTGTACGCCATATTGTGGCAGGCGACTTGGAGAGGGAGTGGATGCTAGATCGAGAGCTGACTGATCACATGGTGGGCGCATTCTGAAGGAGTGTCTGGTGTCATTTTTCGTGCGTGACCCCCAATTTTGTGTTTGTCGTCTTCACTCGCTCTGACTGCGTTGTTCCCTAGATGTGTTCCGCTCAGTTCACGCTGCCAGATCGAAACTCTTTGTTATACCCTCTTGTTCAACGATGCATGATATGGTTTTTGTGTGCCTGTCTCTCGTTATTTTCCGGTCCTGACTCAGCCGTCTTTTTATGCCAATTATAACCTCTTACCTCGCCTTAGAGAGTGCATTCTGTTCAGACGACTCCTACAGATATCATGACAGATGTGCACTTCACCAGAAGGGGCATGAAATATGCATAGTACAAAGAGAATGCTACCTGCTGACTTCCTAGGAGCCGGACCAAAGCACAAACACCACTAGAGCCTTCCCCTCCTCGACCTCTTCATCAAATTTGTGACGTTCGTGCTATACACAGCGATTCTGAAAACACGTTAGCCTTGGTCACAGCTCAGCTTGGTAGACGTGCGCACCAACATCACAAAGCAGCAAAATCGACTACAGCAGGCTCATCCTCAGCGGTTGGCGACCTTGTTTGGGCACTGGCCCTCTTGAGAGCGGGAAGCAGCGCAGCCTGATCTGGAACGCCACCTGTGGCAATCCACCCCTTCTGTGCGAGTGCGAGATGCCCGATGGCCTCAATTACCCAGTCCCTACAGTTCCAGCCTTCGAACTTGGGTACCGGCGCTTGGGATCTGAGGATCTACGGGGCGCGTATTCCATAAGTATATGCTCACAGCTCCTGACTGTGCACTGACCGTCGCGAAAAATTCGAGATCTTTATCCTTAACGGTGCCAATCTTCACTCCTCCAAGACATTTCTTCGTCATCTTGAGCCTCACCTCATTTCCATCGAACAGCTCCCACACGACGCCTCGGCCATCGCTGTAGTGACGGTCGACGACTTGCCAGCACGGGCCCGTGAGGTCACCCTCGTTCGTGATCACAATGAGGGCCCAGTGGAGATGCTCTTCGTTGCCCACAGAATAATCAGCGCGCTCGTACTGGACGACTGCGATAGGATACTCATTTTCATGCCCAAAAAGTCCCTGGAGTAATTTTGGCATTGTTGACGCAAAAGAGAGATTGTGTAGATGGCGACTGAGGAGGGAACGAAGTCAGAGCGACGGCATTTGAAATTCATCGACTTTATCCCACTGCAGACGTATACGTGTGAGTTGGAGTGATATGGGTAAGATGTGCCAGGATGGGAAATCGGTGAAGAAACCTTTCTATGTCGATCTTTGCACTTCATCTATTTCCGCGACTCTGGGCACGCCCGTGATCTCTCGCTCGACTTGCTCTCGAACATCTACGCTCGTTCAATCATCTCGAACTCACCTCGAAGAAGATGTCTCCAGTGCTCAGACTAGGCGTCGACGTCGGTGGATCGGTCACGTACGTGCTTCACCCTTCTTCTCCCTCCCATCCCCACTCTCCCGCCCCTATCTCATCCGCATCTTCCGTCCCTCCAGCGACACCGTCCTCAACCTCACCCACACCCTCGACTCCCACTCCCACGACGTCCAACATAAAACAGTCCTCGCCTCCGCCAAGAGCCCTGCCACTCCCGATGTGACGACGGGGATTAGGAATGCCATCCAGTTTGTATTGCAAAAGGTGCCGGAGGACGCGAAGAAGGTTATCGAGGCGTGGAGTATCGGGACTACCGTAAGTCTATTCTTCTTGCTCTCTTTCTTGTCGGTATGCGAGTGTATTGGGGCTGATTGGATGGAATTACCTTGCTTGAAGGTACATCCTACCCCCGTAATTCCTCAGAATCGTCCCGGAAATAAACAAGGACAAACAGCGGACTTATTATGTGGCACCAGTGTGTAGCGTCGCAGAGAGTCTGACCGCTACCCTCAGACGTGACTGCAGCGATTTAAATGCGGACGTTGATGTTCTGAACTGGGTTGTTGCTAATTAACGGCAGCAGTTTAGAAACCAGCACAACATGACGGAGCCTCCAAATAAAAGTGCTATACTCTATTATATAGCAATGAACCTTTCTATGTGCTACGAGCATCGCGTTTAACATTGATGACCGTAATCACGGATCAGTCTCGCACTAGACGGATAACTTGCCGTCGGACGAAATGAGGGCCCATACCGTTCGCTGCCTTGACATTTGGGTTCATCGGCCTCTGCTTTACCTTAGAGGAATCTCGAGTCAACTTGACTGGATCACAGAATGTTGACAATGACTGGGCCGACATGAGCTTTGAGAAAGCGGCGGATGAGTTGGGGTTGGGGGAACGGCCGGTGTTTGTGACGAGCAATGATGGGACGTTGTTGAGCTGTGAAGAGGCGCGGAGGGTCCCGATTCGAACTTTGTGAGTTTCTTTGTGTGTGTGGTTGTGAGGATGGGCTAATGGTCGTTTGGTTTTTTGTTCGTTGTGGGGAATAGTTCGTCGGGGCCTACAAACTCGATGAGAGCCGCCGGGTCCTGGCTTCGTTGGAGTCAGGGAATAAACCGGGCGTGAAGGGCGAGGCGGCGTTGGTCGTCGATATCGGGGGGACTACTGTCAGTTCTTTCCTTTTCATCTTTCTCTCGTCGTATAGCGACTGATGCACAGCCTTTCGTGTGCAATTGGGACGATAGACCGAAGTCGGGATGTTACTGTACGTTTTCCCCTTCCCTTCCCCTCCATCCCACCCTCCATCCGAAAATGCAAGCGAACTGACCTTTTAATCATATCCGTATTTGTATGCGTTCATCCTCATCAACAGACCGAGCGGTTTTCCCCGTCAAGCAACAGCACACCACAAACTCTGTGGTGTCCGTCTGAATTTCTCTATGACACACGTAAGTAACGAGGTTCGTTTAGCCATCCACTCCTTAAGTTCCAGCACGCTAACGCAACACTCCCTCTATCCCACCTCTCTTCCTACGTCTTTCTACGTTGTTCCGTCCATCTCGCATTCTTCCCTTTAGCCTCACACGTCTCCTCCCACCTCACCCTCCCCTCCCACTTCCCCCTCCTCACCCGAACCAGCAGCATCGGCCTCGGCGGCGGTTCCCTCATCCGTCAAGACCCCTCCACCGGCCGCGTCATCATCGGCCCCGACTCGGTCGGATATAGGATAACGGAGGAAGCGCTCGTGTTTGGCGGGAAGACTTTGACGGCGACGGACCGAGTCGCATAAGCATAGAGTCTTCCTACACATACCGATATTGCCGTCGTCAATGTCAACGATCGCGAGGTGGCGCGAACAGTTGGATGGTGTGGCATAAAGACACTTGGGTGACAATTGTCAAGCTTCAGCGAGTCGGGCAATGGTGATAGTATCATACAGCTTAGGAATTATATATACAGCAGTAGTTCGGAAGCGCAATTACGGTACTCAATATTGGTACAATATGTTACAAGGCGACGTCGAACAGTGATGTGCACCGTCTAAGAAAGTAAGGGTTATGCCCACGAAAACGAAAATATTTGTAAATAAGTTCCACTACGATCGTCCTTGCTTACATTCCCCTGATCCCACTACCTCCTCTCCCGTATGAGCCCGCACTCGGCCCTTGCCCCCGCCCACCGTCTCCGTACCCATGGGAAACTGACGTTTTTGATTGTTATGCACCCGAATCTGCTCCTGCGGGGTGAGTATCGGATGACCAGGAACTATCTGTGGCGCCGAAGTCGAGCTAAGGTGATCTGAGTTCGAGGGCGATGGGAGTGGGTTGGGGAGCGCAAAGAAGTCCAGGCCGCCAGCGCTAGGCCACGCCGAGAACGACGTGCTCGCTGACATCTGCTGGCACACGAATAGAGAATCTTAGAGAATGATCCTAGAGGTGGAACACAGCGGAGAGAGCTTACAGGATGACTGTCAGCACTGGTGTCCATAGGCATGAACGACGAGAAAAATTCATCCAGAAACGTCGTAGAGGCGGGGAGCGGAGGCCTTGGAATGCCCTGCTCAGGGGGAGGCTGGTGCTGATAAACGTTCGTGCCGGCCGGGATGCCGCCGTAGGGAGTCGCATCTGCACTTTTTGAATGCATCCGGCTGGGCGGTAACGCACCACCCAGGTAAGGCGGGATGGGTGCCGGAGCAGCATGTACGGAAGGTAAAGCGGCAGCCGAGGAGGTATATTCGACCACAGAACGCCGTGGGCCCATCGCTGGAGCGTGTGATGGGCCAGCTACAGAGGCATGAGACGGGGCAGGTGCCATGGGTGGAGGCTGCAGCCTGATCTCGTCCGCATCTGGTTCCTCCTGCTGTTGTAACGCGTTCGCGCTCTCTAGCATCTGCATCAACGCCCCCACCATTTTCGGTGCTCCCGGAATTTTTAACCTGATCCCATGCGCCAAAATGGGCAACGTTGTCTCCAGTCTCTCCGTGGCTTTCTCGGCCCTCTTTCCACCCCATCTCCCATCACTTCGCCCCTTAACCCTCCTCGTACCTTTCTTGGCAGAGCCCTTCGCGCCATCCTTCTCGCCACCAACGACGGCTTGACTCTGACTTGCGCTGATGATGTCGCCCATGTCGATGGTGGCGGAGCATAGCGCAGCATAGACGAACAGGTAGGCAGACCGTGCGACGGGGAATGAATTCTTGAAGAGGCGGAGGCAGGCGGCGATATCTTGGGCAGACTTGCGGCATGCTGTGGCGGCGTATGGGACGGCGAGAGAGCCGGTTTGGGCGAAGGGACGATAAAGCAGGATCCAGATCGTGTGGATCAAAAGGCTAAGGCAGATTCAACAGGATCAAACTACTGTTTAAGACGAAGAGAGCTAGCAGAATGTCGTAAAAGCTTACTTGAACTGTATGACGTGCGCTGGTGGCGACACTGGTGGAAGGTTATCTGCGTCAAGGAGGATTTCGACGGGTACCTGGGCTTGCCACGCTGTCATGCGATCTCGCATGCTGAGGACAAAATCGCGAGCTTGAAGAAGGCGAGATTCTTTGATGGAATAAACATGTTCGAGGACTTCGTCGAGGAACTAAATACGACGGATCTGTCAGTTATGGCCAGTATCGATGAACGAAGTTAAGATGCGTAGCAACCTGGTAGAGTGAGCAGGAACTTGGTGAAAGTCAGCACAGTGTAGATGACTGAGATAACGGAGACCTACGTACTATCGGAAGCATCTCATCTCGAACGACGCTTGGGCACCAGGGTACTGCTTTGTCGTAAACTCAGCCCACTGCACTTCCGAGTAAAAGGGTCTCCACAAGGTTGCTCCATCCTCGACAGCTAAGCATGTCACAGAACCAACGACCGGTGGTTAGTTGGGGGGAGATAGAGGCAGAGACCGAAATCGTACGAGGGAGTGGGGGCTTTTCTTTCGGCCTCAAGGTAGGCCTTTTGGCGAGGGACAGCGACAGGGTCCTGAGGCAAGCATGTTATATTTCATTAGCAAAAATGATACCGAAAAGATCGAGAATGCAAAGCGTACTTGTCCCATGTATATGCCGCCCAATATGTGCATAATTCGGCCGTCCGTAGCTTCTCTGGTAGGCCTTCATAGCTGCGATTTGGACGCTCCCATCCAAGGTCTATCACATGTAACGTTTTGTCAGACACGATTGTCAAAAGAAAGTGGTCTGGCATAGGTGCTTACCTTCGATCATTCGGAATGCATAGCGCCGGCCATGACCCACGCCTGCGAGTACAGGCCCTCAGCCGCGTTGTGGCCTGAAATGAGGAGGAGACCTGATGCAAATCAGCATGCAGGTTCGAGGAATAAACACTCAAGCGAGAAAGACCGACCTTGAACGGTCGCGATCGCGCTTGGCCTGCTGAGCTCGACCGCCAGGAGTAAATGGGCTCTCGCCTGGATAACAATACCTGCATCAATAGGCAGTCCAGGACAGTAGAGGAGGGGGAGACTATGTACCGCAAACTCATGCAGCCGATCTCGCATCTCTGGTATATGTCTCGACGCTTGGGAGTAGATACACCACAGAAGGAAGTCGTTGCAGAACGTGGGTTCGCTAGTATGGAGGCTTTCTGACCGAGGCAGATGATCAATACGTACGTAGACCGACTGATTCAAACGATGCGATTGACGTACCTTCGAAAGCAGGTCGATAGATCACCTCGTAGCGAGGATTCTGCCAGCTAAACGCGAGATTAGAATAGAACAGCAAACGAAGGGACGGTGCGTACGCACCAGAAGTAGCTCTCCATCATCAACTGGCTTTCCGCTAAGGTAGGAATACGGAATTCCGAAAAGCTATCGACGGCGACCGCAAGCAGTCGATTGAGTACATCCTGGCGTAGAGCAGCGGTCTCCTTGACGGACGAATCCTCGTCTGCTGCTCGGTCAAAGACGGTGATGATATTTGAGGTCTTCGTGGACTCTGCACTAGGCTATCATACAAAAAATGCGTCAACAAAACAGGCATAGCCGGTAACTAGACCAAAGAAATGCAAAAGATAGAGAGGCACGCACCTCAGGCAGACTGTTGCCCTCAGCCAACTTGTCCTCCTCGACTTCCTCCTTCTTCACCAACTTTCTGCGCTTCCTCGTCGACACAATAGGCTTTTTGACCTCGCCATCATCACGCTGCTTCATCCACTCCATGAGCATCCGCTCTCGGTCATCGTCTCCGGCGCTCGCGAGTTGTTCAATGAAAGACTGTGAAGCTTCTGCCGTAGTGATGGCACTTTCGAGCCTCGAAGCTTCTCCGGACCTGCACGAAGCAATCGATTCAAGATTGAAATGAAGAGGAAACGATCAGAGACCGAAGGTGCGGAAGATATCGCGAAGCCACGCACCTTGGGAACACACACGCAATCCCCGCCTGAGGACAAAACTTACACAGACTCTCTCCATTCTCTCCCTTTCCATCGCATCTCCTCTTCCTGCGCCTACAAGCCTCACACGATGCCGCGTATCTTCTCTTTCCAGTACGCGTATCGACGTTCTTGGATCCAGTGGCTGTGGCTGTGTCTGCATCGTGTCTCGAAGTAGAATTCAAGCCTGATCTTGAAGCTGATGTGGTTTGAGATGGCGAGTACGAATTGTCTTCATGTTGTTGTGGATATTGTGAACCGTTACGAAAGTTTGAATGAGAGTTGGAAGCGAATTCGAAGTGAGGATACGACTGTTGTTGGTCAAGTGCTGGCGGGGAAAGGGAGTGTGATTGCGATTGTGATGGTGAAGAGGGATGTTTCGGCATCGGACACGACCAGGGCGAAAAGTAGATAAAAACGAGGGATACGTATGGCACTCACACGATCGAGGACGAGTGTGGGGTGCAGCCAACACAAAGTTGCTTAGCGTCGCTTGCTCAGGGGCGCTTGCCGGTGTGTGTCGTTGAGCGTCGTTTATGTACTCAATATAATGGGGCCGCCGATCCTTCGCAGTATCTCCTTGGGGAAGTCAAGCTACCGCATGTGCGATGGGTCGAATCTGTGGAAGGGTGTATAGTTTCTATACAAGGCTCAAATTTATGTGCTCACGATAAAGAGGTCGGAGACAAACGAGCATTGAGCGAAAAAGCAGATCCACTGGCAGAGACTTCAACAAAGGCAAGAAAGAAAGAATAAATATGCGATAGAACTCGAGCCATCGTAGAAACGGGTATGGATACAGGTCGTTACGAGATCATTCTTCACGACTCGATAATCTGTACAACCTACCAAGACCGAGGCCAACGAAAGAGACAAATCACAATCCCAACCGGCCTTCTAAACCGCCATAATCTCCCCAACCTCCAACAAATACACCCATTTCGCATCCTTCCTCAACTCAATATTCCCATCCACCAACAATACCTTATACTCCTCCCACTCCTTCGTCCCTTACCCCACCCCACCCGTCTCTTCGCTCAATCCCCGGTTCACAAACTCCCTCAAGTCAGCTATCTAAGCCCGCATGGCCTTCTCCTCTTCCGCCGTTGACCCATGCATAATCGAGAAAGTCCAGATATGCTTGTCGAAAGCATGGCCATCGCCGAGGGTGGCGGGAGCTACGCGATCCATAAACGACGGGCAGTAAGACAGAGGCCATCAGGGACCGACGAACGTCACGTGAAGTGGCGTTTCGACAGTTTTCAGCGATTTATCTCGTTTAAACGATGTTTCGCGGAAATCCAGGAAGACAGTCCTCTGGGTAACCCAGTCACCCATTATACTGTGTAGTCAAAACCAAATAAAACGACGAATTGCGAGTGCCATTAACTGCAGCCCGTCGAGAGTGACGGTGGCGCCGCGGATCGGATCTTCTGGGCATTGCAAGTTTAATGGCACTCGCAAATTTCGTATTTTCGTGGATTTCTTTGCACAGAAACATTACACTCAGACATACACGTCGGACTGTCTTCCTGGATTTTTGATATAGGGCTTTTTGCGTGAGCTATTCGTCGAGGACTGCAAAATCGCCACTTCACGTGACGTTCGTCGGTCCCTGATAGCCTCTGTCTTAGGAGATTAAATAGCGGTGGACGTGGGAAAGAGGCACGTTTGCGTGCCGGAGCTGGTCGACGAGGAGGCGGGAGGGGGCACGAACTTGGCCATCAGAAACTAGGGTTGGCGAGAAAGCGAGTAAGATCGTGGAGCTCATAACGGTAGACTGAGATAAAGAACCGCAGAAAATTGGACGTACTGATGTCACCATACACCTTCTTCCATGCGTCGATGTTCGGGTCAGGGTCGGGGTGTGCATATGGAAGATGAACCTTGCAGTTGAGGTAAGCGTCGATGAGCTTGTCCGTTACGTGTGACGGGTAATAATTGGAGACTTGGAGGTGTAACGTCTCCAGCGAGTCCGGTGGGTTTATTTGACGGTACATAGATCGTCTCTTATGGACGGTAAAAAATCGAACGACCCATCACTCCATCTGAGCGGCGCAAAATTCGATGGCGAGATACGGCTTACCTCGTCGCGAACTTCACTAACAAAGAGCTCCAACCGTCTCCTCTCGAACTCCTTCGCAAACTCCCCATTCTTGAATCTATCAAACAGATCCGTCGGGAAGAAGGTACCATTCACGACTGGTCGGAAGGTATGCATCTTCAGTCCCATGACTTTGCTAGTGAGTTTGCGTGCGGGTATCGAGCGGAGCCGAGCAAGTTTTTCGGGGCCGGAGAGGGAAAGAGGAATGGAGCAAGCGGTAAGAAGCTCCTCGAACTGCGGTTGGACGTCGGAGAGGGACTTCGGAGAGGTGGGAATAGCGTTTGAGTAGCTGACGTCGCCACGAATACATGATAATCAATGAGACAAAGTCACCAGGGGAAGCAGACAGGGTGGGTGAGAAAAAGGTTGGGACGGCACCGTACATGATTAACCGGTTAAACACCGGGGCGTCATCCTTCTGCTCGCCCTTCCGCATGAAGAATTCATGGCAGACCTGCGCATGCACGCTATATGCTTCTGCACTTCGTCCCGCCAACGTCAACTTCTCCCTCGTATTCCCGCCGAACCTATGGTCGGGGGGCGCACCATACTCCTAAGTAGACCTACAAACGTCGTTCATGACGGTGATCACGGTGACAGCGGCGGCGCGCGTGTCAGTGATGGTAGGGTACCTCTTCGAGAGCCCTTTGATCATGACAACAAGGCTGTTGAGCAAAAACCGAGTGAGTTTCGTGAATTTCTCGATCAGAGTGAGTATAAGACGCCACTTACCCCCAGAGAGCGCGATCGTGAGCGCGACATCGCTCCGACCGATGCTGTTGAATGGCTACAGTGTTATATGAGCTATTTGAGTCGTCAACAACAGTAGAAACCATAATACAGACCTTACATTTCCGAACATGCGATACTTAGAGGGAAGGGATGACCCCCCGCGAGGATATTGATATCTCGGCCATAAATAAGACATAAACACTGTTCAATGAGTGCAATAAGTGCCCTTGTACAAAAAAAGAGGGATGAAAGAAGAAAAAGAAAAATAAAAATAAAACACGCCATGGTCGCGGGCGCACGATGCCTGTCTGGGTACGCCACAAACGTCGTTCGAGACGGCGGGGGACCGAGTATCGTCAAAGCATTGCTTGGCGATGTTATGCGACGTCTCTGCAAGCATTTTGCGCCCGAAACAAAGACAATCTCACAAAAACGAGTGAGTTATGCTAACGTTTCAGTGAAAATGGCTATAAGGGGTGACTTACCTTTAGAAAACGCGATTCTGAGCGCGCTATGGCTTCAATGGGCGGCGCGATGACATATAGAGTCTCCCATGGACTGGATGAGTCACATGCGGCAGAGAGAACCGGACAACGAACATGAAATTCCCGATCGCGCGACACTCATGGGTAGGGGATGGCCCCCCGGTGAAACGGTCAATATCTTCACCCTGAGAGGGCGCACCGGCCCTAAACCAGATGTAGACACGGGCTACAGATTGTAATGAATGCCCTCAGACAAAAGAAACGAGGAAGAGCAAAGGAAAACAGAAAGGCGCACCATGGTCGCTTGGCCACAGAACCTTCCCACGCTTTCAAATCAGCGCTCATTCGACTCGGTCCTTGGCGGGGGAGACCGTTTCTTACCTTTCTCGACGACGAACAGGCCGTTTTGCGTGAAACCAAGTGTGAGGATGAAAGTGTAGACCTGTCCGCAGATTATAAACCTATCACGAATCAAATCGAACGAAAAGTGAGCCAACAGGAATATATTTTGTGACGGGGACTTGAGGCCATAACTCACCGGCATGCTCACCCTCGTGCTTACTGGATCAATTCTCCTCAAACCTTCTGTGCCACGGGTGTAACTAACCATTCCCGTCAGTTTGAACCTATGTGAATCCGGATCGAACCGCAAATGAGCAAACGCAAACGGGAATCCGAAGAGGAGCATTTTGGACTACGACTCGCCTCAGAGGTTAGCATCGATCACGTCCGTTTGCAGCGGTGGTGCGTAGGACCGCGAATGGGGATCGATAGCCTATATGTAGGCTGCGATTTCGAGCTACTTAACTTGAGGAGCGAACCGCGAATGAGCGAGAACGACTGGCATTTCGAGGAGGGGGGTGCCGAGAGTGAAACCAACCTCCCCTACGGAGTCAGAGGTCGTCGTCCTCGACGGCGAAAAGGCCATGCTCGGGCAGGTTACTGTGCACACCAGTAGCATATGTCTGCCCAATCAGAATGAGCCCTCTGCGGAAGAAATCGGAAGGGAAATGAACTTACCAGGTCTAATTTTTGGGGGGGAGCGGGCCAATAGCGCGCTTTGACGACCAGAATCCTCGATTTTGAGCGTGATACTGGGTGAAGTGGGGCGCGCGGGTACTCTACGGGATGGCACATCAGAGTTAAGTAAGTGAGCGAAGACAGATATGATATATGTGGGGAACTTACTGAGAACGAGCCATTTCGGCTCGGAGTGGCTCTACCTAACTAAAAAGACAAACGGTCGACAACGTGCTCAGACGCCGACCCTAGGCGTGATGCGGGTGGTCTAATTAGACCACAAGGAGCCTGTAGAAGTAAATAAAACAGGTCAAAAGAAGGAAAAGAAAAAAGCGCACCATGGTGCCCCTCCAGACCCCCGGTCGTCGTTCGCAACGGCGAATGGGTTGCTATCGGTGAGATTTGTATGGGGCCTGTTAGAAGATATACGTGTGAGCAAATGAAGCCCATCTGGTAGTCCTTTGAGTAAGAAATGAGTCAAACAGGCCTAATTTAGGGGGGGAGGGGGGCCGACAGTGCACTTTGGCGCCCAAAATCCACGATTCCGAGCGAATGAATCAGTCAGACAGTGCGTGCGCGAGCTCCACTGAACGCTCCAGTACGGGAAAGTAAGCAAGTAATGACAGATCCGACATCGCTGAGTTTTCGACCCTTCAGCCAGGATAAGAAAGGCGACGCGGGGTAAGTTCAACGCTCGGACGACGGGCAGCCTTGGCTATATGGCCGAAGCTGCAAGCACCGGGTGGCGCAGGGTGACAACTCATACACATCACGGCAAAGTCGAAATCCAGAAGAAAACTTTTCGAATGCAACTCCGAGATTCTCTCACATCCAGAGCATACGAACTATTGCGGCTGCTTCATGGAACGGACTGAAACCCGACGTCGAACGCGATTGTGATTGCGAGGATGAACACGGGGGAGTCGAGACGAGAGGTTGGGCCAAGAGCGCGAATGCGAATGGGATCCGGAGGTTGAGTCGGTGGCGAGTGGGGTGGAGGGGGTGTAGCACGACGTTGGGTGTGAGGTAGGGAGGATTAGTCGAAGGTGTTTTGGGTTGAGAGGACGTGGGTGTTGTGGTGGAGGAGGTGGAGAATGTGGCGGTGGTGGGTGCGCCACCTCCCGCAGTGGTGGGAAGTACAGTAGAGGGTGCGGATGTCGAGGGTGAAATAGGGTTGGCTAAGGGCATGAAAGACAAGGAGGTCAGGATAGATGCGAAAGTGAACATTGAACGGGATGCTCTTGCGTCTCACAATAGTCTCCTTCCCGTTATGCTTCCTACCAACCACACCTCGCCAACATCTTCTCTTCCTTCGACCTCGTCCTTCCTTCCACTGATAGCTCCACTGGGGGACCCATATTCATCACCAATTCCGCTATCAATCTCCGTCTTGCTCACACTCCGACTCCGAAACACCAATTCCTAAGGAACACCTGCCCCGAGCGTACGTTCAAGTTTCGAGAGCTGACAATGATAGCGTCTCTGCAGGATGTCCGGAAGCGTATCGTCGCTTTGAGATCGTACGTGCAAGCATGTGCGTGTTGGGTGTGTATGATCTGAGCAAACTCCATGTCGGAGTCGGAGTCTTCGTTGTCATCAGGAATGCGTAACGAAGATGGGTCCGGTATCAGGAACGGGTAATACGAAGGTGCAGTGGAGTCAGATGAGGTGGCAAGAGGAGACTTGGAATGTGGGCCGACGAGATTTGAGCGACGAGCGGTGGCAGTGGCAGTTAAAATCGTCACATTCGGATACGGTGTCGGTGGTGAAAGACGCAGGATGGAATTGAAGCATGAGAGGCACATCGAGCGATTTTTCAAGGTCAGAGAATGGTGGGAGTTGGTCAAGCGGATCCGTTCGAAGAATTGTACGAGAGATGTTTGACGCCACATTAGCTATCATCGTTCATGATGGCGATCACAGCGATAGCGGTGACGCGGGTGTCGTTTATCGTAGATTATATCTCCAAAAGCATTTTGAGCATGACACAAAGGCTGTCTGACAAAAAGCGAGTGAGTGCCACGAATTTCTAAGTGCACATGAGTGGAAGGCGCCACTTACCCCAAGATACCGCGATTCCGAGCCCTGTATCATCCCGACCGCCGAATTTTAGGATGCGGCGGTTCCATACAGGATATTTGAGTCGTCTACAACGGAGGAAACCGGCCTATGAAACTTACATCTTCGATCGATCGTGCAATAGTTAGGGAGAGGGGTGGCCACCCGCAAAAATATCGATATCGTGGCCATAAGAGGGCGCATCAAGCCCAAGTAGGACGTGGACACTGTTCAATAGAAGCAATAAGCACCATCGAACAAACAAAAGAGGGATGGAAAAGGAAAGTTAAGAAAGGCGCACCATGACCCTCTAGATACCCCACGAACATCGTTCGTGACGGAGGGCGACCGGCTATCGTCGGCATATTAATCGGCAATGTTATGGGATGGGCATACAAGTATTTTGAGCCTGACACAAAGATAATCGCATGAAAAATGAGTGAGTTACGCTAAATTTTCGGTGAAAATGGCTGTAAGGGGTGACTTACCCCAGAAAACACGATTTCGAGCGCGCTATGGCTTCGAACGGCGACGCAATGACAGATAAAGTGTCCTATCAGTTGGTTGAGTGACATGCAGCAGGAAAAACCGGCCAGAGAACCTTGAATTCCCAATCGCGCGTCACTCAGAGGTAGGGGGTGGCCCACCGGCGAAACAGTCGATATCTTCACCCTGAGAGGACACACCGGCCCCAAACGAGATGTAGATACGGTCTACAGAGTGTAATGAGTGCCACCAAACACAAAAAGAGCAAGAGAAACGGAAGATAGAAAGGCGCACCATGGTCGCTGGGCCAGGGAACTTTCCCACGCTTTCAAATCAGCGCTGATTTGGCTTTCCTTGGTGGGGCAGACTGTTCCCCGCTTTTGTCAACGACGAGCAGGCCGTTTCACGTAGAAATAAGTGTTGGGATAAGATTATATACCTGTTAGATGATTATGAGCTTATCACGAAGCAAATCAGACGAAAATCGAGCTAATGGGAACATATTTTGTGACGGGGGGATTGAAGCTATAACTCACCGGCATGCTCGCACTCGTTCTCCCTCATTACCGAATCGATTCACGACAGATTTTGTGTGCAGGTGGTATAAGTAGCCGTTCCCATAATTTGGAGCCTATATGAAGCCGGATCGAACCGCAAATGAGCAAACACGAATGAAAATTTGAAGAGGAGCATTTTGGGGCCATGACTCACCTCGGAGGTTCGCATCGGTCACGTCCGTCTGCAATGGTGGTGCGTAAGACCGCGGACGGCAATAGACAGCCCATATGTAGGCCGTCATGTCGGGCCACTTACCTTGGGGAACGAACTGCGAATGAGCGAGAACGAACCGAACTTTGGGGAGGGGGGTGAGAGTGAAACTTACCTCGCTGTTCGTGCGCGTTCTAGACGATGCGTGGGTCATTTCTCTCCAGATCTTCATTGTGAGTGATAGTGTATACCTGTGCCATTCCCTTGAGGCCGCGACACTAGAAATCGAAGGATATTTGAGCAAACGTGAACACATATTCGGAACAGGGTGTTGTGGGCGAAAACTCACCAACGTATTTCACCTCGTTCTCACCATTGAGTGGCCCGTTTCCTTCCAAGCCTTTATCGGGGCTAATGCACACACTTCTTCCCGTCATTTTGAGCCCACCACATTGAAAATGGAACCCTGATTGAGCAAATGCGAACATATTTTCAAGAAGGGGTGCTAGGAACGAAAACCCACCAACACGTTTTGCCTCGTTCTCGAGGATCAGTGGCCGGTGCCCTACCAAACATTTATTGAGAATGGTTGAGCTACCCCTTGCCTTTCGAGAGGGGTATATAGGAGGCGAAAACGTACCAAGGTTATCGTCCCTTTTCTCGAAGATGGGTGGGCCTTTTCCTATCAAACCTTTATTGGGGTGGATGATCCTTACCCGTCCCGTCAATTTGAGCCCATAAAATTAGAAATCAAGCGGATATTGAACGAATGCGAATGCACTTACTTGAATAGACCATTGAAGCGAAACCCACCGATGGGTTTATCCTCGTTATGGACGTTGTGCGGACCGTTTGTGTACAAATCTTGATTGGTGCTGACTGGGCACGTTCCCGCCGTCATTTGGAGACCGCAACGTTCAAGATCGGGCATGGAATGAGTGATTGCGAACATGTTCAAGAGGGAGGATGCCACAGACTGAAACTCGCCTACCTACGCTTTCCGCTGCTGAGGATAATCGAGTTGTTCAGATTCAGACTGATGCCATAGCCGACGGAACGGTTCCAACCGCGATTATTTGGTGCCGTGAGAGAAGGAGCCCAGATTGGACCATATCCAAGTTACCAGCCAGGGAGCGTAGCACAATCCGAGCACTAAGACCTAGATGGACTGACAGACGGACGGACTGACATTCAGACATGCAGACACAGACGGACAAACAGACAAACAGAATAGTAGACTTGTCAGCAAGGGTTGATGAGATATGTATCTCAACCCCTTCACTCAGTCGCGACTTGCGTGCGGAAGGTGGTGGTTGAAAAGAGAAGAAGGCGGCAAATTCCGGTCAATGGAAATGTAACTTGTAGCCATATATAGTGCCGTGGATTGCGCAGGAAAGCCTTAACTTTTAGTGATCAAGAGACAGCAGTGCATACCTCCAAATGAGCCAGGTTTTTCAAGACCCAGAAGAACCATGGTCGAAAGGCAGGACAGAGAGCTAGTGCGGAGAGAGATAGGGGGGGTGGGAATGTGAACGCGCCGGACGAACTTGAAGAGGAATCGGGAAGGGACGGCGACGCTGCGTTCCGGGCCAGGCAGGACCTTCTCTTCCTTCACCTCAAACTACCACCAACACCCTCGCCAAAGCACCCCTCTAAAGCCTCCCCGCTAACACCTAACAGCCCAACCCCAGCCTACACAGTATCAATCATGTCTCCAACTGTTGCCACTCGCCACTCTGCTCACCGCGACAGTCGTCGTCACAGCCTCTCTGCCTTGTTGACGTCGTCCGCTGCGCCCTCTGACAGCGAAAATGCCTTCCACGTCGCCGCCATCGCGGTCCCCAACAAGTCCAAGCGCTCCAAGCGAGCACACTCGTCCTCATCGTTGTCTCCTTCGAAAAAATCGTCTCCCTCCCAGCCCGTCAAGGATGCCGCATCCCACCGCACAAAGAAGGCCCTCACTTCGCGTAAGGCTCCGTCAGCGAAAGCCATCGAAGTAGACGTCCCCGTTCCAGTCTTGATGGATGCGACCGAGGCCTACACCGGGTTCGCCTACAGGTGCGCCTCTTTTCTTCTCTATCGCTCCTTACTATTCATGATCATGCTCACGATGGCTTTTGCTTCTTACAACAGCGGTGTCCACTCTCAACTCCCACCTGTCTTCGCTGAGAATACGGTGCCCGCCATTGCTGACCTCTTCTTCGATTCCTTTGTGTAAGCCCTTACAAGACCTTTGTCACTTTCTCTCTTCCCTCCTGTGACGTCGAAGCATGCATCCCACTATACCATTTCTTCCTTTCGTGTTCACATTCTATCCCCATTCCATCATCAATCTCATATGCCACCCGCCTTTTTCTCTATTGCACGCCGCCTCCCCCTCCCATTACCCCAAGGGTTTTTTTATCATTGTCCTACTGTATGATTATTTTTCTTTTGGATGGATTATCATTCCATCTCCTGTATATTCTCTCATCTCCTCCATATCCTTTCATCTCTTTAATATCTTTTCCTCCAGTACCTCTCATAATTATGAGTAATCCTCCCTCTCCCCCTTCTCCTTCTTAGTCTCTTGGTTTCCCATTGACGATCATCATCGCTATGCATCCTGTCTCCGCACCTTAGAGTCATCACTGTGTTCTCTCATGAGTGCTCAGTACTTTTATTTCTTTTTTCTCTCTACATGACATCCTTCGCATCTCCTGTCTCGGTTATCTCGCCTTTCCTCCAGTTTGCTCATCTTGCTGTATTGTCTAGATGTCTCGGAGTTGACCTGTATTTGAATGCCTGCATGTATTTACCTGTACGAGTGCCGATTTGCGGTGCCGCTTAGAGTGTTGTGCTACCTTTTTCCATCTTCACAAAGTGCATATCACCTTTACTTTTAATTTTACCAAGGATCTCTTACAATTTAACCAAAGAAATTCATCATCACAATCTCCTATCATTGTGAACTGCAATGGGGGATTTTGTTGCATATCTCAGTGAAGGTTTTACAGCAGCTGTAGGGCCTGACACCGTGCATCGTGCAGGGATTATGACCCGCGCAACCATTGGCTGATGGGCCAAGGGCTGCTTCGGCAAACCTAGGAAAATCAAGGAATGGTCAGAGGTCTGGACCTAGGCATTGTCCTAAGCTGACAGCAATGCCAGATCTTCCTGCACATAGTGATACTGCCCCAGCGTAGCCCTGAGCCGCATCTCGGTCTACCTCAACGAAGACGAGGAGGACGAGAATACCGATGAAAAGGATATATCAAACAGACACGGCTAAACCTGCTTGATCTGCCCCAAGGTCATAGAGACCTCGCACATAGTACTTATGGCGGGATATGCGTATGTGGCCATGTCTTCTCAATCAACTGTGTCTTCTTTTGACTTCTTTGCTCAATATTTTCAGGGACGTCGCAACTCATGAGCGAATTATCCAGCGCATTGACTATTTAGGGAAAAGCCACCACGCCCCACGACCGGCAAGTGATCTTTCAGACCCTTAAGAGGTGTGCGGAATTGCAATCGCGCACACAGCTCGGACTTTCGGCTAAGCGCGAAATGAATCGGCTAAGGGGGGCGGTGCCCTGGGGTCCATCTCAGCGATGTGGGTGGCACAGAACTGTGGCCACTAGTGGCGCTCACCGAGTCTTCAAATGCTGAACGCTTCAAGTTGAGATACTATGATGGGGAAACTCTGCAGATAAAAACAAGGATTACCCCCATTAAAGTCCCGAGTCTATGAAACTAAGAGACCTGGGTACATCAAAGATATAAGTTTCCAGGAGTGAGTGGCAAGCGCGACCTCTGGAGAGGTTCAAGTTGTCTCATATTGGGTGGCACATCCTCCGTGCGCTCTGTAATCAATACGAAAACAATCTGATATATTTTTGCCTCCAAAAATCCCCGGTGCTGGTATGTGTTCGGACCTTGCAAGTGGGGATCAGTCTCTTCGCAGACACAAAATTCCAATCGTAGCCGCCTATCCTCTTCCCCCCGAGTCGTGGGACAACGCGAAGATCAAACAATGGGAGTATGAAAGGTGTAGCATTGACCAGACAATCTACCCTCATCTGCTATACCACTCCAAGCTCCGCCTGAAGACACACATCTGCGTTGGGCATTCATGAACACTATGACGGCAGCTATAGCTAGTATATCAATGTTAACGTTGCGCCGCACACAAACCAAACGGCGCACACAGACTCGCCGTGCATGGTTTACTATTGTGTACTTGGTTTGGGTACGCACATCGAGATATACCTATGTCGTATCGTCTTACTGATGTTTTGGTTACCACTTAAGTTTGGTCGCGTTCATGTATGCCTTGGATCCTGAGCCACAGTACAGTACACTCTTGCCACAGGATCTGAAATGATCCATAAATATCTAACTTATAATCTGATTGGCTCGTTCAAGGACCACGGAAGAATAGTTGGAACCGCCTCCCCCCTACCCACCCCCTCTAAGCGAGGACCTTCCAATGTGCGGGATTGCAATTCCGCACGCCTCTTGTTTCAGACAGTTCTGGCGCAATTCGTGCCACCCGGGGCGATCGGGACGTTTCGGATCAGGCATGATCCCGCAACTCAAGTTTGCGGGCATTGCCGAAGGGCCACGCGTTCGTTCGATCTGGTTGTCTGTTGTCGCGCTCGCGATTGCGACTGTTCAAGGTCGGTCTTTCTCGCTCGGGTGTATATTCTTCGAACTTGCACGCTAATTTCTACCAAGTATCCTCATTTTGGGCCACAATTGCACCAAGTTTGTGCTCACTCTACCAGGTAATTACACACCTTGACTTTGTTCATCGATATTGTCTGTAGCTGACGAACTCATTGTATCTGGTTCCTCGACGAAGTACTGGAGCACGTTTACTCCATCAAAGAGTCCCGCCTCCTTCATGCTCCAGGTTTCGTTCTTGCTAAGAGAGATCGTATGTAGCTTGGAAAGCTCAGGTGCCCTTCGAAAGTCTCCTTGGCGTGGGCAACCTTCCACCGGTGTCACCACCGGCGCACATTATATAGTTTAAGTAAGTTTTCGCGACATTTGACTGGCTTTATTCACCATAAGCAGTAGTGTTGACCGTACTTCACCCGGTTTAGCCTTTTGGTCCAAACGATTTGGATCCTCCTCTACCGCCCCTTCGCCCAAACCGGCTCCCTCGCTGTCCCATTCGCCGCCACAACATGCCGAAAGTCTGCCCAGGACATCGTCGCCACTCTGTATCCGTGCGGGAGCAGGTGGTGTCGGATATGTCATCTACTTGTATGTCTCCTTTTTCTCTCCAAGTCACATTTACCTCGCCAACCAATCACATCGACAGACTCCTCGAACGCCCCGAAAACCAGCACCTGATTCACTGGTGTTGAGCAGTGTGTGGTTAATGTAGTGGTACCACTCTCAGTACTTACCTGGAGTAAGGCTTGGGTTGAGTGGCTTGATAGCACGCAGTGGTTGGAGAGGCGAGAAAAGTAGTTGGAATTACAGGGCGAATGCCCAGGGGTTTATATACATGCAGAGCGTACAGCCTTAAGTAATACTATACAGCTGGATGCGCGTGAGCGAAAGAACAATAAGAAATAACGAGTATTGCGTCATGTGAATACATGCCGGACCGGCGGGCATAGCCACCGTTCAACACTCCCCCTCGCTGAGCAGCACATGAAGTGAGGTCGAAGTGTAGTCGGAAAGGTGTCTATGAAGACGACCCAGAGGTAGAAGGCGAGTAAAACTCAAGCCCAAGTTGGGAACGGAAGGGTTCGAACTTTACGCGGGGCAGATTCTTCGTAAAGAGATCCGCAGGGTTCTTACTGCCGTCTATGAATTCGACTTGCACAAGACCACACTCGACAACTTCACGGATATAATGATACCGGATGTCGATGTGTTTCGAGTGCTTGCTAGTGACGGGATTCGAGGCCATGAAGATGGAGCCTTGATTGTCGCCAGCAATAGGAATGGCTTTGAGGTTATAGCCCATTTCCTCTAGCAGATTCCGGACCCACACCACTTGTCTGCAGCAATCAGACAATGCCATATACTCAGCCTCAGTCGACGAGTGGGCAATTGTCTTCTGCGCATGGCTAGTCCAGGAGAAGATGCCATTGGCAAGCTTCAGGAAGAACCCGGTCTGAGACCGGCGCGTATTTGGATCAGAAGCCCAATCCGAGTCAGTCCAAGCGCTGAGACCTAAACCCGACGTGCCGTCATAGCACAAGGCATACGATCGAGTACCAATGAGATACCGGCAGATGTAGAGTGCCTTGTTCAGGTGCTCGTCTGAAGGGTTAGCGGCGAATTGAGCCAGCTTGGTAACAGCGAAGGAAATGTCAGGACGAGTGCCCAACATGAGGTAAAGAAGGGATCCAATGACCATCTGGAATTTACTCCGGAGAGTCGCATTCGATTGGCCTTTGGTGGGTTCGGGTTGAAACCCAGCAGGAAGTGGAGTGTCAGCCGATTTGGCGTTCAACATACCGCAACGTTCAAGGATCTTATCAAGGTAGGCGCATTGATCGATGTAGATCTTTTTGCCATGCCAAACGATCCGCATGCGTAGGAACTCCTTGGCTTCACCAAGATCTCTGCATTCCCAGCGATTCATGAATTTCTGTTTAAGAGAATTCAGGAGATCCTTATCTGGTCCAGCGAAGAGGGCGTCATCAACGTAGATAACAGCAACAACTAAAGAGCCATTTGCCTCTCGTTGGACGAAGATACCTGCATCAGAGCTCAGGCGTTTAAAGCCGAGTGTCTTCATGTACGTGTCGAGTGTTCGCCACCAGACTAAGCCGGCTTGCTTCAACCCGTACAGAGCTTTGCGCAGTAGGAGGACTTTATCCTCTTGACCTTTGATCTTAAAGCCTTCAGGTTGCTCCATGTAGATTTGCTCTTCAAGGTCGCCGTACAAGTACGCGTTCCTTACATCGAGCCCGGTGATGTGCCAGTCGTTCAGCGCAGTTAAGGCGAGCAGTAACCTGACAGTCTCAAACCGTACTACAGGAGAGAAGACTTGATCATAATCGAGACCTTCGATTTGTGAGAAACCTTTGGCGACAAGGTGCGCCTTCTTACGACCATCAGATTTAATGTCGAAGACCCAGCGGTTCTTTATGACCTTGCGGTCGGCAGGGCGATCCACTGCTTCAAACGTGCCACGCCGTTTGAGAGCCTCCAGCTCTTCACGGCAGGCCTCAAGCCATTCATCCCGCTCAGCTTTGGGTAAGCGAGCTATGTCCTTGTACGTCCATTCTCAGATGTTCTCAGCGGGCCTAAACTCCCCCTCAAGTGGGACAGCTTTAGCCATGAGAAAATGTATCAATTCGGCTCCCCCTTCCCGACATAGTCTAGCCAGGATACCAGCTTCGTCACCGGGAGCTACCGAAGGTTCGCCGTGGCCAGAGGTGTTTGGCTCAGAACTAGGTCCGGGAACCTGATTCTGATCATTTGACTCTTGTCCTGCCGAGGAGCGACCTGGCTGAGGACCTTGAGCACGCCTCTGAGCACCCTTCGTAGGTGGCTCTATCTGTTGTTCGGTAGGCAAAGGTCCTTTGCCACCGGTAAGACGAGTGGGGGCTTTCCGCTCACGACCTGAATGCCTAGGCTCTGGTAAAGGAGCAGGCGGTTCATTCCGGGGTTGTGGCGGCGGACTCGGATCACGCTGTGGTACAGCGGGCGGTGCAACGTCTTGCTCCGGATCCGGTCTCCTTTCAGGAGGATAGTGTTGATGAGGCGGAACATCGCCGTCATCATCGGGTGGGATGGTGGGTTGTGGATCTTTCCGACGAGGAAGTCGGTTAGACTTGTGTCTGTTTGACTCAGAGCACCGAGGAAAGAGGTTCTCATCGAACAGCGCATGTGCTGCGGTAAACATTGAATTGTTTTCCCACATGAAAATGTTGCCGTGTCCGCCGTCTGAAGTTCCGAGGTATGTCATCAGTTCTGACTTAGGCGCGAGTTTATTCTTGCGAACATCCTCGTGTAAAAACACATAAGCGCCACAGCCAAGAACACGCAAGTGATCTATGCGCGGAACTGAGCCATGAAGTTCCTCATATGGAGTTTTCCATTCAAGATGACGGATAGGTGTATGATTATACACATGTACCGCATGATTGATAGAGAATTCCCACCAGGATTCAGGGAGACACGCTTGAAAGCGCATGGTCTCACCTTTGTCCACAGTCGTACGGATGAACCGTTCGGCATGTCTGGACTGTTGGTGGATGTAGGGAGCGGAATAGAGTGCCTTTATACTGTAGTTTTTCGACCGTATGTTCGTGGGAAGATTACGTCAGACATGACACTCACCAGACCACGGTTCGTTTGGGTGGGCCACGCGTGACGAACCATCGAAATTGTTCGCGGTTTGCCCAAAAATCCATTTTTCGGGCAATTTCAGTGCAAATTGGTCACGATTTGCTGTTTGTGGGCCCACCTATATGCGTGACTATTGGGTCAGATATGTTCGCCGGCGCACCGTGCGTGATGCGTGACGAACATACGGTCGAAAAACTACAGTACCTTTGTCCTTGAAGAATTCGTCGAGTTTCCCCGACCTGTATTCACCTCCACCGTCAGACATCCAGTTGAGTATTTTATAACTCGGAAACTGGCGTTCAACCATCGCAATAAATTGCTTTATCGCGTTAAAGGCTGCGTCTTTGGTTTTAAGGTGGGTGTTCCAACCATATGACGTGCAATTGTCGAACAAGACAATTGTGTACTTGTACTTGTGGTACGACGTCACAGGGAATTCTTTCAAGTCCGAGTGTATTGTCTCGAAAGGCTTTTCAGCCCGACGACCGGTTGACGGGAATGGACGCAGATGCATCTTTCCTTTGGCACATCCTTCGCAAAGATCCTCTTTGTCTGGCACGACGAATGGTGGTGAGCCTTCCGTGTGCTTTCTCAGTTGCCTGAGTACTTCGCGCGAGGGGTGACCCAAGCGGCGATGCATGGTAGTGTGATCTACCGAGTAAGCAATGGCGTTGCGTACTAGGGGTTGCAGCGAATAGTCGTGTAAGATGTATATCGTGTCAAACAGGAGTCTGGGTTCGAAAGAGAGAAACAACTCGTCTTTGTCCCAGAACATCACTGAATGAGCATCACCCTGAACAGTTTTGCCATCTTGAGGGAAGCGACCTTGCACAATTAAGCGCGCAGTGCATTCTTTCATGTAGAAAACAGGTGCGAGTCTTGCAACCTGTATCTCATCATCGTCTGCATCTTTGAAGTGGACTAAGACAGTGCCAACACCTGTGATGAAGGCAACTGCCGTTGCAGTGCGAACTGTGATTTTCTGTTCCAGCTCATGGAACTCAATGAAATCGTTTAAGTCAAACGTGGTGTGTTCAGAGCAACCGGAGTCGTTCATCCACGTCTTTTCATTGGTTCTTCCATGGCGATGACCTTTTCCCTTACATTTCGGACAAGCGGCAAAGTTTAGATGATGCGCACACAAGTCATGCGAAATATATTTAACATCAATACGAAAATTGTACATGCGTGATAAAATGTCCGACAATAAAACCGATCAATTACATACGCGTTTCTCTGCGACCAAGGAGGGCGAGTCAGCACAATTTGCATGATGATGGGAAGAAGGTACTGACCCCATGTTCCCCAAAATTCCAGCGATGTCGGCGATCTCCGCGTCCAAGTCCAAAGTCATCGGCTCATCCGGATCTCCGAGGGAGATCGGGGTGTCGAACAATGGAGGGAACGCAGGAGAGGGCGGCAACTCGCCGAAGTCCTCGTATCCGAAGGTAGAGGGGTGAGGAGGGGTAGGAGCAGTGATGCCATTCTCCGCATCCGGAGCGGGAGCAATGCGATCCGCGAGGGTACGCATGCGCTTCTGGGACGGACCAGCGTCGCCTTCATCGTCGCTTTCGACCTCCGAGATATGGCCGCAGGGTTCGAGGGCGCAAATAACGTCAGGCGTCGCTTTGACACCGAGTTCATGCGCAAGCTCGATACCCTTCTTCACCTTCTTGTGAATGCGAAGGGAGGCATTGGAGGGACGGTGAGCGGGATGTTTAGAGTGACGGCGAACATCACGAGTGGATGGGTCGAGGTCGGTGCGAGGAGGGCCGAAGGTGAGAACCTCGTTAATGGGAGCAAACTGGAGAGAGTTCTGCGTGTTGCCGTCGTCTTCGTCATCGCTGTCCGAGTCGATGACAGCGGCATTGTTCCCATTCTGGCCCTTGCCCTTCTTGCCACGCTTACGCTTCTTCTTTCCGTTCGAATCTCCCTGGTTGCCGTTGTTGCCCGAATTCCCCTGCTGCTGCTGCTGGTTACGACCACGCTGCTGCTGGTTATTACCACGCTGCTGCTGCTGGTTGTTACCGCGCTGCTGCTGGGAGAAGTTGGGGTCGTTCTGCTTGCGCTTCACGGTGGACAACTTGTTGGCAGTAGCAGGTTCAGCGGACTTGCCAGTACCGATGAAATCATTGACCGCGGCAGTGCAAACCTTCTCAACGGACATCGAAATGATGTCGCTGGCGCCCATCTGAGAGAAGTTAGACAGGACGTTCTTGTAACGGGGAGGGAGTTTGGAAAGAATGATCATGGCGATAAGGTGCTCGGGGACTTCGACTTTACGGAGTTTAAGGCGGTTGAAGAGCATCGTGATCTTGTCGATCGCGGCATCCGGGTTGGAATTCCCAGGGATCTGCTGCTTCATCGCGTCAGAAAAGTCGTTGAAGACAGTTCCGAGGGTCATGATGTCGAACTTCTTCTTCAGAAGCGCCATGAGCTCCGTCGCAGTTGTATACTGGTCCTTGATCGACTCACGAAGAGTCGGATCGAGACGGAGCGTGATGGACCCCTTGGCTTTGGTGTCATCAACGACCCACTCGTGGATCGCCTTGCGATCAGCGGCGAGCGCGGCATCCAAGGAGTCTCTGGGGTTTGGTTCATTGAGGACCCAACTGAGACCGGAAGCGTCGAGAAACGATCCGATCTCCCCCTTCCGCGCCGGATAGTCGCGGATGCTGGAGAGAGTGGTGGGAACAGCGGTGTAGAGCGCAGAAGACATGTTTACTGGAGTAAATCGACAGAAAACAAGTCAGCATGAGTTCTCTAACACATGTGATGAGAGAGTAAAATGGCATAGTTCTGCCTTTACTCATAGCGACGAGCCGCGACTTTCGTCTGCGAGGCTGTCGACTACGATGTCAGCACTCTTCACGATGTCCTTGGTCAAGCGCTGTTAAGCGCGACCTTGGACTTCAGCGCATGAGGCGATGTCCAGGTAACTGGGAGTTTCAGACCGCAGCCATTAAAGGCGCTGTCGTCAACGTCGACCAGCCTGAGAGCGCTGCGAGTCGAAACTCAGCGGAGCGTTCATCAGGGCCCATAACCTGTTGAGCAGTGTGTGGTTAATGTAGTGGTACCGCTCTCAGTACTTACCTGGAGTAAGGCTTGGGTTGAGTGGCTTGATAGCACGCAGTGGTTGGAGAGGCGAGAAAAGTAGTTGGAATTACAGGGCGAATGCCCAGGGGTTTATATACATGCAGAGCGTACAGCCTTGGGTAATACTATACAGCTGGATGCGCGTGAGCGAAAGAACAATAAGAAATAACGAGTATTGCGTCATGTGAATACATGCCGGACCGGCGGGCATAGCCACCGTTCAACAGCTGGGGCCTTGCCGGCAAGCACATCATCGTCGAGCGGCTAACGTAGCGCAAATAGACATCAGTCATTCTTACTTCCTACTCCTTCCGTCCGTCCTTACCTCCGTCCGACAGATCTATGGCTTCATACACAAAGCCAATCTACGTAACATCGACCCTGCCATCGACGATCCCGGTGCCTCCACGTCGTGTTAGTTTTCTCTGTTCATTCTCGATGCCAGCCCGTTGTCTTAACCACTTGATTGACAGTCCACTGGCACTCGTCTCGAGAAGTAGTCACCAATCTTAGGCGCCACGACCCCCTCGTCTCCCAAAGCCAAGAAACGCGTAGAAGAGCAACAGGTGCCCAGCACCATTCCCCGCTCAGTCATTGGCCTCGGCGCAGACCTCCCTCTCTCCATCCCCTATGTCGACAGGAGCCAGTTTTACAAGGCCGTCGTAATCGCTGCGTCTTTGCTGCCAGACCGTACACCCCTCCCGCAGCTGGGCAACTCTTGGGTCCCGAACAGCTACTCTCGTCAAGCTCTGCCACCACTTACCGTCCCCTCCTACCCGCCGATGTCCCACAGCATGTATAGCAACTCGCCTCATTCACTCCACCCTATACCGAGCGAGGAGAATGGTGGTTCCAGGGGTACCAGGTACAACTCCATTGCGTCGTACTCAACCTCGAGCCATGACCTGATGTTCAATACAACCATGCCGAGCAGAACTCCTGGTCGTTCTCGCCTATCAGCGGCGGCGGCCTCTCCTCCCTGCTCAACTCCAGCAGCTCGAATAATCCACCCACCCGTCCGACCATCAATATCATCTGCGCATCCTCCTTCTCTTCCACGCCGCAGAGCGCATCGCCCCGCGACCAGCCCCTGTCTCACCAGTAGGATCCATCTCGACGTTACGACCCCGCACCACTACCACTCGCGGCCCGAATCTAATTACGTACGACCACTGATGCCCACCTGCTCCCGACCGTCGTCGACCATCACTGGATTCACTGAATGTGTTGTAAACGTCAGAGTTGGCGTCCAGAGCCAATGAAGAGCATGCGTGGATTGTGGCCTCGTCGATCGAGGTGCGTTTTCCCCCGTTTTTTCTGTGGTACTTTGTTACTTATTTTTTTTGCTCTAGAATACGATTGCCCAAGCATGCACGCCGGATGCTATCGAGAGACTTTTCGAGGCGTGGCTTGCAACAAAGAGGCTTGCCATCGGTCTTGATTCGAGCACGAGTGGATCACCGAGATGAGGAGATAGAGGAATACGCGCAAAACGGCGCATGCAGAGTCAAGGACCAGGGCATAGGTGGCGACATCAGCTCGACCCTTGATGAGGATGAGGTAGCAGCAGGTGTGCGACGGTGTATAACAAGGTTCGAGGTGAGTAGTATGCTACGCTTTGTGTTCTTGTGGATCTTTTTCTTATTCGGTGTACACTCTTTTCAACCCGCCTGCGACCTTCCGTCACCTGCGGGACCTCTTCGGCTCCAGTACCACATCATATCCCCGCCTTGAATACTTGGTTTCGTACAATTTCTACTGGACCTGCTGATGCCCTTCCATTACTTCTGTGGCACTATATCTCCACCAGCGCCACGCTTCCTGCCTTCCTCCGCCTCGACACTTTTATCGCATACGCACTTCACTGTACCTGTCTACACTCCTCCGTCGCTTTTGCAGTCATATACCTCCTTGAATACCTCAAGATACGCTTCCTCACGGCGAAGGGCCCCTCAGGCTCACTCCGCAACCGGCCACTATCCGCGATCACCACCACTCACGACGTCTTCCCCATCCTCATCAATGCCGGATATTCCTCTTCCCTCCTACTCGTTTCACTTGTCTCACTTCGTCAACCTTCCCGCCCACACCGAAATCGTATGCTTTGTATGTTCAAGTAAGCGTTGTCGATGCCTTCGCCCGCCTTTGACGTCATCTTGCTTCCGCACCGACGCGATGAACACCGAATCTATCAACCACACCCACTACTATACCCTAAGCCGAAGGCTTCATCCACACCGGTTCCCCTTTCTTCCGAATTGTCGCAGTCATCAGAGAGGCCAGCCCTGGGGACCCGTTCGCGGCTTTTGCTACAATAATTATGTTGTTTGCTCATGTCGTATATCTAGCTTATGTCTTCTTTGTTTTCTCGTGTATTGTTTGCGCTAGCTCTCGTGAACCCTCGCTCCACTGTGTTGTGCTCACATCTGTAATTGGTGGCCCCGCCTCACGGCGTCTCACACACTCTTGCATGGCCTTTCGGCGGCGATCATTTTTTTTGTCTACTGGAATGTATTGACAATTTATATCTGATCTGTCTATGCTATAACAAATACACTGAGGGTTCATCAAGAGGGTTCGAAGTGAGAAACAACATATGCAGAATCCGGGAGTCACATCTGAGGTTGATCTGAGGTGACCCGTGGCAAGGCAGTTTTAGGCAGTTTTAGGCGGCTCCTAGGCGAGCGCCACCGCAGCGACGTGACTTCCGATCTAAGGCAGTATCACTATGTGCAGGAAGATCTGGCATTGCTGTCAGCTTAGGACACTGCCTAGGTCCAGACCTCTCACCATTCCTTGATTTTCCTAGGTTTGCCGAAGCAACCTACGCTGGTCTATTGAGTCGCCGTCCGAGTCGCCGTTAAGTAGTCACCGTTAGGTCCGGGGCAGCTGCCGTATATGGCTTTTTGAAACTGAGCTTCAAAGTCACAAAGTGAGTATCCAGTATGTGTGGTTTTCTTGGCCAATCAAACCTCAGGCTCCTAATTATCACCCTGTGCTGTGGCTTTCTGCCAAGTCTGTGCCAGCGAGAGAGAGTACAAAGAGGCTGATATAAGCCATGCAACTGTATACTCCCGCGAGAGTAATCTACTCAGAACGAAATCCAGAGGTATACTATACATAAGGGTTTCGTCTGTACCCTCTCATTCTGTGTCAGCTCCTGTCCCTGAAAGCCCTCTCTCGACACCTGGCCCTTTCTGGGCCTCCAAAAATGCATCATGAATGTACTTCGAAGATATAAATGCACACGCACGGGTGACACGGTTGAACTGCTGGGTCGACCCGTGGAGGTCGCGAGGATCAAATTCGAACATAGTGGCACGGGCGGGTCGAACTACAATGCGGAACTCGAGATTGACAAAAGAGCCGCCATAGCTAGGGGGGCGGGGGGTTGTAGATTGCTGGGTTATAGAACCAGCCTGAGAGCTCCCCTGTGCTTCCCTGCGGCGGGCCTGGGAACGTGTCTGAATCCTGTAGGTCAGCTCGGCCACAGCACTTGCTGACGAGTCTGCCACTGAGTTGTCGGTGACAGGAACAAGGTCGCAAACACTGCTTTGGAGTGACCAAGCCTTCGGTACTCCATCCTGAGTCCTATCGGTGTGTGAGCGCCTACAAAGCCTATTAACAATCATATCAAATGTGAATATATGATAAGATGCTCACGCTGAATAGGCTTGGACCAAATAACCTTCGGGGGGAGCACGTGGGGCAAGCGGAAAGGTAAATGTCTGGCCATCGAGTGTAAACCAGGGCTCACCACGATTATATCCGTACAAGTACCTGTATCCGTGGGAACAAGTACCTGTTCCCTCGGAGGCCACACCTCTATCCGGAGTGGCATCCGTGGGAACAGGTACTTGTATCTACGGATACAGGTACTCGCACTGGCACGGGTACTTACAAGTCAGTCATCAGCACAAGTAGTTGGAGGTACTTACGGGTATACACGCGGGTCTTGAGTAAAGAGGCAAAGAGAGAAGTCCACGCCAGCCAGAGCATAGAGTACAGGGCCGAGCGGGCATGTTATTAGCACAATGTAACATACAGAAGAGCTGGATTGGAGAGCACTATAAGGACATAGAGTTAGTAAAAAAAAAGTAAGGAGTTAGAAAACAGATGGACTCACCAGCAAGGGAGATAGAGGAAGCATGGAGTCGCCGTCCAGGCATACAAGAAACAGCAAAAGAAGACAGATATAAGAGTACATAGCGACAACGACATCCAAACAACGAGAAACAGTCACACAAAGTAAAAACGAAGTCCGAGAGATATAGAAAAAGGGAAAATGAGAAAAAAAGCTTATTGACGATGGGCAAGACAAGTAAATCTATCCAAATCGACACCAGGGGAAGAAAAAAAAGGAGTATGAAGGATACCAAAGTCACGCTGGAGGGCAGTCAACCAAAAGACAAGCAACGACATCTCGATCTTGTGGAGTGCAGAACTATCACCGTCCTCAAGGGAGGCCACGATCTCCGGAGTAACCCTATCGACATGAAGCAGATACATCTTCTCCCCCTTCAGATGCTCATGCTTTCGCCATAATGGCTCCAGGTAGCAAGATACGTGCCAGACCCAGTTCTTCCGGTCATCAAAGTCCTTACGCTCCCAACCACGGAGCTCAGTCTGACCTCCATACCAAACAACCTGGCAGAGTAAAGCCATCCTCTCGACGAAAGTTGAATTGTTCATGAGATGGTCAGGCAGGTTTCCAAGCAAAGGTAAATTGGTACGCTCCGGAGGCTCGCCATACTCACGCGTCAGGTCGGGGTCGATTAGCGCAAACTCATGAAGCAAAGCGACTTCAGCAAATAGGAGAGCGAGGGTGATCTTGAGCTTCTGGTCCTTCTCCCAGTCAATTACATCCACCTCACAATCACAGCTGAGCATATCCGGCAGGATGACCCGCGCTCCGTCTCCCAGTGTACGAGCCGCCTCCTTGGCACTAGTGGTAGCCTCTGTGCCGAAAAGCGGAATGAGACCCGCACACCAGTAGTGAGTAGGGTCGAAGGCGGGGAAGGATTTCTCCTTTGGCCACTGGAACCGGAATTCGGCACCGGAAGAGATGGCACGCCATTCTTTCTTGGTGAGTGGGTGGACCGCGGGATCACGAAGGGAGAGGATAAGGAGGTCGAGAATTTCGCTACGAAACATGATCAAAAACTTCCACCGAGCCAGGATCGTTTTGGGTTTGTCGCCGCAGAGGAAAATCTCAAAAGGTGGCGTCCAAAAGGTCTGCGCAGCCTTCTTAGGCTTCAAGTTTGAGTGAGAGACGTAGATCTTGAGGTTCTCGTAGCCGTGGTATGGATGAGGAAACCAGTCGGGCAACTTGGAGCGTTTCCAAGCAGAAGCGAGGTTGGAGTTGAAAGCTTCAGGATCCTCGGGGCGATTGAGGAGCCGCATGATGTTATTGTCCCTCGGAGCCTTTCTCACCCGATTGACAGCTGAGAGCAAGTCAAAGTTAAAAATATATCAATAGACAGATAACGAAAAAGAAAACATACCATGAAGCTTCTCCAGCTGCAAGTTAGCCAGCCTCTTTTGAATGTTTTGCTTGCGGTTGAAAAGCTGGGGCGTTGGTGCTGCCGGATCGGTGCGAACAGCTACTCCTCGAGCCTCCCGTTCGAAAGCCAAACCATCCGAGCCACGAGGCGGATAGAAGATCTTGTCGAGCTTCTGCCAATCATTTCAAAAATATATACTATCAGTAAGAGCACGAAGAAAGTAAACACCCTGGCTTACTGCTTGTAGCTATGCTCTCAACCGCGACCTTATTACGCCAAGGAGACCAATCCAACTTCGGAAATGGAGGAACAGCGCGAGGAATTTCCGGAGAGATGAGATAAACTGGGGCAGTCATGTGGGCGAAGGCAAGGAAGACGTCGCTGTCAACCATAGAAAAGATGGACCCTCGTAAAGAGCGCTTGCGATGATCACAGACAGGCTTCGGATATGACTCCACATCCTGCGCCCAGAAAAGGAATGCGTTCAGCTCGACCATGGCACGCTCGTGAGCTCGCATAACCAGCATGAACTGCTCCCAGCCATAAACACCCGCCACGAGCCTGTTGAAGAACTGGAACTCTCGCTCGAGGACGAATGAAGGGAGATCGGAGTCACAGACATCACGGTTTAATGGGGTGCAATGCTCGAGGACCAGACGAAAATATTTCGGAACCGTCTGCTTCATCGAGTTGCGCTTCTCGCGAAGCGGGCCCAGGATACTCTCGAGGGGCGACATGAGAGGCATCGACTTCATCCCCGAACGAAGCATGCCTGCAGTCCAGAGGTTGCGCTGATTTTCGGGAAGAAGAGGTCGTCGAAGAACTTCGTGGGAGATGGGGATGTAGAGGAGCCAAGGTGCGTGGTGGTCGAATCGTTGGGGGTACAGCGAAGTGTCCTTGCGACCCCAGTAGCCATTGACGTAGATTGTGGAATCCTCGGAAGGTGGAAGAATCGGCGCGTAAGTTGTGTTGGCACAGAGAATGTTGGTCGCTTGGTCCGCATACACATAGCCTGAGTACCGAACCTCCATCGGAAGTGGAACACGGCCAGTGCTATTCGGTGGCGTGCGAGCAGGATAGCGTAAGTGGATCGGGGCGACGTTGGGGGGAATGGCAAAGGGCTGGGAGGGTATTGGTGCCTTCAGTGCAGCAGGGACAAAGTTCTCGGGGGGATCTTCGCCATAAAAGTCCCAATCCTCCATCTCCTCGTCAGTATCACTCTCGAGCGTAGCGAGCTCAAGATCCTCCGCTGTCGCTCCAGAAACCTTCAACCTCTTCAACCTCTCCTGCTTCTTGGCCTTCTTTTCGCGCTTGGAAAGCCCCCACAAAAGATAGATCGTGGCCTGCCCGACGTTGGGTTCGTTGATGGCGGTATGGTGGCGCTTCATCAGCTCCAGCTCTTCACCGGGGTGGCATGGTACGAGAGGACCATCCGGGAGGGCACGCTTGAAGTAGATGAGAAGCTCCGGCTTCAGTTTTGTTTTTGCCTTCGATATACTGGCCTCACGCTGAGCTTTCAACTCCGCGGGCCAAGACGGGTCGACAATCGTGGTGGCGATGAGCCAGGTATTCCACGTTTCGGCTATCCCAATCGATTGTTGATGAGTACAGGATGAAAACAAAAAAGAATAAACGAGATAGCTTACCATCGTAGAGTGGAGGAGTGGAAGAGCTTGAGGGAGTGGTCGACATGACGAAGAGATACTGTGAATGTCTGATCAGTGTGATACACCAGAGCCTGTAGGGAGTTTATAATGTGCCCCTGTAGTTAAAGTATGGGACTTTACAATGTGCCCGGCTTATTACTGGCCAGTGCTGTAAAGCAACTTTATAAAGTGCAGGCCTGTATAGCGATGGCCGGGAGGCGCAGCTAAAATTTGTCAGCTGCCGGGGTCGCTTGCCTTATTGGGCTGTTGCCTGAAAACCAAGCCGATAAATCAAAGCTTGGGACTGGATTCATTGTCCGCTCCATCTAATCAGTCCGATTGATCTTTGAATAAGATGCCAGGTACCAGATTAGATTGTCGTACATCTGAGGAGATGATCTTTCAGGTGCCACTTTGACTGTCCGGGCCACATGGTCTTTGGATGCCTCCCAAAAACGGTAACAAATAGAATAAAAATAATGATAGACTTCCAGACTTATGGTTCCTCATCCAGAACAGAGGCTCGGCTAAGAAACACATCAGCCTCTGTTCGTACAGCTGCCCATGCAGCCTCAAATGCCGCCTGGAGACATCTATACATATCTGCATGCTCCGCAGAATACGCCATCAAACCCTCCCTTAGTTCCTCAGAAATAAGAGCATCACCATGCTCGTCACTTTCCAACCGTTCAGTATGGTTCGACCACCTCAGTGCCTCCCAAGAGAACGATTCCAGTACCCGTCTCATCTCCTCTCGGAGTAAGCGTATCTCCTCCTCCCATCGTTGCGCCCTAGCTCTCGCCTTTAACCATTCTACACGAATGCCTGCAGAACGACGGGAAATCAGCATTGCTCTAAAATAATCAACCAATATATATATATATATATACCTTCGTTCATCTCTTCCGTTAATGTGGCACCATGTGGGCCACTCCCTGCACCATCCTCGCCAGGGACTAGCCCTCGTGTATACCACAACCATGACATGTGGCGTCTACTCTCGCCGGAGGTGATGGGGGCATCTGCATTCCGCCCTGCACCACGAATACGACGGCGCAACGCCTCCTCCTCCTCCCTCTCAATCATCGTCAGCATCCTTTCACCCAAGCCAACTATATCTTCGTCCACCAAGACCCTCAACCATACCTCCCAATCTCCGGGTCCCTTCAAAGACAGATATGTCTTACGTGCCGCTCGATATTCTGTTGCAGCTGAATCGACCCTTGCCTGCACAGTGTCAAGCATCTTCTGGGCGCGGGTACTGGGGTTCTGGCCGGTAATGTTGTGGTTTTTGAAGCGGTAGAGGTAGGTTCGGATTTGAAGTTGTCGACGAAGCTCCGACAGAGAGTCTAGCGCGGCGGCGTAACGCAAAGCTGCCTCCATTTCGGCCAGGGCTGTGTCACAATATTCATTGCGGTCTATTCGGGGAATGCTGGACGGAAGGTAGAGTTCGATTTTCTCAGGAGGGAGGGTCTGATGGTCCGAGGAGGAAGGGTTATTGGCGGGGGAAATGATGGGGGAGACTCGAGGCATCTGAACTTCTTGATTCTGGCGAAAGAGTTGTATTTGTCGAAGGAGCGCATTTCGGGACTCTAGGAGTGCAGACTTCTGATTGTCGGTCTTGGCTTTTGGTGCGGATAGTGCCACCTTTCGCCTAAGCATGCAGCGTTAGGCATGAATCGTGTATAGTATCATATCAGAACTTACTGCTCCTTCTGAATAGTGATCCCTTCGAGTAAAAACGAAGCACGTCCTCGAGGAACGGCAGCATCATTTTGTCGTTGAAGAAGGTACTCTTCCTCCTCGAAACGCCGGGTTACTGTAGCCATCGTCACTTCTAAACCACCACAAATGGGCATTAGAGAGTGTAATGGGACTGGAACAGGATAAAGCATACCTTCGCCTTCGGTATCATAGGGACTCTTCCCTGCCTTGTCCCCGACTTCCCATGCCATGACCAGCTTTCTCCACTGTTCAGTTTGACCCTTCGCCTGTGCTTTGATACTCGCGGTAAACTCCTGGTACATATCGATATGCTCGGGAGCCTCATCCAAGGCAAACTCTAGACGGCGTCGAAGTAGAGAATCTGAAAACTGATTAGCCAAAGATACAGCGTCAGATAGAGCAAAAAGCTACTCACTCAGGCCAACAGTCTTTGTCCAATTTGAATGGCCACAGTGATCGTCCAGCGTGTCATGCCGTGATCCAGGCCCCATCTCCTTCGTGCTCGCAGCAGCCCCGTTTGTTTCCCCCCAATTTCTCTCAATGCCCTCGCCATCCGTCTCTCCATTTCCTTGCGTAAAGGCGAGACTGTGTGGTGCATGACATGGTTTCTCATGGACGACAAGATGGAACTTGGGTACACCGTATGATACACGGATCTTCTCGCGGGGAATACGGATCGACTCAGGCATCTTCGGCATACATACGTCCCATAGTTTCTTCTTCCATTGGCAAGCGACATCGTAGGTGAGTTGTATCTCCTCGACTTCCTCCTCGGCGGCACCGCTGCAATATATAAAGTCCATGTTGCAATATCTAGATATAAGTTTAGACGGATACTAGGACAGTTGATGCAAGATATCCCCAACTTACCGCTCTCCCTTTTGCAGATCACCCAAACTTTGCCCACGCCAGAACGAATGCCGTGAGCATATACATGCCCCAACACCCGTGGACCGGAGTCCTTTTGAGTTGCGAGTATTTGCCTTCGCTAACGCCTCAAATCCGGCGCATGTACATATCAGGACAGGAAAACACTCAGTGTAATTAGTAAGTGGCGAGGTGAATGTGGTGAGGGGAATATTAATGGGCAAAACACATACCTCCTCCTCGTCTACGTACTTCAGGATGTGCTTACTATACATCTCATCATCCACGAAGTATGCCAACCCAGTCAATAGCCCCGGATCTTTCCGAATGCTTGAACGTAACCGATTTTTCAGCCGAAAGTTAGCATCCATTGCGAGATGGAGCCGATATAACCACCTAAAATACTGCTTGAGACGAAGGCAGTGGAATGAATGGAGAAAAATACGATACCGATCAGAGGGCGCGACAGATCGGAATCCTTCGGGAAGGTTGACAAGAGGCCTTGGGCAAGTGGGACATTTAACAGCAAGCTCGCCCTGGGCGGTGCCGCCAATTCCCTTCGGATCGTGGCCTCTCCCGCCACGCTTCATCATGAGAAGTGCTCGCCATAGTCGAATGATGAGCATGAATGCCTGGGTTCGAGCCTGTGACAATCTCAGTATTGTATTACGAACGATTTAATGTATGAAACCGTACCGGAGGAGGGCGAAGACCGGTGTTATCCGTCAGTAGCTCCAATGTTCGCATAAAGTCATATCCAGTGAGTTTTCCATGGAGAGAAAGGCGGTGGAATAAGCGTAGTACAGAGAATGTGGCGCCACTTGCGGGCTCAAGTGGTGTGGCGGGGTAGATACCGGTGCGTAGAAGTTGGATGTAGCGATCGGGTGGAGAGGGTCCACATGAGCAGAAGTGAAGGGGAAAGGTGTGGATGCCGTTTGTGTGAATGATGGTGAATTTCTCGACCCTTGATCCGCTCGTACAAGTCCTGCCAGGAGGATGAGGACCGACCTGAACGGTGAGCCCCAGAGATCCTAGAGAAGAGCGCTGGAAGCTATATCCCGTCCATCTCTATAAAATGATAAATAAATAAACGGATCAAACATGATGAAATTTCGAACGGACCTCTATACAATGGAACGGGCTTGTGCGATGCTCCACAACTATGCAATCTGCACATAGAATCTCCCCACCAAAACAATCCATACACCGAACACAGGCAGTGGTGTCAGGTTTTTGGCACCGAGGGCATGATTTGTCCCGTTCAGATCCCCGACCCTCTGCTCGAAGCAGCTCATCCAGACAACTATCCAGCAAGGGCCGCCAAGAAGACATAGGATCGTCCTGGTCGAAATCACAGGTAATATAAATCAGTCTGCATAAAACGGACTGGTCCATGAAGATAAACTAAGACATACCGAGCTTCTGTATCTTTTACGAGTGTCACTCCCTTCAATCTGGACAACCTGCCCTAGTTGCGTGATATCGAGTAGCTCCTCGTCAACCTCCCCGTCCTCATTGAACCAATGCCGAAAATCTTCATAGTCGTTTAGATCATAGTCATCCGAGTTGGAAGAGTGGTGGTCCCCATTGTTGGAGTGGGGGTCATTTGCAGATATATCAGGCGCCTGAGACTCAGAGGCAGCGGCTTGGGCGGCCAGCTCTTCAATGGTCAGGATCTCAACTCGAGGGAAAGCACGTCGTCCATCTGCAGATGTCTCAAACGTTACCGCAGAAGAGGAAGCAGCATGAGTACCAGGATAGCTATCTGCCAAAGGTCTGGTCCTCTTTGAATCTGGGGCTTGGCGATGAAAAGTTGCTTTGCGCATGAGCGGAACCAGCGATCAACAGAACACATCAACGCGTTGATTCTTAGACGCGTGTAGGACGGCTCCTTGCTGCCTAATCAGGCCGAGTGGCTGAAGCCCTTTGAAAGAACCTAACAAAGTGCCACTGTGGCCCAAAGCCCACATGTGGGCTAATACAAGTGGCCGAAAAAATGGACAAGTCCCAGTTTGTGGCACCTGGGCCACACAATGTTCAAGCTCACCACATCATTGGCCACACGAGAGACTCAAGAGATACAAAATAAAATTTCTACGAGACAAATCGGAGATAGTTCTTCATATCCTCCTTCAACGAGTCGAGAGTCGAATACATCCCGATACCCTCCTCAAACCTCGCCTTGCCCTCCTTCTTCATCCTGGCCCACCCTTCCGGATCCTCAGTACGAAATTGAGCCTCAGTGCGGAACTTGTAACGGTGAAACCTAAGTAAGCCGCCCGGTACATATTCCGTGAATGATTTGCGAACTTTGCCATCGACGATTGCGGTGTTGCCATGTGCGACACAAGCGGAAGGTACGAGGATGGTGGTTCCAGGAGGGAATTGGATCACGATCTTCCACTCCCAGAGGATGAGGTGTCCACCGAGACGGAAATTGTGCTCGCCAAGACAGTGGATAGCGCACCAAGAGAAGATCCAGTTGAGGAAGTCGTGGTGGAGATCGGTACAGACTTCGTCGCCGAGGTTGAACGTGACGGTGGGGTATACACTTTGAGGAAAAGGCCGCTGGAGATCCGGAAGCTCGCCTTCGAGCTCGATGAGGGCGTCATCAATCTGCCGAAACAGTTTGGGGGCCGCACTCGCATAAGCAGCTGATTAAGAAAAAAGCATGAAATGAGAGAAGAGAAGACGAAGAGAGGGATAAACATACTGCTCGCATAATGGGCGATGCGTTGGATGTCCGGATTTGCGCATAATTCTTCGGCGATTTCGACGTTCGTCGCGTTCTTCATGTCCAGGGGCATAGGATACTAGAATAAAGTTAGCAACGTAGGCAAGAACGTGGAGGAAGTGCGTACCTTCTGCCCTCCCCCGTAAGAGTAACCGGTGAATAGGGACTTGAAATTGCCTCGCCGTCCTTCGTCAGGGCGCTGAGGGGATGTGACGCGGTCACGCGCACTGTTCATGGCGGCCAGAGCGCGTGCACACGTCTCGTCCCAGGTAGGATCGCCCGGTGGCTTTCCAACGCACTTGGCGAGGATGCGCCCAGAACTATCGACCAGGCCAAAGGAGTATCTATGCAGGTTTCACGTTAGTATACAGTGTACATAGGGCAGGGCAACATATTATTAAAATAAAATATGTTGAGGAGTAGGCAGTGAACTCCGCAAATGGATGGGGTATTTGAAACGTAGAAGGTGAAGGGCAGGAGGAAAGCGCCAATACGAGAATGGGAAAAAAGACAGGGAAAAACTCACGTTCCATCCCATTCCTCCACCTTGAACCCGAGCTCCAGCAACTCCTCCAAACTCCAACGCCGCCGGTGGATACCAAGATTCCGAAGACCGATAAACGCGTTTTTGGAATGCTGTAACTTCGCTGCATCGCCGGCCTTGATCTTGACAGTCAGAAAGGAACCGAACTTGCTGATGATCTTTCGATTGAACGCAAGGTGGAGGCGCTTCTGGGCTACCTGCGAATCGAACTCGGCGGTATGGCGACGTTTCGCCCGTTTCGCCTTCTTGCGGGATTGACGCGCACCGGCAACCTTCAACGCCGCATGAACGTTTGAACGCGAAGATGCAGATTGAGGCATGGAGGAAGAGGTCGGCGAGGTTGGGAATAGGGCGGGGTTGAGAATGGATGAGTGTGAGCGCGTAAGCGGTGGCGACGTGCGAGCAGGCTGCGGAGAAGATGGACGAGCAGCCGAGGGTGGGGATGATGGTGGAGGTGGAGGCGGAGGGGACGGCGATGGGGACGGCGATAGGGCTGGCAATGATGACGGCGAGGTGAGAAGGGGCGGTGGCGAGTCCTTGTCGATGTCGTCAGTGTCGATAGTGAGATCCGGGCGTATGTCGGCTTCGTCATTGTCGTTGGATGCTTCGTCACGCCGTCCCGCAAGCTCAAACGCACGCCCAAGGGAGAACTTGGCCGTGACGGCGATGACGTGTTCCATGGCGGCGGCGAAGGAAAAGGGCGAGTATACGGTGTTGGAGCGAGTCTGCGTTAGAGTAGATTAGTCAATGAGGAAGTGAGTATGCTGAATCGGAACATACCATGGGGCTGGTATCCCCTGTGGGGGAGGACTCCATGTCAGGGCGATTTGTGGCGGGATCCTGTGGGTACAATGGTTAGACAAGCTCTGGATGAACGATGCACGAAAACAAAAAACGAATCCGCGCTACACTTCGAGGGCCGCGACCTACCCCGGCGAAGCGACGCAGATGACATGAAAAAAGAAGAAAAAATGATCAAATACATGAACGGTGGTGAAGAAAGAAGAAAAGATACAAAAAAAAAAAAAAAAAAAAAAAAAAAAAAA